CAATCATGACGAAACCAAGCCATACAGCACATCAAAACCAAGTCATTGAGTTTCGTCACCAAGCATGTTGCAGATCATAACAGAACCGGTACTATGTACAAACCGGACTCAAAAACTCGCGTTCAGAAATATGCTGTCCCCTCTCACATGCTTTGGCGACCATGCACACATCCGTCACGAAATCAATTTTGTTCTTGATGTCACGGAGTGTATTCACATTTCCATCTCCATCTATGATCATCTATGGAGAATAAAACATGCAAAGATAACGCATGTCGAATATGTCGAGGCCGGCTGGCCCACCTTTGTCGCAAAACACTGTCAGGGCAGTCAAACAACTTCAAACAAAGCATGCGCCAAAGAGTCAACACTGCAGGCACAGAAATGGCAAGGGCAATTGATCAAAAAAATGCCCGATGTCTGGCTGCACGACGGTCAGCAAAATGGTGATGGCCGCAGCGTGCCAATCCCCAATATCGCGCTCGATATTTTGCAGCTGCGGGTCCAGAGACAGCACGGTGCGAGACGGGCCTGGGTTGCCGACAGAGATACGCGGAGGAAGGCATGCTCGCATCAGCTCCGTTCGCACCCACCGCTGGCACCCAAGCGACGCCGATGCGGGCGCGATCTCGACTTGGGTGACCACCGCAAGTCGGAGTCCTGGCGCAGAGAGCGGGGCCCGCCGCGGCGCGCATCTGCAGGGAGGCCGGCGCAAGGTCGCTGTGTGAGTGTTCCAGTTTCATGTCCCGCCACCGACGGCCGGAGGATCGAGGTTGTCGCGAGCAGCCTCCGGGCTCAAAGCGCAACCAAAGCGACACGTTGCTCCGACCACTCGCTCGTGCTCACACCTGGGACCGAGCCTCATGGCTCGACGACACCGGCACCGAACATGAGGTAACGCAAGGTGACGGAGGCGAGCAAGGGGATCCGCTCATGCCGGCGCTTTCTCCCTAGCGCAGCATGCCGCGCAGGCGGTCCTGCGCTCGCAGGCATTGCTGAACTCGGCGAAGCGGTCTGGACCGGTACCGCGATCGAAGCGCAGCGAGGGTTTCTCGCCTTGGGCACGCCCATCGGCCACCCTCACGACGTTGCGTCGCACACAGACGCTCGCCTCAGGGAGGAGACCCGGCTGCTGCAGGAGCTCCCCATGCTGCCGGACTTGCAATGCGCGTGGCTCATCCTTGCCATGTGTGCCGCCCCGCGTGCAGACCACTTGCTGCGCACCCTGCCTCCCGACCTCTCGGCATCGTACGCACGCGGCCACGACGACGCCGTTTGGCAGTGTTTGCGCGAGCTTCTTGGTGAGCCGGACGACCAAGATCCTGCAGTCGCTGCCGCGCGACACCTGGCGCTCTTGCCGGCACGCCTCGGCGGACTCGGACTCCAATGCGCGGAGCGCGTCGCTCCTGCCGCGTACTGGGCCGCGTGGGCTGACGCTTTGCCTGTTTTGCGGCTGCGTCGCCCCGAGGCTGCTGCGCGTTGCCTGGCCGAACTCGAAGCCGGACCAGCCTCCTTCGCGCTTTGCCTGCGCGCCGCCGCTGCCGCTGGTGCCCACCTCACCCACGCAGGATGGGAAGGTCGGCCCGAGTGGAGCGCTATCCATGACGGCCTGCGACCGGCCCAATGCGACCTGCCCGAGCCTGGCGAGCGGTGCCAGGGCTGGCAGCATCACGGTTCTCGCGCTTGTTCAACCCGTTTTCGCGACACCGAGTTGCTGCCGGCCCTCGCGCCGCCTGCACAGGCACTGCTGCGTTCGCAGTCTGGGCCGCGCGCTGCCGCCTGGCTCGGCACCGTCCCCAGCGAGGCCGGCACCACAATACCGCCAGGCCGCATACTCATCGCTTTGCGGCGACGGTTGCGCCTACCGCTGCCCGTCGCACCAGGCAGATGCGGGGCCCATGGACCTGGCTGCGGCGCCGCGGTCGACGTTTACGGTGATCACTATGCTGCCTGCCCCCGCACCGGCCTGCTCGCCCGGCGAGCCAAGCGACTTGAGCACGCGTGGATCAGGGTCGTGCGCGAAGCGGTCGGGCCGGAGGGCCAAGTCGTCCCGCAACAGTCGCTCGTACGGACGCCTGCCCCAGGTGTTGACCCCGACGATCGCCGGCGTCTCGACTTCGTCGCATATGGTGCCACACAGCTCGGCGAAGCACTGTGCTGCGACGTAACCCTGGTCTCGCCGCTTACCCGCGACGGCCGCCCGCAACCTTCCTCGACCACCAGGGACGGTGCTGCACTGGCCGTCGCTGAACGCCGCAAGCGCGCTGCCTACCCCGAGCTCCTTCGGCGAGGACCGCAAAGGCTGTGCGTGCTCGCGTGCGAGACCGGCGGGCGCTGGAACGACGAGTCGCTCCGCCTTGTAGCGCAGCTCGTCCGTTTGCGTGCCCTGCGAGCCCCTGCTCCGCTCCGAGGAGCTGCCACCCAGGGCTGGTGCAGACGCTGGTGGGGCCTACTCAGCGTGGCTGTGCAAAACACGCTTGCTGCCACTCTGCTCGGGTCGCCGCCCGTCCATGCCCCTATGCCTGGCGCGCAGGCACCGCCTCTGCAGGACGTCCTGCACGACGCGTGCCCGCCTTTGCCCAGCTGCCTGCCGGCTCGCTGAGCCGCTGCAGCCCCTCTCCTATGCCGTAGTTCGCAGGTGCACTGGGACCGCGCGCGGATCGTTCGAAAAGTCCGTTGGGAAAAAATAAAAAGAGGCAGCGGCTGGACTACGGGTCCGCTTTAAAGGCCGCACAGCTCAGTGCCATCCGTTCCGCAGCTGCTCGGTTTAGGCCGGCGCTGAAGGCGCGTCCCGCGTCGCACATCATGGTGGGCTGAGCGGCACTGCGAAAAACATTCTGTGTGCGTGACCCATTTTCGCGTTTTTGGATGACGCGTATGTTGTGTCAGCACCGCAGCGCAGGGGAGCGCTGCACGGCCCCCTGGAGGACGCGCTATGGCGCCACGCCATACGCCTGAACCAAGGCAAAACTCGCGTATGGAGCGCTGCAGGTGAAGAGCCTGCCGGCCTCGCCCGTCTCCAGCCCACGAGTGCTGAGCCAATCTGGACGGGCGCTTGGTCCTTGCCAGCGAAGACCTCGTGCAACAGGAGCTGCGCCGCAAACGGGAGACCCAGGACCAACTTACGGACACCTTAAAACAACCCTGACGGACACCATAACAGAACCCTGAAGGACACGTTGAAACAACCTTTACGGACACCCAGCGGACACCTTAAAACCACCCTTACGGACACCTTAAAACAACCCTTACGGACACCTTAAAACAACCCTTACGGACACCTGACAACAACCCTTACGCATACCTTAAAGCAACTCTTACAGTCCGGACGCCGAGCAAGAACTCAAGCACGGACAGCAAGAGCGACAACCATCGCAACGCCTCATGGCTGACTGCAGACAAAACTTGGATTAGAGAAGCAACAGCAGAAGGAAAACTGCGACAAAACCGTTAGCAGACCCCACCTTGGAAAAGACGAAGCGCCCCCCCACCCCACCCCTCCCCCCACCCCCAAGCCAAAAAAACCCAGAGCAAAACCTCTGAAGCCGAAGAGCAGAAATTTGCGACCCCTTCGAAAAGTCCTGAAAATCCGAAGTGCCCCAAGTAACGAAACCCTCGCAAATACCGATTCCAAAATGGCCAAAAGCGGAGAATAACCCACGGGCGCGAATGGGGCGCGGTCCAACTACTTGCTCCGGATGCTCTCGCCTGGCGCGACTGAGGCGTTTGCGCGTGAGCATTAACCTGCTGTGAGTGCATGCTTTTTCGACCTCGCTGTCGCAGGACTCCCGGCCTCCGCAGTCTCGGCCTCAGCATTCACAGCGCCTCGCACAGCTGCCGTTACAGTATGGAAGCCTGGGTGTGCGCTCGGCAGTCGACGTCGCCCCCGCCGCTTACTGGGCCTCCTGGGCGGACTGCTTGCCAACCATTCGAGCAAGAGCGCCGCAGGCAGCCGCTCGTTTGGTCCGTGCACTGGAGTCTTCCACCGAGACTGCGCTGCCCCTGTCAGCAGCACGGCATGCAGCCGCTTGCCTTCGAGAGCAGGGGTACGACGCTCCCGCCTGGGACTCGCTGCTGCAGGCACGGCCCGCGCAGGAGGAACGCTAGTTTGGGGAGTTTCTGCGAGGCTGGCAGCATCGTGCTGCCCGCGCCAGCGACAAGCGCGCGCTTGAGGTGCATTTTTCTTACACTAATGCCGCATCTCGAGCACTGCTGCTGTCGCAGGCCGGGCCACACGCTGCACTCGCCTTTACAGTCTTCCCGACCTCAGCTGAGTTGACGGTGCCGTCACCACTCTTCCGCGTCCTGCTGTTACGACGGCTTCGCCTGTGCCAGTTGCGCCGCGCACGTGCGCCTGCCGCGGTCGCCTGGGCCCGCTCGGTGACCACAGGGCTGCATGTGCGAATGCCGGCGTGCTCGCGTCTCGCGCCCTTCCTCTCGAGCGGGCGGTAGCGAGAGCGTGCCATGAAGCTGGCGCGCGGGTCGCCCGCAACGTCCGCCTCGCAGACATGAACCTCGATGTTCCGGTCTCCGATGACCGCCGCATCGAAGTTGTCGCGAACGGGTTGTCTTTGTGGCACGGCGCGCAGCAGGCCATTGTTGCCACCATCGTCAGCCCTGTAACGCGAACTGTGCATCAGCGGCGCTTCACCAAGCACCAAGTAAGCACAGGCGACGGCTTAACACACATCGTGCTGCGGGCTTTCCGCCGCCGACTTGGACCCGGCCGATGCCGCACCACCCAAGGCTGCGGGCAAGTAATTAGTGGTAATGTGGCGGCCATCGCGCAGCGGCATATTGACTGTCATCGAAAAATGCGACCGAAGCGGCGGCAGTGTGGCAGCGTGATACTTTCACTTGCCGCGTGCCAAGCAGCTGTGATCCGCCCGGGTGCAGTTGGTATAGGACCCAATTGTTGCACCCAGTCGCAAACCTTCGTTCAATGCTGTCGCAACAGATACAAACGCAAGCTTCCAAATCAGAAGACTGTGCGTTGACAGGTGCGGCGGTTGAATTGCGGCCATTGTTTCCATTCCGAATGCATCAAGGCTTGGGAGTATCATGGATGAATGGTGGATGCACGGCTGGGTCTGGAAGGCGTGGTTCCGCCGTGGCCGTTGCAGCCTTTGCCCTCTGGGGCGCTGCCCGGTGTCGAAGGCAAGGCGGTGCATGATACTATGTTTCTACACAGCAGCAGCAGCAGCATGGTTTAGCGGAATGTCGTCCCGTGCACATTGCTTGTGGGTTTAATCCGTCAGGATATCGTTGCGGCAGTCCGAGCGGAGATGGATTTTAGTGTCGTGGCTGAAGAATGGCTGAAGAAGGGGCTGTAAATCGGATCTTGTTGATACTGGCAATGTCAACGACCTGCGGGTGTACACAGCACGTGGAAGCAGGGAATAGGAAAGTTTCCATGACAAAAGTATTGATGCGAGGCTTGCCTGCGGGTGGTGCTTGGCAGCATTTGCCGGACAGTACATTAGCACAGGCGAGGAACCCAAGGGCCAAGTTGATTGTTCAGTTGTGGCATGTGGCCCCTTGAGAAGTAGTCACGTTTGGATGAGTCAGGACGCGAGGTCACCTGCCATGTCCGAGGACAGACAGAGTGAAAAGGCAGCGGACTCACAAAAGCACTTGCTTCGAGCCGTTGCAATGGCAGGAGCGGTGTCGCGGATTGCTGCCGCACGATAGAGGTGGCACAGGCTTCCGACACTGCGCGCGATTTTTTTCGTGTAGGCATGCGCTGCATGTTTCGTTTTTTCGATAGGCTGGCGACGGTTCCGGGCGGAGGATTTCAATCCTGTCGTGTTGGCCGGGCCCTCGGCGGTATAGTCGGAAGTTGAGGGCGCTCATTCGGGACAGCGCGTGGCCCCGAGCTCATGGAAGGTGACAAACTTGTCTACAGCTGCGATGTTTAGTGCCTCTTGTAAAACATTCACGGGGCATGCTTTCCTTAAACGCTCTTAAGCCTTGTGCTCTACGTTTCCAATGCATGGAAACGTTTCCAATGAATGGAAACCAGTCACTTGTGGATGTGGAAGTTTGCTCGAAGGTCGCCACAAAATCCAAATGATTTCAACAGAATTCAATCGCTCTTGTTTTCTTGGTCTCTCAGTTCTATGATTCTGCAGGTGCAGATCCCGGCTGGAGGCACGCTTGTCATGTCCAGCAGTTGAGAAGGAATGCCCGACACTTCATCATCTTGATTTCTCCGACTGCGCATAGCTGGACAGTACGTGCGGTTCAGTTTCCATGAGGGCCATGGATGTTCCACCAGGGACTTTGCTGTGGTCATTGCCTACCCTGCTGCACCCGAATATCACACCACTCCGAACCCATGCAAGCACGGCAAGCTTTTCCAGCCATCGAGCGCACGCGAAGGCAGCGTTTGGGACCCTGGAGGCAGGGCCGTGGGCTGGAGCCCAAGATTGCATTTCCGGGTTGTTTGGGAGTCGGCGGGACATGTGCAGCCAAAGGCAAAAGGAAGACTGCAAGTTTGCAGCCGGGATCAGCGAAATGTGCGTGGGGCATGGTACTTGGGAGATGTCATTGTTTTCCTACAGTATTGCCCTGTATTGCCTGTTCAGCTTCGAGCTGAGGTTTTTAACCCTGGGTATCCCTGGGTGCTTGGGTTGAAACACTGCTCCACCCCAGAACCAGGGAAGTCAATCTTCAATGTAGTAAATGTCGCATGATTCTATGTCAGAGCTAGCAGGCAAAGCCACAAACCTTATACCCAAAGCACCCAAAAACCATCATCGTAAGTCAGCTCGGAACGAAGCTCCTCCAAGCATTCTCCAGCAGCTTTGTCCAGAACCCTTGAATTATGGAGTGTTTGACTGTACCAATGAGTCAAGTCCTGGCAACTGGTTGTCTTTGAGCACCTCAGCTTTAGACGATTTGCGGAATGCTCTTTAGTGAAGGTCAGCTTCGGCTTCTTCGAACCGTGCAAGACAAGGTTTTAGGATTTAGGTGGATTTAGGGTCCATGGAGGATTTGGGTTTCCCAGGGCCGTTTCTTTCAGACTCCGACTCCGAAATGGTGGGTTGAGTCTCAGCTCAGGGGGCGCTTGGGTGAGGCCCGTATTTGATTTCAAACTCAGCAACCTCCGTGCTTCACCGCTGTCTGGCTCGCCAGGCCCCAGAAGGGGCTGGAGATAATGTGAGTGCATCGGGTTGTTGTGGTTTGGTGTTCTAAGGGTATAGAGGATAGATGCTGCCCAAAATCCTAATACAGCAGGCTGGAACATGTCTTTTCGTGAATGCGATGGCGGATGCCGCCCGCACGCTCACCACCCATGCTCACTTCCTCAACACTGATATATACTTCCTTTGCCTTTCCTTGCAAACTGTAGAGATCCACCGTCAGCCTTTAGCCTCGGCATTTTGGGTTGTTTTCGGCATTTCCTGGGCGCGAAGTGCTGCCCATGTGGCAGGACGCCCCATGGGCTTTTAGCTTGAGGGGTTCGGATGCGGAGTATATAGGCTAGAAGGGCTTTCGTGCTTGGGTTGTGGGCTCGGGGGTTTGGGTAAAGGGTTCCGAATCTCGAAGAAGGTCGAATGTTGAAGCCCGAAACCGTGTATCTGACAAGAGAATCGTTTCGTGCCTCCGCAATGCGGTCTCCACCCTGATCGGATGGATCCCTTTTCGATGAATCGGACACCTGATTTCATGTCGAACAGACGTCATGTTGCAATCTCGTGCAGCAGCCAGTCGATGAAGGGACCAGTGAAGCGTATCGGCCGAAGTATCAAGCAAGCTCAAAGGAAGCTCGGCACCAAAGGACGAGCATTCGAGCGTGGCTTTTCAACACTTTCAGTACCGCCTGGCTAAATCATAAGCAGAGGGACACGAGTTCTGTTTGACACATCATATATGCAGATACAGTGAGCCAAGCTCAGTGGCCATTGCACCCGATGTCCTTGGCCTAAAGCTCATGGTCATTCTTCATGTCCCGCCCCGCATATGTTCGAGTTCGGGTCTTCAAGAACGTGAAAGAGAAGAAGCTGCTGCTATCTCTGCAATGTAGGGACCTGCCTAATCAGACTGGGCTGAGAGTAGGGTTTTGGAAGGATACAGGTGCACTGAAAAAGAAAGGACAGAGTGTCTGACTTGTTTGAGGTGCCGTGATCGTTGGTGTTGCGAGTGGTTGCGAAGCCGCCGTAGGACCTCTTGCCGCACTGCCTCCAGCAATGCCGGGCGAAGGCGGGCCGACTACAGAGCCATGAGGATTGGGATGGATTGGGGACTTCAGGCTGTTGGTGCCTGAGAGGGCTGGGATTTGGGATTGTGGTAGTGTGCTTTCACCGCATGCGCTAGTCACTAGAAGCTGAAAATCAAAGCACCACGTCAGACAAGGGTGAGTCGCATAAGGCATGCGTCGAACCCTCAAGGCCTCTTCTTGTTGCAGCTTTGCTGATATCGTCTGGCCCGAAGCCATAAATAGCAGTTTTGGTTTCGCTGCTGGATCTGTCTCGAAACCCGACGCTTGCCTGGCAATTACCTATACTATTCGTGGGGGTTCCTTGTTATAGTTATGGCATAGTAGACCCCAAAGCCTTATTCTAATCATTCAGCCCCCCATACTATAGAGCCCTACTCTAGACCCCGTTTTAGGAACCCTCTGAAGGCCCCTATCTTAACTATCAAGGCCCTTTCCAGGAAGCCCTGAAAAGACCCTGCCGTGGCCAGGACCAAGCCTTGGCCTCCCTCGAGACGCTGCTCCTCGGTGGTCTTGCCGCCTCTGCCGCGCACCGAGCTGTGAGGGTTTGTTGAAAAGGTTTTTGGGGTTTGGGGTTTAGGGCGCCTCGGGGTTCAGGGTTTAAGCTTTGGGGTTTAGGGTTGAGGGTTCAGGGTTGGGAAAAGGTGCGATGAGCTTGACACAACAACGACATCACGACTTGCTTCTTCACGGCTTGAACGACTCGAGTCCGTGTGAGAGAGAGAGAGAGAGAGAGAGAGAGGGTTCCTCAACAGGATCTCATCAGGGATCTACATGGGGTTTGGGATGAAGAAAAAGGGTCCTGGCTGCAAAACAGGGCTTTAGATTTCCAGGCTCTGGGTACGGGGCTTCGACTTTAGGATTTAGGGTCTAAAACTCGTGTTGAGGTTTAATGAGACAACAGTTTGAAGTTTCACCACTGAGGGTTGTGGGCAGGGCGTTGGGGTGCTTGAACGGGTCTGGCACTGTTTGAGCACGTGAGGGTGAACCGAAGTGTACCGCATTGCTGCATGTCCTGTCTGTTGCCGTCAAGCATTAGAACTATGGCTATGGTTTGATAGTGGCGGTAAGCCAGGGACGAGGGTAACGGTGGCCATTTCAATCGTGTTCGTGGATGTGCTGAGTGGTGGTGGTGCCGATACCAAGGTTACAGGTTCATGCCAAAGGTGATGTTACGTAGTGCTACTGATGCCACCGCCGCTGCCACTGTTCTGCTGCTGCGGCTGCTTCACTGCTTACAACCATGAGCACGACCATGAGGAAAGCTGCTTCAATGCTTATCTTGCTTTTGGATGACGACATTATCAGCTGCGAAGGAAATCGTTTAGCCAATGCTGAAAGAGTAATGCCCGTGGCAAATCGAGCCAAGCATGCAGCAACCAGCCGGTCCCGTAAACGATTTGAAGCTTCCCCGCGATTCCTAAGTGGGTGAGCATACGTTTCTTGTGATCTGAACCTTCAGAAACTGAACCATAATAAACCCAGACATCTCATGAGCTCTTATGAGGACAAGCTCCCCGAGCGATTGCTGACGACAGAGGCACTCCCACGGGCAAGAACTACGAACCATCCCACACTTCGTTTCAAACCGTTTGGCTCCGAACCTTACGCTTCGGTTCAGCAATGAGCTTCGCTTAATCTCCTTTCCCGTGAGGAGCGTCGTGTTTTGAGTTCAAGGAGTTTACGGGTTGGTTCGGGCATAGGCATGTGCCTCTCCCACTTGGCGTGGATTCAGTCATCGTTACAACAGAGGAGCACCCCTAAACCCTAAACTCTACCCCAAAACTTTGCTTCGTCCTTGCTAGGTAGGAATGAAAACAACTCCCAAAACTTTAAGCCCCCTAAACCCTAAACTCTACCCCAAAACTTTCAGCCCGAAGCCATAAACCGCATTCAGTCAGATGCTCTAAGCACTACCCCTGGTAGGAAGGACAACGACGAACCCTAAGCCCCTCAAAAACCCCTATAAGCACTAAACCCCGAGATCTATCGGAGGTGGACGCGGAAGACCTGCAGCAGCTGCAGGCTCGGGGTTGAATTCTCAGATTTTAAAGGAACCTTAGGGTTCCTTTAAAGGGGTACTATAAGGGTACTAAAATTAGGGTTACTATAAGGCCTACTGTATATGGGCGTTTCCGAGAATTAGGGGGGCCTTATTCTGGGGTCCTTGTCATCAGGATCTAGTATTTCGGGTACTATATCAGGGTCCCCTATTTTCGGAAACTCCTCCCATTTGGAAACCTCGACTATTGGCACCAGGGTTCCTCAATTCAGCAGTTTAGGGATCTCAATGGTCAGAGTCAGGTTCCTGGAAACTTTAACGGTTCATTTCACGGTGGTTCTGTAAGGGTACTTCAGGCTTCAGTCTAGTTTTGGGGGTTTCTTATTCTATAATGATGCAGGGACCACGAGGGGGATTGTACCAACATCCCGCGGTACGTTAGTTTCGTATCGGGGCCGATCTCGTTTGAGGGCCACGGGGTGCGCAGTGCGCTTTTTCAAGGAAACCCCGGCGCAGATCTTCATGCCGGAATGTGCTGGACATGGACCAGACGGCCAGCAAACATACCTGTAGCAGCTAAATCAGAAGTTCGTCGCTAGCGACGTGGATCGGAAGATCAGCGCACGGAGTTGCCGATGCCTTTGGTCTGTTGCGCAGAAATCGCTCCAAGAGCCCTTTCTTGGTTGGTTGACTTGGAGCCCTACGGCCCCAGAAGTTCTCAATCCATGGCAATGAGGGGAAGTCAGGCTTCGAGAAATAAAGAGCTAGCCATGCAGGAGGCAGAAAGCTTTACACCCTAAACCCTCAATGACATCCCATGCCCTCGGAACTCTCTTTCCCAGTCTGCCAGTACAGAGGGCCTCATGCACATTGCTTTCTGGGCAGCGGCTCCCAGCCCTAAATCCTAAACCCATATTCCCAGAAAGCCTTAAACCTCAAACCCTACACCCCGAACCATAAACCCCAAAATTCAACAAGTGTTCGACCATGGTTTTGGACAAGAGTTTTGATCGAATTCGCGCTCTTCCGTCCAGGCTGCCTGCTTCGGGGGGTCTCCAACCGGGCCCTTAAAGAGTCGGGTTGAAAAGTTAGGGTTCTGTGGGTTTAGAGTTTGGCATTCCGTGAGCCTAAAGTCTAGGATTGTCAAGGTTTAGAGTTCAGGATTCTGGGGTACTGGAGTTTTCAAGTTGAGGATTCTGTGGGTACTGACGCTACTGACTACTGACTTGCACGACTTTGCAACAGCTGACAGGATCATGAGCATTACATCTTCGACGGCCTCATGGAGGCCGGGAGTCCTCCATAGAGAGCCGCGGACATCCACAGAGCGTTAGCCCTAAACCCCACTTGCTAAGCTTCAAATCCCAAGCTCTCTGGACTTTGCCGAATTGGAAGCTACTTGCCAGGTTGCCCAGGAGTCGCCCTCTCTGGCGCACTCGGCGGGGAGGTGGGGGTGCTTCAAGGCTTTTTTGGGTCTGATCTTGAGGGGTAGGGTGTAGGAGTGAAGCAAATGCACATGCTTACACTGTCTTGGACGGTGCTCGCGATGATCAACGGGATGCATTTTGACAAGAAGCACAACGTAGTGTTCAAGTCCGTAGTGCTAGCAGCAACGCCCCATGCAATGATTCAACAGTCTTTAGTTTGTGGTGGTCTAGGTCTGGCATTACCCTGTTGAGCAAAGCCTCAGTCAGCAGTTCCGGTGCCCCCAACCCGAAACCAGGCCGTTCCGGTTTTGTTAGGTTTAGGGTTGAGTTTCTTTTTGCTCCCGCCCTAAACCCTAAACTTCGAAGCGCGCCCGATAGATCTCGCCTGGATTGTCCGAGTGGAACCCTAAACCCTAAACCCTGAATTCCGGCTTGTGTAGCCGTAGTACCCACTTGCAGACGGAAAAGAGCTCTCAAAAAGAAGCGTTCCCACGCCCTCTCAGGTGCTTTTACTTCTACGCTCTCTGCTTCGGCGCCTTCCCAGCGGTTTGGCGCCGGGCGCTGGACCGCCTCAGCGGCGCTGCCCCCTTTCCGAGGCTCCGGGTGGTTTAGAGTTCTGGGATGTTGTGTGCGTTGTCGTGAGAGTAAGATGAATCATGCTAATATGAGAATACGATTGTGGCTATTATTGCTATTACTGTTGTTAATATTAAAGCTAGTGCTATTGTGTGGTGATTATGAGAGTAACGTTCGAGAGGCGCTTCTGACGAAGTGTTTCGGCCTGCAGATTTATGGTGCAACATACGGACAGACGGGCAAGCCAGACGGTTACACAGATGGACAGATAGGCAGATAAACAGACATGCAGCAAACATTCTGCAGATTGCATGCGTAAAGCAGGTCTGCACATCTTTACCTACTCGAACAGGTGTTTCAACATGCAATTGTTTGCACGCATGCGACAATTGCGTGGTATGTAGCCAGCCAAAAAGGATATGGATGTCAGCTGAAACCATGAGCAGCCACACCAACAATCAGTCAGCGGAATCAGTTATGCAGAGTTATGCAGAAGCAGGCCGAGCGCATTCATGTTTCGGTACTAATGTATACCTGTCTTGCGGACTGTGTGTGCGCAGGACTACCCACGCATGTACGTCCGTGTGCTTGCTGGTCCGTCTGTCCGTCTGTCCTTCTGTCCGTTTGTCTGTCAGTCTGTCTGTCTGTTGATCTGCATGTACATAGGAACATATATGTTGATGCAATTAAGCAGTTGTTGACATGCTGTCGGCGAAGTCGAAGTCTGGTGAAGGCTGCAGGCCCAGCTTCGGGTTCTGCGCGGCGTCTTGGAGACGGCTTCTTGGGCATTGAACTGAGTGTGTACCAACTTCATTGGAGCCCATCTCAGGTTTATGAGAACCATCGTCTTGACAGCAGCGCGTCTACATGAGACATTGCTCGTTGTTGGCCCCAGGTTCCCAGCTACAAGTGTGTGTGTGTGTGTAGAACTTGCGGGGACAACAATCGTACAAGCAAGCCCGGTAGCCTTCGCGATCCGTTGCAGGGTCTAGACGCCAAATCCTGAACAGTAATGCAGGAGGCAAAGCAAGCGCAATGTCGGACTGAGGAGAAGCAGCTTGCCAGCTCGGAAGGCACCGTTTCTTCTGGCTCCACTAATGTGGTGTAGTACTTGCCGCCGTCCTCCACACTAATACTAAGAGCGTCGCGAAGACAACCATTCTTTTTCCATCATCGTGGGCATCATCCTCAGCACTCTTTGCTGCACGACTGTCATCATCGCGAGCATTACGGCCGTCATCATCATCATCGTCAACATCAACATCATCATCATCGTCATCACTACCGGTGGTCTGGATCGATGTTGTCGCCATCGCCTGCATCATCATCCTTAGCCTCGTCCTCCTCTGTATGCTCACTCTCCCACTCACCGGAATTATGTCCACGCCGCCGCAATTCCCCCGCCAACGCTTCCTCCTGAACACCACCATGGCATGGCTAGTCATTTCGACATTGTCATCACCGTTGCTGCCATCATCATCCTCATCATCCTCATCACCATTGCGGCCATCATTATTCCTCACCTTCGTCATAGCCAGTGCCGCAATCATCATCGCCATCATCGTCTTCATCATCAACAACAACATCACCACCTCCATGAGCTTCATCATCTTCATCACGCCGTCATCACCACCATAACAACCACTACTTTTGCCGCCATCAGCATCGCTCGCCATCAGCATCATCATCCTCCTCATCATCGTCATCCACACTACCTTCGTCATCAACAGAACCTGCACTACCCACCACCTCCGCCGCCGCCGCCACCACCACCACCACCACCGCCACCACGACGATACATTGTCGTGATTCCATCGCCAGGTTCATAAATCATAGCCGTCCTGTCCTTCATGTCACCACTGCAAGTGTTAGCAACACCTCCAAGATCCCGGTCGTCGCAATGAGCCTGACCCTGAACCCAGGCCCCAAACTTCGGTGTTCGTGCTTGCAGGAAGCCGCGCATCACCTCCGACTAAGGCAGGTCTCCGAATTTTTTGAGCTGTCATTGGCAGGCTTTGATGTCCACTTTCTTCTAAAGACCGGTCTCAAGTCCTTCAGGAACAGCAATATGACAAATAGTGCTGTTTACCGTCTGAGCAGCAGCCTTTGATCACCACAGGCAGCATGACGAGACTGCTTCTAACTGAAGCCCTTGCACCGAAACGACAACCCCCAATTACTGACTCCCTAAAACCTTCGACCACCCTAACATCTTAATTCTTAACACAACACTTTACATCGAGCAGCCCGAAAAGCCTTAAGCCACCAACAAGAACGCTGCGGCCAGTAATCGAGGCCTTGGCGGGGGGCCTGGCTTCGCAGGTCCTGGGATCTCTGCTGCAGGCCGTTTGTTTGGGGGTTTAGTGTTTAGGAACACGGTTTAGCACTAAATCCTAAAGCTTTAGTGCTAGGGGTCTAGGGTTTGGTTTTGGCACTTGTTTCGGCTCGGATTCCCGGAGATCACATGCAACAGGGGCACAAAAACCCAAAGCCTGAGACCTAAACGCCAAGCAAAAACTGAGACCCCGAAGCCCTCGACCCGAGAAGTTCGGTCTATTCCAGAGCCGTGGGCCGGAAAATCAGCAAACTCTCGGTTTCAGAGACCTGGGAAAAAGTATACCTTAGAATTCAAATCGTTCCTCGAGCAATGACGGCCCTCATATCAAGAGCCCCCTTGACCAGGCTACGACATTTGAAACCGTTGCGGGGCTTGTATTTTGCAGCTCCAAGCTTCGATGAACTCCCTGGAGACCCTAAAGCCGAAGACGTCACAACTCCTTTGTGGCCCTAATGTCTTGCGCCCACCCTGTGACAGGTTCTAGAGCAGGCGCAGTCCCATCGGCACCTTGGCGAAACCCAGAGCTTGATGTCCTTGCCTAAAAGCATGGGTTAGAGTTTAGGGTTTCTGTTTTTGAGTTCAGTTTCAAGTTTGCTGGTGGCCAGCACACACACCCCAAAGCCCGTGCTGAACAGCGGTTTCAGGCGATTGCACACGTCCTGATGCAAAGAAACGTTCATCTTGGAGGTGGCATCATGCTCCTCGCCGTCACCCTCCGAATCACTCGACGCTGTGAACCCCAGACTCTGCAAACACACACACACACACACACACACACACACACACACACACACACACACACACACACACACACACACACACACACACACACACACACACACACACACACACACACACACACACACACACACACACACACACACACACACACACACACACACACACACACACACACACACACACACACACACACACACACACACACACACACACACACACACACACACACACACACACACACACACACACACACACACACACACACACACACACACACACACACACACACACACACACACACACACACACACACACACACACACACACACACACACACGATCAAGCCCAAAACCGGGAGGGCAAAAAACCCATCCCAGCTGTGAGAGTAAAGCAGAAAGCCCCTCCAGGCCCAAACTTCAATATAGAGGCCTAAAGAATTGCCCATACTATTTTGGGGGTTCCTTATGATATATATATATATATATATATATATATTCATGTAGTACAATGGGCCCAAAACCCTATTCTAATTGTTAAGGCCCCTATATTATCCGAGGCTGGTGGGAGAGATCGCCCCGGCCCTGGCGGCCGTAGCGAATGCGGCGCCCAGAGAGTTCCACAACCATTTTGAGGCTCCGGGGTTTTGGGGTGAGGGTTTAGGGTATAGGGAGGGAGAGAGAGAGAGAGAGAGAGGCAGAGAGAGACAGAGAGACGAAGAGAGAGACGCAGTGGTTGTTTTGGATCCTGTTGTTGCCCGCACGATTACAGGAGTTCAGGGTTGTTTCCAAGGCTTGTGCGGTGTAGAGGTAAATACGAGACCCATTGTTTTTTGCACTTTTGTTTTTTTTTGCACTTTTTTTTGGCCCTTCCGTGGGAAGGAATCAAGGAAGGAAGGAGAAAAAACCAAGACAACGAACCAAAGAACAACAATAAACACCAAACAAAGAGAAATGCCACCAAAACAACTTCACTCGTTTGTTTTCCTGCGTAAACGCAGAGGTAAACATAGACAAATACAGGTCTATGGATGTAGATGTGGACATATCGAGAAAATCCTGGTTTTCCACCTTAACTAGATAAAAGACGTAGGCAACTCCCCCCTAAACCCGAAACCCGGGAACGTAGGCAACTCCCCCTTAAACCCGAAACCCCCAGCCCCACCCGCAACCCGAAACCCCCAGCCCCACCCCCTCCAAAAAAAAGGGGCAAAAAAAGGGCCAAACAAAAATCTCACCCGGTAAATAGGGCTGGCATCGGACATTCAAAACACCCTAGCCCCTAAACTGAAAACCCAATGGTGTAACTTTGAGGTTCATCGTAGCCGAACTGACTGTTCTTGTTTGCCTGTACCATATCATAAGCTGATCCTTGGCATCTGACCAACCAAGAGGTGCACAGATCAATCCGGCTCCTTGCACGTCCTTCCCCACATCATATCCTGATGCCTGACCCCAAGCCTCTTGAAGCCTCAAGCCCCCGGAAGCCTTCAACCTCAGAGCTCTCGAAACACAAACCTGAAACCCCTGGCCCCGAAGCTCGGCTCCAGACGAAACCATTAACCCCTTGCCCCGAAGCCAGCAAGCCTGAATCCGAAAGCCTAGGCGTGCCCGAGCGGCCCTAAACCTGAAACCTCTATGTGGAGGACTCGGCAGATCTTCTGCTGGGCTGGGCCGCCGGCCCGGGTGCAGCACTCAGTAGCAGAGGTTTTGTGGGGTGCAGAGTTGCATCAATGGTGCCACGAACATGGGGAGTTTCGCGTTCTCAGGTTCCCAGAGCTTAGGCTTGAGGGATTTGGGTTTGGGAGTTATTCGGTTTGCAGGGAAACTGCAGGGTTTGGTGGCTTCACGGTGCTCGGGTAAGTAGATTTGAGGCGTGGGTTTTGGTATCAAGTTGTTTCTCCGGTTTAGGTGAGGAGCCCATAGTTTGGTGTCCCTGCTGGAGGTTTAAGGATAGGCACGTGTCATGTCTGACATATGTCATGCAACATGTGTTTACAGCGGAGGTTTTTAGGCGCACGGGAGAGGCATCCTGTGCCAAGTTAGCGCAAACGGGGTTTGCTAGCCCTCAGCCTGCCGAAGCGGCCATGCAAAGATGATCGAGAGGTCGAGCAACTCATGTTCACAGGACAGCCGAAGATTGATGTCTTGATGTTTGCAGATTCTGGACGAGAAGTCCCGCGCTTGTCTGGTCGTGTCCGGGCTCCAAAGTCTCATGCAAGAAAGAAGCCCGGTCAAAGGCCTCTCCGACGACCAGCGGGTCGTTATCAACGCGGCCTTCGCGTCCTTTGGCCCACATTGGAGAGACGTGACTCGGCCGAGTACGTTTCAGGTTTTTGGGTTTCCGGTTGTGGATTCTCTGGCTCTGTTCTCAGATGGACCTGAATTCGTCTTTCTGGATTTCGAACCTCAAAACTAAACCCTCCAAGCCATTCCTTTGATTTTGCTAGTCGTGCGTGATTCATCTGTATCTGGTGATCCGAACCCCTGAGCCCCACAGAAAGAGTCTTCAGGTTGCTCGGTCCTTCAATGCCCCTCAAAACCCCTAAGCCCCAAGCCCGTGTAGTACCCTTATAGAGTCCTTTTGGAACCCTAAGCCATCAACCCTAGAGGCCCCTTGAACACGGGCTTGGTCGGGAGTGAGGAGCGCCACCGGCCCTTTGCCACGGCGATGCAGCGCAAGGCCCGCAGAGAACGACACCGGGTTCTGAGAGGGATTCAGACGGTTTCAGAAGGCTTTAAAAGGGTATCATGACGCTGCTGTCAGTGTTCTTGTTCAGGAACCTAAGGAGAACATTGTTATTTGCTACATGACCCAATTTACTGCATTTCAAGTGCCGTGGAAACCTGGCAGGCTAAGCCCAAAATGGTCCTTGACTTGAGAGATGAAGGGTTTGGGAGCTTTGAAGTTCCTGGGAGCTTTGAAGTTCCTGAAGACGAAGGTTGGGGGTTGGGGGGTTTGGACTTTGGGGTGTAGACCTCCTCAAGGCTTTGGGCGGAGGGTTTATCTCAAGTTTAGGTTGAGGAAGCTGAGCGGATATATATATATATATATATATATATCAAGAGCCATGAAAGCCAAGCGTTTGCATTGAGTTTTGTTTTTCTCCTGGTGCATCCCCTCGCTACTGTCTCTTCTTCTTCCCTTTCTGACTTACCGTGGTAGGTGTCATTGAACTTAAGTCTAAAACTGCTTCTCTTGAGTCTTGTATTAGCTTTTGGCTTGGGTTACGTTCCTAGCAAGAGCTCTGCAGGCTGAATGCAGGGAGGGTCGAGGGTGTGTGATTTAGGATGAGGGAACGACTTCCCGAAGCCATAGAAGACTGCAGCCCCGAAGCCATTGAAGCTTTGAGCTTCACGAGGTGGTGGCAGACATGCAAAAGCTAGTGGAGGCGGGTGTTGCATGTCATTCAGGGTATTCCTTGCAGTGTGTGTATATATATATATACACACACGCGCACACACACACACACACACCATGGTTTACATCAAAACCCTGTTCCAATGGCCTCCAATCGCTGGTGGCCCTGACGGATCCGGCTGGCAAACGTAGGTTTTTGGTTGGAGCTTGCGCAGCTCAGGAGTTAGATGTCAGGCCTTAAGATGTTAAGGTCGATATCAGTGCCCAAGGCACCAATCATCAAATATGACAGTTGCGGCTCTGCGTAGTTAGATTGTCTCAGATGCAAGCTTCATGCAAGTAATAGTGCGCAAAGCAAGCATGCAGGACTCTGAGCCAAGGCTGTCAATCTGCAAGCAGAACAATAGTCGACGACAGCCAAATGACACCGACGACTGCTGCCTGTCATGCTCCTGCTCCCCACCTTCTGTGCTGCTGCTGCAGCTGCGGCAGTTCCCGTGATTCTGCTGATGCTCCTCCTCGGCCTCCTCTTCCACGTGCTGGTATGACGACAAGTGCATAGGAGTGCTAACCAGGGCAAGGCACAAACTGGTAGTAATTGATGCGGAATCAGTAGCAGTCGTGGCACCGACAGCCAAGAAAGCATACTAAGCGACCTGACATAAACCATCCGTCCTTTCGATGTGTATCAGCAGCATGCAGAGACGTGCGACACGGTAAAAATACTGTTTGACCAGGCAGGAGTGAAATGCCAAATGCCCAAGATTCGGATTGCTAAGCAATGGAACTGCTGGCACGCAGGGGGACCGTGAAGCTCTGCATGCTCTGCTCTACTGCTTCTCGGCGTAGGGGGGCTTCCAGGTTTTCCTTGCAGCCAGGTTCTCGGAGCTGTTGATGTCTCACCGAGGCTTGGTTCTGGCTTGATCGGCTTAGTTTGCGAGAGTCGCGCGATCACGTAGGTGGCTTCTTGCTAGACTTGGCTGGAAGAATTGCATCCGAAAGTGACAGCCTTACATCCGATGCCCTCGACGCTACACCCTAAACATCCTGAACCCTGACCTCTACACCGAAGACTCAAACCGATAAGAAAGCCCAGCGACCCCAAGCCCGCGGACCCGAGGCTTCTATGGCATCTCCGTAGCCATGGGGCACCTAATCGAAGATGGAGTTCTTCACAAGGGTCTCATGGGGTTCCAAGCGGCTTGAGAAGGCTTAATTACTCAATGTAGAAATCCGGCTTCTATAAGGTTTCTGCTAGGTCCGAGCCACCTGCGCTCTGTTTCCCGACCCTAGGATAGCCCGTGTGTTCACTTCCGGCTATGTTTTGGGATCCATCTGCAAGAACTGCTGTCTGTTGGTGTCCGGCTTGGGCCTGTCCGTCGGGTTCCTATTCCTGGCGATACTGTTGGGATGTAATACTAGTAGGAGAAGTAGTAGTCGTAGCAGCAGTAGTAGTAGTCGTAGTCGTAGTCGTAGTCGAAGTGGTAGTGGTAGTGGCAGTGGCAGTGGCAGTGGCAGTGGCAGTGGTAGTGGTCGTGGTGGTAGCCGTAGCCGTAGCCGTAGCCGTAGCAGTAGCAGTAGCAGTAGCAGTAGCAGTAGCAGTAGCAGTAGCAGTAGCAGCAGCAGTATGGGTAGAGGCAGTATGGGTAGCAGTAGTAGTAGTAGTCGTCGTCGTAGTGGTCGTAGTGGCCGCAGTAGTAGTAGAAGTAGTAGTAGTAGTAGTAGCAGCAGTAGTAGCAGTAGCAGTAGCAGTAGCAGTAGCAGTAGCAGTAGCAGTAGCAGTAGCAGTGGCAGTAGCAGTGGCAGTGGCAGTAGGAGTAGGAGTAGGAGTAGGAGTAGGAGTAGTAGTAGTAGTGGTAGTGGTGGTAGTAGTAGTCGTAGTAGTAGTAGTAGTAGTAGTAGTAGTAGTAGTAGTAGCCGTAGTAGTAGTCGTAGTAGTAGTCGTAGTAGTAGTTGCAGTTGCAGTTGCAGTTGCAGTGGCAGTTGCAGTGGCAGTTGCAGTTGCAGTAGTTGGTTGTGTTGGTCTGTTCGGCCCACTGTGCTTTTGGTTTTCGCTTCTGTGGGACTTCTGCTGGAATCCATGCCTGCGCTGTGCGAGTGTGCGAAGTCGAAACCCTTAACCGAAAGAAGTGGAAGCACCTTGCTTGAAGCACGAATTCCTTCAGAATAGAAGACGGCTATCCTGAATTTCGAAGAGAACCCACGAGCTGTCAAGGAACCTCGGGGAGTTTTACGAGACGGCCGCACCGATAATCTTGAGGCTGGTGCCGCAGCAAGCCTTTCTCTTTCACTTATATATATATATATATATATAATATGTGTGTGTATATATTTGTAAGTAGAAGCACCTACCTGTATAGGCTTGGCCGAATGCGTTGCACAGAGTTTGGGACTTGAGCGCTACGGGCTCGAGAAGGGTGGTTGGGTCAGGGCTCACGCGCGGGGCTTCGTGTTTGGTTTCGGATAAAGGGTGTTTGGTGTCTGGCAGAAGCCTCAACCCGCAGACCGCAACCCTCCACCCTTAAGCCCTTGGTTGAGGGTTACTTTCGGATCCCTAGTTCCCACTCTGACATGCTTCTTTGCAGCCGTTGCCTGTCCGGATTAGTGCAGCTGCAATAGGGGTTGGGGCCGGCCGCCTCTCCCAGTAGGGGTTTGTTTTACTACTTACCTTTGGTTAGTAGGGAATTGCAGAATGGTAGTAACAGTAGTTATAATTGTACCCCATTCCTCCATTACCTACTAACCAAAGATAAGACTAAGCCTCTGAGGAAGTGCATTGGGTCTTCCGGGAACCTGGCCTCCTTGTCCATGCAGGGCCCCGAGAAGGAGTGGGCTTAGGGTTTGGGCTAGAGTCTAGAGTTTTAGGGGCTTTGGGCCTTAACCCCCTGACCCGTATACACCCCTTGAGCCCCTCAAACCCCAAACTAAGCCCCTTAAGCCCTGGCTTGGCATGTCCGAGTTCTGAGAGCGCAGACCCCTTGAGCCCTAAACCCCGAGCAAAGCCTTGCTTACCGCTTGAATCAAGCAACGTCCCTTTCGATATTGCTAGCCTTAAGAATTACTAAAGCTATTTTGGGGATTCCTTGTTGTAAGTATAGGATAATTGGCACCAAAACCATAGTCTAATCATTAAGGCCCCAACACGAGATTTGAAGGGTTCTGGTTGTGGTGCCTTGGAGGGTTTAGGCCTTCCGTGAAATGAGAGACCTGCCGCCCGGCCCTTCGAACCTCCGTCCTTTGACAATTTGACCACAATGCACCATCCCCCTGACATGGGACTTCTTGAATCAAGCGTGCCTTAATCTTAGGGTCCCTCTAACAAGAATCCTGCTGTTGCGAATCTAAACAAGGGTCCTTTCTTTTCTGAAACCCTCGCAAATCCACGGCATGGCGAAGCATGAAAGTCTATGAAGGCATCGCTTGGTGCAACTTTTCGCTCTCCTAGAAAGCCCAAGTACCGCTCAGCTACGATGTCCCCTCAGTATAGGGTAGGGTTTATTGAGCCTTGAACCCTAAATTGCAAAGCCAGCCATGCAGGAGGCAAACAAAAACTGCAAAGCCGTTTCATGGTCTCAGGAACCGTTGTGTTTTCATTGTCTCGATCGGGCTCGGGTGGGCTCGCCAGGAGCAGAAGATCTTGGGCCGGGACACCGAGGCAGGGCTAGGGATTGCAGGCTTTGGGGCGGTTTTTGGGTGTTTCTAGGGTCCAGGGTCAGGGTGTGCCGAGTTTGGAGGTTTTCCGCCCAGTGTTTCATTTCGGCCGGCTCAGGCTGGTTAAAGGAACCACTTATGGTTCACGGTAGGTGCCCCTTGGTGCTCTGCAGGGTTGGTAACGCCAAGGCAGGGAGCGTTTCGTCGAGGAAGCTTTTGACTCCAAGGCAGTTTCTCGACAGTTTCCATCCTCGACCCACGGTCCTGTGGACACAAGAGTTGTTTGCCTTGGGGCGCCTGGCTCTTGAATTGTGAGGCAGCTTGGGGACCATTAATGGCGTTGAGGTCCACGTACCTTGCCCAGCTTTTTCAACTAGAAATGCTTAGGGCACCTAAGAAGTAACGTCAGAGATCTTCGGATCCTTGCCCGCTCAAGCTTTTCTGTTGATAGCCTGCCTGCCAGTGGCCCTACTGCAGGTGACGCTGGTTTCAAGGGGACTCAGCCGCACACGGCTGCGCCTTGTCTTGGATCGCTGGCCTAGATAGATTCCAAACATTTCCCCATGTGGGCCGATTTGATGGTTACATGACTACAGTCATGCAGGTACGGCAGGGTTAGTCCGGTTGTCTTGTCGGGGGCCATTCTCAGACGACAGATGTGCATGTCTGAAAGTACATTAGCAAATACACAAAGATACGTGGTCATAACCTCCGGGTCTTTAGGGATCTTGATTTTGAGGCCTTTGAGGAAAGGGGGTTTATGTGAAGAGAAGCCTAGGCCTGGGCCCCCAGCCCGTGCCCGAAGCCGGAGAGCTCCAGTAAACGGCCCGAGACCCTAAATCCCTCTAAAACCCGAAAGCCCAAAAGTCGAATCCCAAACGGCCCTGACTGAATTATCCCGAATCCTTAGCCTGCCTTCAGGGACACTCACCTGCGCCTTTAGGTGCCTCGCGTTGCACTTGGACACCCTGCAGTACGCTGGGCCTTCGGCACCACCACAACTTGTTCTCCAGGTGCCATTCGCTTCGGTTTAGGACAAAAATTTGGGTTGCTAGAAAGGGTTTCAGCAAAGGGTCCCGGGGCGCGTTTGGCGTTCCGAGTTGATGAAGCTTGAAGATAGTCTAGCTGCATGTGTGTTGAGGTCCGATGTTGTCAGCCTTCGTCGCAGATTGGTGGTGTCCAACGTCCTTTTGGTGAGGAAAGGTGTCCACTGTGATGTCCTTATCATTTGGATGTCGAGACAGACCAGCTCCGTTTCCAGCATGTGCGTGCTCTGCATGTAGTATCCCGGAAGTGTGTGTCTGTGATGCTGGAGCCCAGCTACAATCCGTAGACCGAGCCCCTAAGCCTTGCCTAAACCCCAAGTGGGAACCCAAAGCCCGCGCCGCTTTTGGCTGAAGCATTTTCAGCCCAAGACGTGTTTGAAAACTTAGCGCAGGGTGCTTTTTCTTCGCAACATGTCGCAGCGCACATCGGCAGCCGTCGCCTTGGGTGGCTTGGCCGGCTTGGCGTACATGAGCTCGGGCAGCCAGGGCCAGACATTCGCAGCGGCGCCGGCCACCGCGAACCTTCGCCAGCAGCACACCGTCCAGACCGCTGCAGCCACGCCGCCTTCCTCGGCCTCCACGTCTCTGCCGGCAATGATGGCTGGCGGTGCGGTCCTCGCAGCTGCTGCTGCTTCTGGACGTGCTACCCGTGCGCATGGCAGCGCGCCCCTCCCGACCAGCGTGATGCCAGTGAGGACAACGGTCACAGCTCGCCAAGCCCTAGACCAGTCCAGCCGCTATGCGGACTTGTCCTTGGATGAGGCGACGCTCATCAAGAACGGCAAGCACGTGCTGGTCGCGTACATCATGAAGCCGAAGGCACATTTTGCGCCAGTCTCTTTCCCCCCTGAATGCAACTCAGTCTATCCTTGTCTCAGGCAGGTTATGATTACCTGGCCACCGCCGCCCACTTCGCCGCCGAGTCTTCCACCGGCACCAACGTGAACGTGTGTACGACGGATGACTTCACCAAGTCGGTGGATGCCTTGGTCTACTACATCGATCCTGATAGCGAGGAGATGAAGTTGCTTGGTTCTGGAGGATCATACTTTAAAGCTGTTTCTGTTGGTACGTGTTCCTTGAAGGAGCCAGTATGACGTGAATGTTCATACTTTTTCTCCTGGGTTGCTTCAAAGCCCAGGATCGCGTACCCCACCCTGCTGTTCGATCGCAACATCATCGACGGCCGCGGCATGATGTGCTCCTTCTTGACCCTGGCTATCGGCAACAACCAGGGTCATGGGCTCAGAATGCCCAGTTGATAAGATGAGCAAATACGTACCGATGTAACGGTTGGTTCATGTTTCCGTGGTCAGCACTGTGTGTTATGGTTCAGGTATGGGCGATGTCGAGTACGGCAAGATCTACGACTTCTACCTGCCCCCGTCCTTCCTGCGCCTGTATGATGGGCCCGCCGTGAACGTGGAGGACATGTGGCGCATCTTGGGCAAGGGCACCAGCAACGGTGGTCTCGTGGTTGGAACCATCATCAAGCCCAAGCTCGGCCTGCAGCCCAAGCCTTTCGGCGAGGCCTGCTATGCCTTCTGGCAGGGCGGAGATTTCATCAAAAATGATGAGCCGCAGGGCAACCAGGTGTTCTGTCAGATGAACGAGTGCATCCCTGAGGTCGTGAAGGCCATGAGGGCCTGCATCAAGGAGACCGGTGTTGGCAAGCTGTTCTCGGCCAACATCACCGCGGATGATCCCAACGAGATGATTGCCCGCGGCAAGTACTGCCTGTCCCAGTTTGGCCCACTCTCGGAGAACTGCGCCTTCTTGGTGGATGGATACGTCGCAGGAGGCACCGCCGTGACCTGCGCCCGCCGCAACTTCCCCAAGCAGTTCTTGCACTACCACCGAGCCGGACACGGATCCGTGACCAGCCCCCAGACCCAGCGCGGCTACACCGCCTTCGTGCACACGAAGATCTCGCGAGTCATCGGTGCGTCCGGCATCCACACCGGCACCATGAGCTTCGGCAAGATGGAGGGCGATGCCTCCGACAAGAACATCGCCTTCATGCTTCAGGACGATGAGGCCGATGGCCCCTACTACCACCAGGAGTGGGAGGGCATGAAGCAGACCACTCCCATCATCTCCGGCGGTATGAACGCCTTGCGTCTGCCAGCCTTCTTCGAGAACCTGGGCCACTCCAACGTGATCCTGACTGCCGGTGGTGGCTCCTTCGGCCACAAGGACGGACCCAAGCCGGGTGCCATCTCCTGCCGTCAGGGTGAGGAGGCCTGGAAGGCCTGGAAGGCCGGACAGTATGGCAACATCAGCCTGAGCGATGGCGTCATCGAGTTCGCCAAGACCCACGAGGAGATCAAGGGCGCTTTCCTTACCTTCCAGAAGGATGCCGACCAGATCTACCCGGGTTGGAAGGAGAAGCTGGGCTACACCGGCGAGTCCTCCGTGCAGGCTGCCAGCTTCGACTGGGCCAAGAAGGCCTCCGCCGCGGCCTTCGTCGGCGCCAGCGTGGCCCCTGCCAAGAAGGAGAGCAACGTATCGCTCAAGGCCCTGGACCAGTCCAGCCGCTACGCAGACCTGTCCCTGGACGAGGCCACCCTGGTCAAGAGACTCGGCTGCAGGTTGGAGTGGCTGGTGCTGATCTCACATGAGAGGTGCCGGTGACTTATTGCAGGCCCACGAGCGCACTGGAGATTGATCCCGATTAGTTTTCTGAAGTGAATGTGGTCCTGCAGTGGTCGAATAGTCCGAAAATGCACGTTGAGAGAACTCTGCTTAGCTCTTGTGCAAGTTCCGTTAGACCGAGGAACGGCAAGCATGTGCTCGTTGCCTACATCATGAAGCCGAAGGCACATGTTGCGCCAGTCTCTTTCCCCCCTGAATGCAACTCAGTCTATCCTTGTATCAGGCAGGTTATGATTACCTGGCCACCGCCGCCCACTTCGCAGCTGAGTCTTCCACCGGCACAAACGTGAACGTGTGTACGACGGATGACTTCACCAAGTCGGTGGATGCCTTGGTCTACTACATCGATCCTGATAGCGAGGAGATGAAGTTGCTGGGTTCTGGAGGATCATGCTAAATGCGTTTTTTTGTTTACGAGTTCCTTAAAGGAGCCATTATGACATGAATGTTCATACTTTGTCTCCTGGGTCACTTCAAAGCCCAGGATCGCGTACCCCACCCTGCTGTTCGACCGCAACATCATCGACGGCCGCGGCATGATGTGCTCCTTCCTGACCCTGGCTATCGGCAACAACCAGGGTCGTGGGCTCAGAATGCCCTGTTGATAAGATGAGCAAAAACGTACCGATGTAATGTTTGGTTGATGTTTCTGTGGTCAGCACTGTGTGTTACGAGTGCATGGTTCAGGTATGGGCGATGTCGAGTACGGCAAGATCTACGACTTCTACCTGCCCCCGTCCTTCCTGCGCCTGTATGATGGGCCCGCCGTGAACGTGGAGGACATGTGGCGCATCTTGGGCAAGGGCACCAGCAACGGTGGTCTCGTGGTTGGCACCATCATCAAGCCCAAGCTCGGCCTGCAGCCCAAGCCTTTCGGCGAGGCCTGCTACGCCTTCTGGCAGGGCGGAGATTTCATCAAAAATGATGAGCCGCAGGGCAACCAGGTGTTCTGTCAGATGAACGAGTGCATCCCCGAGGTCGTGAAGGCCATGAGGGCCTGCATCAAGGAGACCGGTGTTGGCAAGCTGTTCTCGGCCAACATCACCGCGGATGATCCCAACGAAATGATCGCCCGCGGCAAGTACTGCCTGTCCCAGTTTGGCCCACTCTCGGAGAACTGCGCCTTCTTGGTGGATGGATATGTCGCAGGGGGCACCGCCGTGACCTGCGCCCGCCGCAACTTCCCCAAGCAGTTCTTGCACTACCACCGAGCCGGACACGGATCCGTGACCAGCCCCCAGACCCAGCGCGGCTACACCGCCTTCGTGCACACGAAGATCTCGCGAGTCATCGGTGCGTCCGGCATCCACACCGGCACCATGAGCTTCGGCAAGATGGAGGGCGATGCCTCCGACAAGAACATCGCCTTCATGCTTCAGGACGATGAGGCCGATGGCCCCTACTACCACCAGGAGTGGGAGGGCATGAAGCAGACCACTCCCATCATCTCCGGCGGTATGAACGCCCTGCGTCTGCCAGCCTTCTTCGAGAACCTGGGCCACTCCAACGTGATCCTGACTGCCGGCGGTGGCTCCTTCGGCCACAAGGACGGGCCCAAGCCGGGTGCCATCTCCTGCCGCCAGGGTGAGGAGGCCTGGAAGGCCTGGAAGGCCGGACAGTATGGCAACATCAGCCTGAGCGATGGCGTCATCGAGTTCGCCAAGACCCACGAGGAGATCAAGGGCGCTTTCCTTACCTTCCAGAAGGATGCCGACCAGATCTACCCGGGCTGGAAGGAGAAGCTGGGCTACACCGGCGAGTCCTCCGTGCAGGCTGCCAGCTTCGACTGGGCCAAGAAGGCCTAAGCGGATCTAGGTCGCTTGGTTTTACATTGCAGCCCTACAGACAGTCTTCTTTCGATGATCTTTCGATGCCCTCAAGTTGGAATCCAAACAGCAATCCCAGACTCGCCTCCCCCTTGCCTGCAAGCCAAAAGGTTGTACCACCAGCTGGATGGATCCAGCGCCCGATGGTGAGAATGCTTGGCTTCAGCGGCTTTTAATAATGAAAGGACGAGTGCAGGTTTTGGTTTCTTCTCACTGAATTTCCTGTCGGTCTCGCCTGTCCATCGTATTCAGAAAGCTTGGCTGGAATTCCAAGCCTAGTTGTTAGCATTGGTCAATTGGGGGGCTTGACCTGTTAATTAGGCGGGAAGCGCTCCCGTAAATTCTCCCTGGTGTCTGCGGTTCTGCGCGCGGCTGCGGCCGCAGACTCCAGACATTTATCCCAGCTAACTCTTTGTAATAGCATTCTCAGATTGCCGGATTAGACGGAGCAGGACTCGAAGAGCCCCTGGAAAATTCGGAACATTAGGCTTCGCCACGAAGCGACAAGCGCGCGGAACGCAAAAGCGAGGAAGATCTTGCTGTCGAGTTCCGTCGTGTTGTGGTCTTCCGCACTGCAGCCGATCGCATGGAGGTGCCTGCATCCCGCAGCCGCTGCACTGGGTCGATACGTATTTCTCCCCTTTTCTGCGTCCTGCAGCGCGTTCTTGGGATGGCTCAGCGTCCATCCAACATTGCCCTTGCTGGGGCAGCCGCAGGCGAGCTGTGAAGCGGCCCCACACCCGAAGCCTCATAAGCCTCTTGCAGAGAGCCCACAGGACCTTACGCTGCAATGCTGCAAGAAGCCTCAACTCAAGTCAGCTCAAGAGGCGGTCTTGCCCTTCTCGGCTCCACCACCGATGCCTTCGTGGCCTCCGCCCCGCAGGAAAATCGGGGGGGACTTCTGTGCGCGGTAGCAACCCACGCTGAGGGATCTTTGCTTGCACAGGCCAGTGGACCGAGCCTGCGCGGTGCTCCCGTTGCCCAGTCTCAGGCCGGATCAGGGCTGTCTCCGGAGAGGTTAGCTTCTTCTCCTTACAGCCGTGACTTGTATGGTTCTCTGCTTCTGATGCTCTTGCTACGGCGGTTTTGGCTACCACTGCTCTGACAAAGACTTGCGAGGCCCAGGCTGCAGCGTCGGGAAGCTCCCTCTCCGCCTCTTGGACTTCAAGCCTTTGCGGCGTAAGTGCGCATGTCTGCGTGCATTTGCCGATGCCGGTCTTGACTAAACATTCCTATCGTATCTTGGGAGGCTCTCGCCGCTGGCGGAGCTCTTGCCGCCGCGGCCGTGGCTGCCAGCCGCCCAGGCGCTCCGTACTTGCAGCATGCTAATGGCAGTCTTCGCACAGCTCCGATCCCAGAGCCCAGAGAAACATGATTAGTTCGAGACGGAGGCAGTTCTGGATAATCGGAACTGGAGTTGAGGGACTGAGAGCCCTCCAGCTAGGATGTTGGGCTCCAAACGTTCTGAGCCATACCGGAAAACTTGCGGCACCTATCGGGACCTGCCAGAATCAGGACGCCAGACACGCAGCACCATCCTGCCTACGACTGTGGTGCCCGTGAAGGCCATTGCCGGCTTGGGATTGGACTCTTCGAAGGGTTTTGGGTCAGCTTCCCCGGTTCAGATTTGGTGCGCCTTCGGAAGGCCTCCCCGTGCAGTCCTCAATCTGAGCAGAGAGATTCCTACTAGTTCCAGCTACGCTCGACCGCGAGCTCCGGACCGCGAGGTTGACATTGAACCTTGAAGCCTTTGCACTCTTCAGTTGCTACTACCACGTCTGCGACGCTTAGCTCTGCTGTTTCAAGTTGCGGTCGTGGCCGTGCCACGGATACGATTATGTTTCGTTCTCATTGTGCAATATTGTGCAGGACAGCCGGGTGGCACGCAGGGCGCTGGACCAGTCCAGCCGATATGCAGACCTGTCTCTTGACGAGGCCACGCTGATCAAGTCACCCGGCATGAATGTTTGCAGTACTCTGAACAGTGCAGCCGCAACGGGGGTCTCTTCGATCTTGGAAGTCAGGGCTACCGAGTGTCATCAACAGCGATTATAGGATTTGTCAACTTTGTGGCGTAAGCTGTCAATTGTTCTGAGGAACGGCAAGCATGTGCTCGTTGCCTACATCATGAAGCCGAAGGCACATTTTGCGCCAGTTTCTTTCCCCCCGAATGCAACTCAGTCTATCCTTGTCTCAGGCAGGTTATGATTACCTGGCCACCGCCGCCCACTTCGCAGCTGAGTCTTCCACCGGCACCAACGTGAACGTGTGCACGACGGATGACTTCACCAAGTCGGTGGATGCCTTGGTCTACTACATCGATCCTGATAGCGAGGAGATGAAGTTGCTGGGTTCTGGAGCATCATACTTTAAAGCTGTTTTTTGGTACCTGTTCCTTAAAGGAGACAGTATGACATGAATGTTCATACTTTTTCTCCTGGGTCACTTCAAAGCCCAGGATCGCGTACCCCACCCTGCTGTTCGACCGCAACATCATCGACGGCCGCGGCATGATGTGCTCCTTCCTGACCTTGGCTATCGGCAACAACCAGGGTCGTGGGCTCAGAATGCCCTGTTGATAAGATGAGCAAAAACGTACCGATGTAATGTTTGGTTGATGTTTCTGTGGTCAGCACTGTGTGTTACGAGTGCATGGTTCAGGTATGGGCGATGTCGAGTACGGCAAGATCTACGACTTCTACCTGCCCCCGTCCTTCCTGCGACTGTATGATGGGCCCGCCGTGAACGTGGAGGACATGTGGCGCATCCTGGGCAAAGGCACCAGCAACGGTGGTCTCGTGGTTGGCACCATCATCAAGCCCAAGCTCGGCCTGCAGCCCAAGCCTTTCGGCGAGGCCTGCTATGCCTTCTGGCAGGGCGGAGATTTCATCAAAAATGATGAGCCGCAGGGCAACCAGGTGTTCTGTCAGATGAACGAGTGCATCCCCGAGGTCGTGAAGGCCATGAGGGCCTGCATCAAGGAGACCGGTGTTGGCAAGCTGTTCTCGGCCAACATCACCGCGGATGATCCCAACGAGATGATTGCCCGCGGCAAGTACTGCCTGTCCCAATTTGGCCCACTCTCGGAGAACTGCGCCTTCTTGGTGGATGGATACGTCGCAGGAGGCACCGCCGTGACCTGCGCCCGCCGCAACTTCCCCAAGCAGTTCTTGCACTACCACCGAGCCGGACACGGATCCGTGACCAGCCCCCAGACCCAGCGCGGCTACACCGCCTTCGTGCACACGAAGATCTCGCGAGTTATCGGTGCGTCCGGCATCCACACCGGCACCATGAGCTTCGGCAAGATGGAGGGCGATGCCTCCGACAAGAACATCGCCTTCATGCTTCAGGACGATGAGGCCGATGGCCCCTACTACCACCAGGAGTGGGAGGGCATGAAGCAGACCACTCCCATCATCTCAGGCGGTATGAACGCCTTGCGTCTGCCAGCCTTCTTCGAGAACCTGGGCCACTCCAACGTGATCCTGACTGCCGGTGGTGGCTCCTTCGGCCACAAGGACGGGCCCAAGCCGGGTGCCATCTCCTGCCGCCAGGGTGAGGAGGCCTGGAAGGCCTGGAAGGCCGGACAGTATGGCAACATCAGCCTGAGCGATGGCGTCATCGAGTTCGCCAAGACCCACGAGGAGATCAAGGGCGCTTTCCTTACCTTCCAGAAGGATGCCGACCAGATCTATCCGGGCTGGAAGGAGAAGCTGGGCTACACCGGCGAGTCCTCCGTGCAGGCTGCCAGCTTCGACTGGGCCAAGAAGGCCTCCGCCGCGGCCTTCGTCGGCACCAGCGTGGCCCCTGCCAAGAAGGAGAGCAACGTATCGCTCAAGGCTCTGGACCAGTCCAGCCGCTACGCAGACCTGTCCCTGGACGAGGCAACCCTGGTCAAGAGACTCGGCTGCAGGTTGGAGTGTCTGGTGCTGACCTCACATGAGAGGTGCCGGTGACTTATTGCAGACCCACGAGCGCACTGGAGATTGATCCCGATCCTGGAGTGGTCGAATAGTCCGTAGATGCACGTTGAGAGAACTCTTCTTAGCTCTTGTGCAAGTCTCGTCAGACCGAGGAACGGCAAGCATGTGCTCGTTGCCTACATCATGAAGCCGAAGGCACATGTTGCGCCAGTCTCTTTCCCCCCGAATGCAACTCAGTCTATCCTTGTCTCAGGCAGGTTATGATTACCTGGCCACCGCCGCCCACTTCGCAGCTGAGTCTTCCACCGGCACCAACGTGAACGTGTGCACGACGGATGACTTCACCAAGTCGGTGGATGCCTTGGTCTACTACATCGATCCTGATAGCGAGGAGATGAAGTTGCTTGGTTCTGGAGCATCATACTTTAAAGCTGTTTTTTGGTACCTGTTCCTTAAAGGAGCCATTATGACACGAATGGTCATGCTTTTTCTCCTGGGTTACTTCAAAGCCCAGGATCGCGTACCCCACCCTGCTGTTCGACCGCAACATCATCGACGGCCGCGGCATGATGTGCTCCTTCCTGACCCTGGCTATCGGCAACAACCAGGGTCGTGGGCTCAGAATGCCTTGTTGATAAGATGAGCAAAAACGTACCGATGTAATGTTTGGTTGATGTTTCTGTGGTCAGCACTGTGTGTTACGAGTGCATGGTTCAGGTATGGGCGATGTCGAGTACGGCAAGATCTACGACTTCTACCTGCCCCCGTCCTTCCTGCGCCTGTATGATGGGCCCGCCGTGAACGTGGAGGACATGTGGCGCATCTTGGGCAAGGGCACCAGCAACGGTGGTCTCGTGGTTGGAACCATCATCAAGCCCAAGCTCGGCCTGCAGCCCAAGCCTTTCGGCGAGGCCTGCTATGCCTTCTGGCAGGGCGGAGATTTCATCAAAAATGATGAGCCGCAGGGCAACCAGGTGTTCTGTCAGATGAACGAGTGCATCCCCGAGGTCGTGAAGGCCATGAGGGCCTGCATCAAGGAGACCGGTGTTGGCAAGCTGTTCTCGGCCAACATCACCGCGGATGATCCCAACGAGATGATCGCCCGCGGCAAGTACTGCCTGTCCCAGTTTGGCCCACTCTCGGAGAACTGCGCCTTCTTGGTGGATGGATACGTTGCAGGGGGCACCGCCGTGACCTGCGCCCGCCGCAACTTCCCCAAGCAGTTCTTGCACTACCACCGAGCCGGACACGGATCCGTGACCAGCCCCCAGACCCAGCGCGGCTACACCGCCTTCGTGCACACGAAGATCTCGCGAGTTATCGGTGCGTCCGGCATCCACACCGGCACCATGAGCTTCGGCAAGATGGAGGGCGATGCCTCCGACAAGAACATCGCCTTCATGCTTCAGGACGATGAGGCCGATGGCCCCTACTACCACCAGGAGTGGGAGGGCATGAAGCAGACCACTCCCATCATTTCCGGTGGCATGAACGCCTTGCGTCTGCCAGCCTTCTTCGAGAACCTGGGCCACTCCAACGTGATCCTGACTGCCGGTGGTGGTTCCTTCGGCCACAAGGACGGACCCAAGCCGGGTGCCATCTCCTGCCGCCAGGGTGAGGAGGCCTGGAAGGCCTGGAAGGCCGGACAGTATGGCAACATCAGCCTGAGCGATGGCGTCATCGAGTTCGCCAAGACCCACGAGGAGATCAAGGGCGCTTTCCTTACCTTCCAGAAGGACGCCGACCAGATCTACCCGGGCTGGAAGGAGAAGCTGGGCTACACCGGCGAGTCCTCCGTGCAGGCTGCCAGCTTCGACTGGGCCAAGAAGGCCTAAGCGGATCTAGGTCGCTTGGTTTTACATTGCAGCCCTACAGACAGTCTTCTTTCGATGCCCTCAAGTTGGAATCCAAATAGCAAGCCCAGACTCGCCTCCTCCTTGCCTGCAAGCCCAAAGGTTGGACCACCAGCTGGATGGATCCAGCGCCCGATGGTGAGAATGCTTGGCTTCAGCGGCTTTTAATAATGAAAGGACGAGTGCAGGTTTTGGTTTCTTTTCACTGAATTTCCTGTCGGTCTCGCCTGTCCATTGTATTGAGAAAGCTTAGCTGGAATTCCAAGCCTAGTTGCTAGCATGGGTCAATTGGGGGGCTTGACCTGTTTGGCGGGAAGCGCTCCCGTAAATTCTCCCTGGTGTCTGCGGTTCTGCGCGCGGCTGCGGCCGCAGACTCCAGACATTTATCCCAGCCAACTCTTTGTAATAGCATTCTCAGATTGCCGGATTAGACGGAGCAGGACTCGAAGAGCCCCTGGAAAATTCGGAACACTAGGCTACGCCACGAAGCGACACGTACGCAGAACGCAAAAGCGAGGAAGATGTCGTGTTGTGGTCTTCTGCACTGCAGCCGACCGCATGGAGGTGCCTGCATCCCGCAGCCGCTGCACTGGGTCGATACGTATTTCTCCCCTTTTCCGCGTCCCGCAGCGCGTTCTTGGGATGGCTCAGCGTCCATCCAACATTGCCCTTGCTGGGGCAGCCGCAGGCGAGCTGTGAAGCGGCCCCTCATAAGCCTCTTGCAGAGAGCCCCCCGGACCTTACGCTGCAATGCTGCAAGAAGCCTCAACTCAAGTCAGCTCAAGAGGCGGTCTTGCCCTTCTCGGCTCCACCACCGATGCCTTCGTGGCCTCCGCCCCGCAGGAAAATCGGGGGGGGGGGGGACTTCTGTGAGCGGTAGCAACGCACGCTGAGGGATCTTTGCTTGCACAGGCCAGTGGACCGAGCCTGCGCGGTGCTCCCGTTGCCCAGTCTCAGGCCGGATCAGGGCTGTCTCCGGAGAGGTTAGCTTCTTCTCCTTACAGCCGTGACTTGTATGGTTCTCTGCTCCTGATGCTCTTGCTACGGCGGTTTTGGCTACCACTGCTCTGACAAAGACATGCGAGGCCCAGGCTGCAGCGTCGGGAAGCTCCCTCTCCGCCTCTTGGACTTCAAGCCTTTGCGGCGTAAGTGCGCATGTCTGCGTGCATTTGCCGATGCCGGTCTTGACTAAACATTCCTATCGTATCTTGGGAGGCTCTCGCCGCTGGCGGAGCTCTTGCCGCCGCGGCCGTGGCTGCCAGCCGCCCAGGCGCTCCGTACTTGCAGCATGCTAATGGCAGTCTTCGCACAGCTCCGATCCCAGAGCCCAGAGAAACATGATTAGTTCGAGACGGAAGCAGTACTGGATAATCGGGACTGGAGTTGAGGGCCTGAGAGCCCTTCAGCTAGGATGTTGGACTCCAATCGTTCTGAGCCATACCGGAAAACTTGCGGCAACTATCGGGACCTGCCAGAATCAGGACGCCAGACACGCAGCACCATCCTGCCTACGACTGTGGTGCCCGTGAAGGCCATTGCCGGCTTGGGATTGGACTCTTCGAAGGGTTTTGGGTCAGCGCCCCCGGTTCAGATTTGGTGCGCCTTCGGAAGGCCTCCCCGTGAAGTCTTCAATCTGAGCAGAGAGATTCCTACTAGTTCCAGCTACGCTCGACCGCGAGCTCCGGACCACGAGGTTGACATTGAACCTTGAAGCCTTTGCACTCTTCAGTTGCTGCTACCGGCTACCACGTCTGCGACGCATAGAGTTACGGTCGTTGCCGTTATGTTTCGTTCTCATTGTGCAATATTGTGCAGGACAGCCGGGTGGCACGCAGGGCGCTGGACCAGTCCAGCCGATATGCAGACCTGTCTCTTGACGAGGCCACGCTGATCAAGTCACCCGGCATGAATGTTTGCAGTACTCTGAACAGTGCAGCCGCAACGGGGGTCTCCTCGATCTTGGAAGTCAGGGCTACCGATTGTCATCAACAGAGATTATGGGATTTGTTAACTTTGTGGCGCAAGCTGTCAACTGTTCTGAGGAACGGCAAGCACGTGCTGGTCGCGTACATCATGAAGCCGAAGGCACATGTTGCGCCAGTCTCTTTCCCCCCCGAATGCAACTCAGTCTATCCTTATCTCAGGCAGGTTATGATTACCTGGCCACCGCCGCCCACTTCGCAGCCGAATCTTCCACCGGCACCAACGTGAACGTGTGCACGACGGATGACTTCACCAAGTCGGTGGATGCCTTGGTCTACTACATCGATCCTGATAGCGAGGAGATGAAGTTGCTGGGTTCTGGAGCATCATACTTTAAAGCTGTTTCTTGGTACCTGTTCCTTGATGGAGCCAGTATGACATGAATGTTCATGCTTTTTCTCCTGGGTCACTTCAGAGCCCAGGATCGCGTACCCCACCCTGCTGTTCGACCGCAACATCATCGACGGCCGCGGCATGATGTGCTCCTTCCTGACCCTGGCCATCGGCAACAACCAGGGTCATGGGCTCAGAATGCCCTGTTGATAAGATGAGCAAAAACGTACCGATGTAATGTTTGGTTGATGTTTCTGTGGTCAGTACTGTGTGTCACGTGAGTGTTTGGTTCAGGTATGGGCGATGTCGAGTACGGCAAGATCTACGACTTCTACCTGCCCCCGTCCTTCCTTCGCCTGTATGATGGGCCCGCTGTGAACGTGGAGGACATGTGGCGCATCTTGGGCAAGGGCACCAGCAACGGTGGTCTCGTGGTTGGAACCATCATCAAGCCCAAGCTCGGCCTGCAGCCCAAGCCTTTCGGCGAGGCCTGCTATGCCTTCTGGCAGGGCGGAGATTTCATCAAAAATGATGAGCCGCAGGGCAACCAGGTGTTCTGTCAGATGAACGAGTGCATCCCCGAGGTCGTGAAGGCCATGAGGGCCTGCATCAAGGAGACCGGTGTTGGCAAGCTGTTCTCGGCCAACATCACCGCGGATGATCCCAACGAGATGATCGCCCGCGGCAAGTACTGCCTGTCCCAGTTTGGCCCACTCTCGGAGAACTGCGCCTTCTTGGTGGATGGATACGTCGCAGGAGGCACCGCCGTGACCTGCGCCCGCCGCAACTTCCCCAAGCAGTTCTTGCACTACCACCGAGCCGGACACGGATCCGTGACCAGCCCCCAGACCCAGCGCGGCTACACCGCCTTCGTGCACACGAAGATCTCGCGAGTCATCGGTGCGTCCGGCATCCACACCGGCACCATGAGCTTCGGCAAGATGGAGGGCGATGCCTCCGACAAGAACATCGCCTTCATGCTTCAGGACGATGAGGCCGATGGCCCCTACTACCACCAGGAGTGGGAGGGCATGAAGCAGACCACTCCCATCATTTCCGGCGGTATGAACGCCCTGCGTCTGCCGGCCTTCTTCGAGAACCTGGGCCACTCCAACGTGATCCTGACTGCCGGTGGTGGCTCCTTCGGCCACAAGGACGGACCCAAGCCGGGTGCCATCTCCTGCCGCCAGGGTGAGGAGGCCTGGAAGGCTTGGAAGGCCGGACAGTATGGCAACATCAGCCTGAGCGATGGCGTCATCGAGTTCGCCAAGACCCACGAGGAGATCAAGGGCGCTTTCCTTACCTTCCAGAAGGATGCCGACCAGATCTACCCGGGCTGGAAGGAGAAGCTGGGCTACACCGGCGAGTCCTCGGTGCAGGCTGCCAGCTTCGACTGGGCCAAGAAGGCCTCCGCCGCGGCCTTCGTCGGCGCCAGCGTGGCCCCTGCCAAGAAGGAGAGCAACGTATCGCTCAAGGCCCTGGATCAGTCCAGCCGCTACGCAGACCTGTCCCTGGACGAGGCCACCCTGGTCAAGAGACTCGGCTGCAGGTTGGAGTGGCTGGTGCTGATCTCACATGAGAGGTGCCGGTGACTTATTGCAGGCCCACGAGCGCACTGGAGATTGATCCCGAATAGTTTTCTGGAGTGAATGTGGTCCTGGAGTGGTCGAATAGTCCGTAGATGCACGTTGAGAGAACTCTGCTTAGCTCTTGTGCAAGTTTTGTTAGACCGAGGAACGGCAAGCATGTGCTCGTTGCCTACATCATGAAGCCGAAGGCACATGTTGTGCCAGTCTCTTTCCCCCGAATGCAACTCAGTCTATCCTTGTCTCAGGCAGGTTATGATTACCTGGCCACCGCCGCCCACTTCGCAGCTGAGTCTTCCACCGGCACCAACGTGAACGTGTGCACGACGGATGACTTCACCAAGTCGGTGGATGCCTTGGTCTACTACATCGATCCTGATAGCGAGGAGATGAAGTTGCTGGGTTCTGGAGCATCATACTTTAAAGCTGTTTTTTGGTGCCTGTTCCTTGAAGGAGCCAGTATGACATGAATGTTCATGCTTTTTCTCCTGGGTCACTTCAAAGCCCAGGATCGCGTACCCCACCCTGCTGTTCGACCGCAACATCATCGACGGCCGCGGCATGATGTGCTCCTTCCTGACCCTGGCTATCGGCAACAACCAGGGTCGTGGGCTCAGAATGCCCTGTTGATAAGATGAGCAAAAACGTACCGATGTAATGTTTGGTTGATGTTTCTGTGGTCAGCACTGTGTGTTACGAGTGCATGGTTCAGGTATGGGCGATGTCGAGTACGGCAAGATCTACGACTTCTACCTGCCCCCGTCCTTCCTGCGCCTGTATGATGGGCCCGCCGTGAACGTGGAGGACATGTGGCGCATCTTGGGCAAGGGCACCAGCAACGGTGGTCTCGTGGTTGGAACCATCATCAAGCCCAAGCTCGGCCTGCAGCCCAAGCCTTTCGGCGAGGCCTGCTATGCCTTCTGGCAGGGCGGAGATTTCATCAAAAATGATGAGCCGCAGGGCAACCAGGTGTTCTGTCAGATGAACGAGTGCATCCCCGAGGTCGTGAAGGCCATGAGGGCCTGCATCAAGGAGACCGGTGTTGGCAAGCTGTTCTCGGCCAACATCACCGCGGATGATCCCAACGAGATGATTGCCCGCGGCAAGTACTGCCTGTCCCAATTTGGCCCACTCTCGGAGAACTGCGCCTTCTTGGTGGATGGATACGTCGCAGGAGGCACCGCCGTGACCTGCGCCCGCCGCAACTTCCCCAAGCAGTTCTTGCACTACCACCGAGCCGGACACGGATCCGTGACCAGCCCCCAGACCCAGCGCGGCTACACCGCCTTCGTGCACACGAAGATCTCGCGAGTCATCGGTGCGTCCGGCATTCACACCGGCACCATGAGCTTCGGCAAGATGGAGGGCGATGCCTCCGACAAGAACATCGCCTTCATGCTTCAGGACGATGAGGCCGATGGCCCGTACTACCACCAGGAGTGGGAGGGCATGAAGCAGACCACTCCCATCATTTCCGGCGGTATGAACGCCCTGCGTCTGCCGGCCTTCTTCGAGAACCTGGGCCACTCCAACGTGATCCTGACTGCCGGTGGTGGCTCCTTCGGCCACAAGGACGGACCCAAGCCGGGTGCCATCTCCTGCCGCCAGGGTGAGGAGGCCTGGAAGGCTTGGAAGGCCGGACAGTATGGCAACATCAGCCTGAGCGATGGCGTCATCGAGTTCGCCAAGACCCACGAGGAGATCAAGGGCGCTTTCCTTACCTTCCAGAAGGATGCCGACCAGATCTACCCGGGCTGGAAGGAGAAGCTGGGCTACACCGGCGAGTCCTCGGTGCAGGCTGCCAGCTTCGACTGGGCCAAGAAGGCCTCCGCCGCGGCCTTCGTCGGCGCCAGCGTGGCCCCTGCCAAGAAGGAGAGCAACGTATCGCTCAAGGCCCTGGATCAGTCCAGCCGCTACGCAGACCTGTCCCTGGACGAGGCCACCCTGGTCAAGAGACTCGGCTGCAGGTTGGAGTGGCTGGTGCTGATCTCACATGAGAGGTGCCGGTGACTTATTGCAGGCCCACGAGCGCACTGGAGATTGATCCCGAATAGTTTTCTGGAGTGAATGTGGTCCTGGATTGGTCGAATAGTCCGTAGATGCACGTTGAGAGAACTCTGCTTAGCTCTTGTGCAAGTTTTGTTAGACCGAGGAACGGCAAGCATGTGCTCGTTGCCTACATCATGAAGCCGAAGGCACATGTTGCGCCAGTCTCTTTCCCCCGAATGCAACTCAGTCTATCCTTGTCTCAGGCAGGTTATGATTACCTGGCCACCGCCGCCCACTTCGCAGCTGAGTCTTCCACCGGCACCAACGTGAACGTGTGCACGACGGATGACTTCACCAAGTCGGTGGATGCCTTGGTCTACTACATCGATCCTGATAGCGAGGAGATGAAGTTGCTGGGTTCTGGAGCATCATACTTTAAAGCTGTTTTTTGGTGCCTGTTCCTTAAAGGAGCCAGTATGACATGAATGTTCATGCTTTTTCTCCTGGGTCACTTCAAAGCCCAGGATCGCGTACCCCACCCTGCTGTTCGACCGCAACATCATCGACGGCCGCGGCATGATGTGCTCCTTCCTGACCCTGGCTATCGGCAACAACCAGGGTCGTGGGCTCAGAATGCCCTGTTGATAAGATGAGCAAAAACGTACCGATGTAATGTTTGGTTGATGTTTCTGTGGTCAGCACTGTGTGTTACGAGTGCATGGTTCAGGTATGGGCGATGTCGAGTACGGCAAGATCTACGACTTCTACCTGCCCCCGTCCTTCCTGCGCCTGTATGATGGGCCCGCCGTGAACGTGGAGGACATGTGGCGCATCTTGGGCAAGGGCACCAGCAACGGTGGTCTCGTGGTTGGAACCATCATCAAGCCCAAGCTCGGCCTGCAGCCCAAGCCTTTCGGCGAGGCCTGCTATGCCTTCTGGCAGGGCGGAGATTTCATCAAAAATGCACCTAGACTGCACTGGAACAAAAGCCTTAGCTACATTGTAGTGTTAGCATCGTATTTTCCACTAACTAACAGGGAGCAACGAAATGGGTTGTTGAAGAGCCTCCGTGCAGCCCAGGATGAGCCGCAGGGCAACCAGGTGTTCTGTCAGATGAACGAGTGCATCCCCGAGGTCGTGAAGGCCATGAGGGCCTGCATCAAGGAGACCGGTGTTGGCAAGCTGTTCTCGGCCAACATCACCGCGGATGATCCCAACGAGATGATTGCCCGCGGCAAGTACTGCCTGTCCCAATTTGGCCCACTCTCGGAGAACTGCGCCTTCTTGGTGGATGGATACGTCGCAGGAGGCACCGCCGTGACCTGCGCCCGCCGCAACTTCCCCAAGCAGTTCTTGCACTACCACCGAGCCGGACACGGATCCGTGACCAGCCCCCAGACCCAGCGCGGCTACACCGCCTTCGTGCACACGAAGATCTCGCGAGTCATCGGTGCGTCCGGCATCCACACCGGCACCATGAGCTTCGGCAAGATGGAGGGCGATGCCTCCGACAAGAACATCGCCTTCATGCTTCAGGACGATGAGGCCGATGGCCCCTACTACCACCAGGAGTGGGAGGGCATGAAGCAGACCACTCCCATCATTTCCGGTGGCATGAACGCCCTGCGTCTGCCGGCCTTCTTCGAGAACCTGGGCCACTCCAACGTGATCCTGACTGCCGGTGGTGGTTCCTTCGGCCACAAGGACGGACCCAAGCCGGGTGCCATCTCCTGCCGCCAGGGTGAGGAGGCCTGGAAGGCTTGGAAGGCCGGACAGTATGGCAACATCAGCCTGAGCGATGGCGTCATCGAGTTCGCCAAGACCCACGAGGAGATCAAGGGCGCTTTCCTTACCTTCCAGAAGGATGCCGACCAGATCTACCCGGGCTGGAAGGAGAAGCTGGGCTACACCGGCGAGTCCTCCGTGCAGGCTGCCAGCTTCGACTGGGCCAAGAAGGCCTAAGCGGATGTAGGTCGCTTGGTTTTGCATTGCAGCCCTACAGACAGTCTTCTTTCGATGCCCTATTTTCGGGAACTTTCAAATCGCAAGCCCAGACTCGCCTCCTCCTTGCCTGCAAGCCCAAAGGTTGGACCACCAGCTGGATGGATCCAGCGCCCGATGGTGAGAATGCTTGGCTTCAGCGGCTTTTAATAATGAAAGTGACGAGTGCAGGTTTTGGTTTCTTCTCACTGAATTTCCTGTCGGTCTCGCCTGTCCATCGTATTCAGAAAGCTTGGCTGGAATTCCAAGCCTAGTTGTTAGCATTGGTCAATTGGGGGGCTTGACCTGTTAATTAGGCGGGAAGCGCTCCCGTAAATTCTCCCTGGTGTCTGCGGTTCTGCGCGCGGCTGCGGCCGCAGACTCCAGACAGTTATCCCAGCTAACTCTTTGTAATAGCATTTTCAGATTGCCGGATTAGACGGAGCAGGACTCGAAGAGCACCTGGAAAATTCGGAACATTAGGCTACGCCACGAAGCGACAAGCGCGCGGAACGCAAAAGCGAGGAAGATCTTGCTGTCGAGTTCTGTCGTGTTGTGGTCTTCTGCACTGCAGCCGACCGCATGGAGGTGCTTGCATCCCGCAGCCGCTGCAGTGGGTCGATACGCATTTCTCCCCTTTTCCGCGTCCCGCAGCGCGTTCTTGGGATGGCTCAGCGTCCATCCAACATTGCCCTTGCTGGGGCAGCCGCAGGCGAGCTGTGAAGCGGCCCCTCATAAGCCTCTTGCAGAGAGCCCCCAGGACCTTAAGCTGCAATGCTGCAAGAAGCCTCAACTCAAGTCAGCTCAAGAGGCGGTCTTGCCCTTCTCGGCTCCACCACCGATGCCTTCGTGGCCTCCGCCCCGCAGGAAAATCGGGGGGGACTTCTGTGAGCGGTAGCAACGCACGCTGAGGGATCTTTGCTTGCACAGGCCAGTGGACCGAGCCTGCGCGGTGCTCCCGTTGCCCAGTCTCAGGCCGGATCAGGGCTGTCTCCGGAGAGGTTAGCTTCTTCTCCTTACAGCCGTGACTTGTATGGTTCTCTGCTTCTGATGCTCTTGCTACGGCGGTTTTGGCTACCACTGCTCTGACAAAGACTTGCGAGGCCCAGGCTGCAGCGTCGGGAAGCTCCCTCTCCGCCTCTTGGACTTCAAGCCTTTGCGGCGTAAGTGCGCATGTCTGCGTGCATTTGCCGATGCCGGTCTTGACTAAACATTCCTATCGTATCTTGGGAGGCTCTCGCCGCTGGCGGAGCTCTTGCCGCCGCGGCCGTGGCTGCCAGCCGCCCAGGCGCTCCGTACTTGCAGCATGCTAATGGCAGTCTTCGCACAGCTCCGATCCCAGAGCCCAGAGAAACATGATTAGTTCGAGACGGAGGCAGTTCTGGATAATCGGAACTGGAGTTGAGGGACTGAGAGCCCTCCAGCTAGGATGTTGGGCTCCAAACGTTCTGAGCCATACCGGAAAACTTGCGGCACCTATCGGGACCTGCCAGAATCAGGACGCCAGACACGCAGCACCATCCTGCCTACGACTGTGGTGCCCGTGAAGGCCATTGCCGGCTTGGGATTGGACTCTTCGAAGGGTTTTGGGTCAGCGCCCCCGGTTCAGATTTGGTGCGCCTTCGGAAGGCCTCCCCGTGCAGTCCTCAATCTGAGCAGAGAGATTCCTACTAGTTCCAGCTACGCTCGACCGCGAGCTCCGGACCGCGAGGTTGACATTGAACCTTGAAGCCTTTGCACTCTTCAGTTGCTACTACCACGTCTGCGACGCTTAGCTCTGCTGTTTCAAGTTGCGGTCGTGGCCGTGCCACGGATACGATTATGTTTCGTTCTCATTGTGCAATATTGTGCAGGACAGCCGGGTGGCACGCAGGGCGCTGGACCAGTCCAGCCGATATGCAGACCTGTCTCTTGACGAGGCCACGCTGATCAAGTCACCCGGCATGAATGTTTGCAGTACTCTGAACAGTGCAGCCGCAACGGGGGTCTCCTCGATCTTGGAAGTCAGGGCTACCGATTGTCATCAACAGAGATTATGGGATTTGTTAACTTTGTGGCGCAAGCTGTCAACTGTTCTGAGGAACGGCAAGCACGTGCTGGTCGCGTACATCATGAAGCCGAAGGCACATGTTGCGCCAGTCTCTTTCCCCCCAAAATGCAACTCAGTCTATCCTTGTCTCAGGCAGGTTATGATTACCTGGCCACCGCCGCCCACTTCGCCGCCGAGTCCTCCACCGGCACCAACGTGAACGTGTGCACGACGGATGACTTCACCAAGTCCGTGGATGCCCTGGTCTACTACATCGACCCTGACAGCGAGGAGATGAAGTTGCTGGGTTCTGGAGCATCATACTTTAAAGCTGTTTTTTGGTGCCTGTTCCTTGAAGGAGCCAGTATGACATGAATGTTCATGCTTTTTCTCCTGGGTCACTTCAAAGCCCAGGATCGCGTACCCCACCCTGCTGTTCGACCGCAACATCATCGACGGCCGCGGCATGATGTGCTCCTTCCTGACCCTGGCTATCGGCAACAACCAGGGTCGTGGGCTCAGAATGCCCTGTTGATAAGATGAGCAAAAACGTAACGATGTAACGTTTGGTTGATGTTTCTGTGGTCAGTACTGTGTGTTACGAGTGTATGGTTCAGGTATGGGCGATGTCGAGTACGGCAAGATCTACGACTTCTACTTGCCCCCGTCCTTCCTGCGCCTGTATGATGGGCCCGCCGTGAACGTGGAGGACATGTGGCGCATCTTGGGCAAGGGCACCAGCAACGGTGGTCTCGTGGTTGGAACCATCATCAAGCCCAAGCTCGGCCTGCAGCCCAAGCCTTTCGGCGAGGCCTGCTATGCCTTCTGGCAGGGCGGAGATTTCATCAAAAATGATGAGCCGCAGGGCAACCAGGTGTTCTGTCAGATGAACGAGTGCATCCCCGAGGTCGTGAAGGCCATGAGGGCCTGCATCAAGGAGACCGGTGTTGGCAAGCTGTTCTCGGCCAACATCACCGCGGATGATCCCAACGAGATGATCGCCCGCGGCAAGTACTGCCTGTCCCAGTTTGGCCCACTCTCGGAGAACTGCGCCTTCTTGGTGGATGGATACGTCGCAGGAGGCACTGCTGTGACCTGCGCCCGCCGCAACTTCCCCAAGCAGTTCTTGCACTACCACCGAGCCGGACACGGATCCGTGACCAGCCCCCAGACCCAGCGCGGCTACACCGCCTTCGTGCACACGAAGATCTCGCGAGTCATCGGTGCGTCCGGCATCCACACCGGCACCATGAGCTTCGGCAAGATGGAGGGCGATGCCTCCGACAAGAACATCGCCTTCATGCTTCAGGACGATGAGGCCGATGGCCCCTACTACCACCAGGAGTGGGAGGGCATGAAGCAGACCACTCCCATCATCTCCGGCGGTATGAACGCCTTGCGTCTGCCAGCCTTCTTCGAGAACCTGGGCCACTCCAACGTGATCCTCACCGCCGGCGGTGGCTCCTTCGGCCACAAGGACGGGCCCAAGCCGGGTGCTATCTCCTGCCGCCAGGGTGAGGAGGCCTGGAAGGCCTGGAAGGCCGGACAGTATGGCAACATCAGCCTGAGCGATGGCGTCATCGAGTTCGCCAAGACCCACGAGGAGATCAAGGGCGCTTTCCTTACCTTCCAGAAGGATGCCGACCAGATCTACCCTGGCTGGAAGGAGAAGCTCGGCTACACGGGCGAGTCCTCCGTGCAGGCTGCCAGCTTCGACTGGGCCAAGAAGGCCTCCGCCGCGGCCTTCGTCGGCGCCAGCGTGGCCCCTGCCAAGAAGGAGAGCAACGTCTCGCTCAAGGCCCTGGACCAGTCCAGCCGCTACGCAGACCTGTCCCTGGACGAGGCCACCCTGGTCAAGAGACTCGGCTGCAGGTTGGAGTGGCTGGTGCTGATCTCACATGAGAGGTGCCGGTGACTTATTGCAGGCCCACGAGCGCACTGGAGATTGATCTCGATTAGTTTTCTGAAGTGAATGTGGTCCTGGAGTGGTCGAATAGTCCGTAGATGCACGTTGAGAGAACTCTGCTTAGCTCTTGTGCAAGTCTCGTTAGACCGAGGAACGGCAAGCATGTGCTCGTTGCCTACATCATGAAGCCGAAGGCACATGTTGCGCCAGTCTCTTTCCCCCCGAATGCAACTCAGTCTATCCTTGTCTCAGGCAGGTTATGATTACCTGGCCACCGCCGCCCACTTCGCAGCTGAGTCTTCCACCGGCACCAACGTGAACGTGTGCACGACGGATGACTTCACCAAGTCGGTGGATGCCTTGGTCTACTACATCGATCCTGATAGCGAGGAGATGAAGTTGCTGGGTTCTGGAGCATCATACTTAATGCTGTTTTTGTTGGTACGTGTTCCTCGAAGGAGCCATTATGACATGAATGTTCATGCTTTTTCTCCTGGGTCACTTCAAAGCCCAGGATCGCGTACCCCACCCTGCTGTTCGACCGCAACATCATCGACGGCCGCGGCATGATGTGCTCCTTCTTGACCCTGGCTATCGGCAACAACCAGGGTCGTGGGCTCAGAATGCCCTGTTGATAAGATGAGCAAAAACGTACCGATGTAATGTTTGGTTGATGTTTCTGTGGTCAGTACTGTGTGTCACGTGAGTGTTTGGTTCAGGTATGGGCGATGTCGAGTACGGCAAGATCTACGACTTCTACCTGCCCCCGTCCTTCCTTCGCCTGTATGATGGGCCCGCTGTGAACGTGGAGGACATGTGGCGCATCTTGGGCAAGGGCACCAGCAACGGTGGTCTCGTGGTTGGAACCATCATCAAGCCCAAGCTCGGCCTGCAGCCCAAGCCTTTCGGCGAGGCCTGCTATGCCTTCTGGCAGGGCGGAGATTTCATCAAAAATGATGAGCCGCAGGGCAACCAGGTGTTCTGTCAGATGAACGAGTGCATCCCCGAGGTCGTGAAGGCCATGAGGGCCTGCATCAAGGAGACCGGTGTTGGCAAGCTGTTCTCGGCCAACATCACCGCGGATGATCCCAACGAGATGATTGCCCGCGGCAAGTACTGCCTGTCCCAATTTGGCCCACTCTCGGAGAACTGCGCCTTCTTGGTGGATGGATACGTCGCAGGAGGCACCGCCGTGACCTGCGCCCGCCGCAACTTCCCCAAGCAGTTCTTGCACTACCACCGAGCCGGACACGGATCCGTGACCAGCCCCCAGACCCAGCGCGGCTACACCGCCTTCGTGCACACGAAGATCTCGCGAGTCATCGGTGCGTCCGGCATCCACACCGGCACCATGAGCTTCGGCAAGATGGAGGGCGATGCCTCCGACAAGAACATCGCCTTCATGCTTCAGGACGATGAGGCCGATGGCCCCTACTACCACCAGGAGTGGGAGGGCATGAAGCAGACCACTCCCATCATCTCCGGCGGTATGAACGCCCTGCGTCTGCCGGCCTTCTTCGAGAACCTGGGCCACTCCAACGTGATCCTGACTGCCGGTGGTGGCTCCTTCGGCCACAAGGACGGACCCAAGCCGGGTGCCATCTCCTGCCGCCAGGGTGAGGAGGCCTGGAAGGCTTGGAAGGCCGGACAGTATGGCAACATCAGCCTGAGCGATGGCGTCATCGAGTTCGCCAAGACCCACGAGGAGATCAAGGGCGCTTTCCTTACCTTCCAGAAGGATGCCGACCAGATCTACCCGGGCTGGAAGGAGAAGCTGGGCTACACCGGCGAGTCCTCGGTGCAGGCTGCCAGCTTCGACTGGGCCAAGAAGGCCTCCGCCGCGGCCTTCGTCGGCGCCAGCGTGGCCCCTGCCAAGAAGGAGAGCAAAGTATCGCTCAAGGCCCTGGATCAGTCCAGCCGCTACGCAGACCTGTCCCTGGACGAGGCCACCCTGGTCAAGAGACTCGGCTGCAGGTTGGAGTGGCTGGTGCTGATCTCACATGAGAGGTGCCGGTGACTTATTGCAGGCCCACGAGCGCACTGGAGATTGATCTCGATTAGTTTTCTGAAGTGAATGTGGTCCTGGAGTGGTCGAATAGTCCGTAGATGCACGTTGAGAGAACTCTGCTTAGCTCTTGTGCAAGTTTTGTTAGACCGAGGAACGGCAAGCATGTGCTCGTTGCCTACATCATGAAGCCGAAGGCACATGTTGCGCCAGTCTCTTTCCCCCCGAATGCAACTCAGTCTATCCTTGTCTCAGGCAGGTTATGATTACCTGGCCACCGCCGCCCACTTCGCAGCTGAGTCTTCCACCGGCACCAACGTGAACGTGTGCACGACGGATGACTTCACCAAGTCGGTGGATGCCTTGGTCTACTACATCGATCCTGATAGCGAGGAGATGAAGTTGCTGGGTTCTGGAGCATCATACTTTAAAGATCTTTAAAGCTGTTTTTTGGTGCCTGTTCCTTAAAGGAGCCAGTATGACATGAATGTTCATGCTTTTTCTCCTGGGTCACTTCAAAGCCCAGGATCGCGTACCCCACCCTGCTGTTCGACCGCAACATCATCGACGGCCGCGGCATGATGTGCTCCTTCCTGACCCTGGCCATCGGCAACAACCAGGGTCGTGGGCTCAGAATGCCCTGTTGATAAGATGAGCAAAAACGTACCGATGTAACGTTTGGTTGATGTTTCTGTGGTCAGCACTGTGTGTTACGAGTGCATGGTTCAGGTATGGGCGATGTCGAGTACGGCAAGATCTACGACTTCTACCTGCCCCCGTCCTTCCTGCGCCTGTATGATGGGCCCGCCGTGAACGTGGAGGACATGTGGCGCATCTTGGGCAAGGGCACCAGCAACGGTGGTCTCGTGGTTGGAACCATCATCAAGCCCAAGCTCGGCCTGCAGCCCAAGCCTTTCGGCGAGGCCTGCTATGCCTTCTGGCAGGGCGGAGATTTCATCAAAAATGCACCTAGACTGCACTGGAACAAAAGCCTTAGCTACATTGTAGTGTTAGCATCGTATTTTCCACTAACTAACAGGGAGCAACGAAATGGGTTGTTGAAGAGCCTCCGTGCAGCCCAGGATGAGCCGCAGGGCAACCAGGTGTTCTGTCAGATGAACGAGTGCATCCCCGAGGTCGTGAAGGCCATGAGGGCCTGCATCAAGGAGACCGGTGTTGGCAAGCTGTTCTCGGCCAACATCACCGCGGATGATCCGAACGAGATGATCGCCCGCGGCAAGTACTGCCTGTCCCAGTTTGGCCCACTCTCGGAGAACTGCGCCTTCTTGGTGGATGGATACGTCGCAGGAGGCACCGCCGTGACCTGCGCCCGCCGCAACTTCCCCAAGCAGTTCTTGCACTACCACCGAGCCGGACACGGATCCGTGACCAGCCCCCAGACCCAGCGCGGCTACACCGCCTTCGTGCACACGAAGATCTCGCGAGTCATCGGTGCGTCCGGCATCCACACCGGCACCATGAGCTTCGGCAAGATGGAGGGCGATGCCTCCGACAAGAACATCGCCTTCATGCTTCAGGACGATGAGGCCGATGGCCCCTATTACCACCAGGAGTGGGAGGGCATGAAGCAGACCACTCCCATCATCTCCGGTGGCATGAACGCCCTGCGTCTGCCGGCCTTCTTCGAGAACCTGGGCCACTCCAACGTGATCCTGACTGCCGGTGGTGGCTCCTTCGGCCACAAGGACGGACCCAAGCCGGGTGCCATCTCCTGCCGCCAGGGTGAGGAGGCCTGGAAGGCTTGGAAGGCCGGACAGTATGGCAACATCAGCCTGAGCGATGGCGTCATCGAGTTCGCCAAGACCCACGAGGAGATCAAGGGCGCTTTCCTTACCTTCCAGAAGGATGCCGACCAGATCTACCCGGGCTGGAAGGAGAAGCTGGGCTACACCGGCGAGTCCTCCGTGCAGGCTGCCAGCTTCGACTGGGCCAAGAAGGCCTAAGCGGATCCAGGTCGCTTGGTTTTACATTGCAGCCCTACAGACAGTCTTCTTTCGATGATCCCTCAAGTTGGAATCCAAACAGCAAGCCCAGACTCGCCTCCCCCTTGCCTGCAAGCCCAAAGGTTGGACCACCAGCTGGATGGATCCAGCGCCCGATGGTGAGAATGCTTGGCTTCAGCGGCTTTTAATAATGAAAGGACGAGTGCAGGTTTTGGTTTCTTCTCACTGAATTTCCTGTCGGTCTCGCCTGTCCATCGTATTCAGAAAGCTTGGCTGGAATTCCAAGCCTAGTTGTTAGCATTGGTCAATTTTGGGGCTTGACCTGTTAGGCGGGAAGCGCTCCCGTAAATTCTCCCTGGTGTCTGCGGTTCTGCGCGCGGCTGCGGCCGCAGACTCCAGACAGTTATCCCAGCTAACTCTTTGTAATAGCATTTTCAGATTGCCGGATTAGACGGAGCAGGACTCGAAGAGCACCTGGAAAATTCGGAACATTAGGCTACGCCACGAAGCGACAAGCGCGCGGAACGCAAAAGCGAGGAAGATCTTGCTGTCGAGTTCTGTCGTGTTGTGGTCTTCTGCACTGCAGCCCTCCGCATGGAGGTGCTTGCATCCCGCAGCCGCTGCACTGGGTCGATACGTATTTCTCCCCTTTTCCGCGTCCCGCAGCGCGTTCTTGGGATGGCTCAGCGTCCATCCAACATTGCCCTTGCTGGGGCAGCCGCAGGCGAGCTGTGAAGCGGCCCCACACCCGAAGCCTCATAAGCCTCTTGCAGAGAGCCCCCAGGACCTTACGCTGCAATGCTGCAAGAAGCCTCAACTCAAGTCAGCTCAAGAGGCGGTCTTGCCCTTCTCGGCTCCACCACCGATGCCTTCGTGGCCTCCGCCCCGCAGGAAAATCGGGGGGGGGGGGGACTTCTGTGAGCGGTAGCAACGCACGGTGAGGGATCTTTGCTTGCACAGGCCAGTGGACCGAGCCTGCGCGGTGCTCCCGTTGCCCAGTCTCAGGCCGGATCAGGGCTGTCTCCGGAGAGGTTAGCTTCTTCTCCTTACAGCCGTGACTTGTATGGTTCTCTGCTCCTGATGCTCTTGCTACGGCGGTTTTGGCTACCACTGCTCTGACAAAGACATGCGAGGCCCAGGCTGCAGCGTCGGGAAGCTCCCTCTCCGCCTCTTGGACTTCAAGCCTTTGCGGCGCAAGTGCGCGCGTCTGCGTGCATTTGCCGATGCCGGTCTTGACTAAACATTCCTATCGTATCTTGGGAGGCTCTCGCCGCTGGCGGAGCTCTTGCCGCCGCGGCCGTGGCTGCCAGCCGCCCAGGCGCTCCGTACTTGCAGCATGCTAATGGCAGTCTTCGCACAGCTCCGATCCCAGAGCCCAGAGAAACATGATTAGTTCGAGACGGAAGCAGTACTGGATAATCGGGACTGGAGTTGAGGGCCTGAGAGCCCTTCAGCTAGGATGTTGGGCTCCAATCGTTCTGAGCCATACCGGAAAACTTGCGGCAACTATCGGGACCTGCCAGAATCAGGACGCCAGACACGCAGCACCATCCTGCCTACGACTGTGGTGCCCGTGAAGGCCATTGCCGGCTTGGGATTGGACTCTTCGAAGGGTTTTGGGTCAGCGCCCCCGGTTCAGGCCTCCCCGTGCAGTCCTCAATCTGAGCAGAGAGATTCCTACTAGTTCCAGCTACGCTCGCCCGCGAGCTCCGGACCACGAGGTTGACATTGAACCTTGAAACCTTTGCACTGTTCAGTTGCTGCTACCACGTCTGCGACGCTTAGCTCTGCTGTTTCAAGTTGCGGTCGTGGCCGTGCCACGGATACGACTATGTTTCGTTCTCGTTGTGCAATATTGTGCAGGACAGCCGGGTGGCACGCAGGGCGCTGGACCAGTCCAGCCGATATGCAGACCTGTCTCTTGACGAGGCCACGCTGATCAAGTCACCCGGCATGAATGTTTGCAGTACTCTGAACAGTGCAGCCGCAACGGGGGTCTCTTCGATCTTGGAAGTCAGGGCTACCGAGTGTCATCAACAGCGATTATAGGATTTGTTAACTTTGTGGCGTAAGCTGTCAATTGTTCTGAGGAACGGCAAGCACGTGCTGGTCGCGTACATCATGAAGCCGAAGGCACATGTTGCGCCAGTCTCTTTCCCCCCCGAATGCAACTCAGTCTATCCTTGTCTCAGGCAGGTTATGATTACCTGGCCACCGCCGCCCACTTCGCAGCCGAGTCTTCCACCGGCACCAACGTGAACGTGTGCACGACGGATGACTTCACCAAGTCCGTGGATGCCCTGGTCTACTACATCGACCCTGACAGCGAGGAGATGAAGTTGCTTGGTTCTGGGGGATCATACTTAATGCTGTTTTTGTTGGTACGTGTTCCTCGAAGGAGCCGTTATGACATGAATGGTCATACTTTTTCTCCTGGGTTACTTCAAAGCCGAGGATCGCGTACCCCACCCTGCTGTTCGACCGCAACATCATCGACGGCCGCGGCATGATGTGCTCCTTCCTGACCCTGGCTATCGGCAACAACCAGGGTCGTGGGCTCAGAATGCCCTGTTGATAAGATGAGCAAAAACGTTCCGATGTAACGATTGATTGATGTTTCTGTGGTCAGTACTGTGTGTCACGAGTGTATGGTTCAGGTATGGGCGATGTCGAGTACGGCAAGATCTACGACTTCTACCTGCCCCCGTCCTTCCTGCGCCTGTATGATGGGCCCGCTGTGAACGTGGAGGACATGTGGCGCATCCTGGGCAAGGGCACCAGCAACGGTGGTCTCGTGGTTGGAACCATCATCAAGCCCAAGCTCGGCCTGCAGCCCAAGCCTTTCGGCGAGGCGTGCTACGCCTTCTGGCAGGGCGGAGATTTCATCAAAAATGCATCTAGACTGCGCTGGAACAAAAGCCTTAGCTACATTGTAGTGTTAGCATCGTATGTTCCACTAACTAACAGGGAGCAACGAAATGGGTTGTTGAAGAGCCTCCCTGCAGCCCAGGATGAGCCGCAGGGCAATCAGGTGTTCTGTCAGATGAACGAGTGCATCCCCGAGGTCGTGAAGGCCATGAGGGCCTGCATCAAGGAGACCGGTGTTGGCAAGCTGTTCTCGGCCAACATCACCGCGGATGATCCCAACGAGATGATCGCCCGCGGCAAGTACTGCCTGTCCCAGTTTGGCCCACTCTCGGAGAACTGCGCCTTCTTGGTGGATGGATACGTCGCAGGAGGCACCGCCGTGACCTGCGCCCGCCGCAACTTCCCCAAGCAGTTCTTGCACTACCACCGAGCCGGACACGGATCCGTGACCAGCCCCCAGACCCAGCGCGGCTACACCGCCTTCGTGCACACGAAGATCTCGCGAGTCATCGGTGCGTCCGGCATCCACACCGGCACCATGAGCTTCGGCAAGATGGAGGGCGATGCCTCCGACAAGAACATCGCCTTCATGCTTCAGGACGATGAGGCCGATGGCCCCTACTACCACCAGGAGTGGGAGGGCATGAAGCAGACCACTCCCATCATCTCCGGCGGTATGAACGCCCTGCGTCTGCCAGCCTTCTTCGAGAACCTGGGCCACTCCAACGTGATCCTCACCGCCGGCGGTGGCTCCTTCGGCCACAAGGACGGGCCCAAGCCGGGTGCTATCTCCTGCCGCCAGGGTGAGGAGGCCTGGAAGGCCTGGAAAGCCGGACAGTATGGCAACATCAGCCTGAGCGATGGCGTCATCGAGTTCGCCAAGACCACGAGGAGATCAAGGGCGCTTTCCTTACCTTCCAGAAGGATGCCGACCAGATCTACCCGGGCTGGAAGGAGAAGCTGGGCTACACCGGCGAGTCCTCCGTGCAGGCTGCCAGCTTCGACTGGGCCAAGAAGTCCGCCGCCGCGTCTGTTCGTCGGCGCCATCGTGGCCCCCTGCCATACGAGAGCACGTATCGCTCATGCCCTGGAATCAGTCCAGCCTCGCTTACGCAGACCTGTCCCTGTCCGGGCACCCTGGTCAAGAGACTCGGCTGCAGGTTGGAGTGGCTGGTGCTGATCTCACATGAGAGGTGCCGGTTACTTATTGCAGGCCCACGAGCGCACTGGAGATTGATCCCGATTAGTTTTCTGAAGTGAATGTGGTCCTGGAGTGGTCGAATAGTCCGTAGATGCACGTTGAGAGAACTCAGCTTAGCTCTTGTGCAAGTTTTGTTAGACCGAGGAACGGCAAGCATGTGCTCGTTGCCTACATCATGAAGCCGAAGGCACATGTTGTGCCAGTCTCTTTCCCCCGAATGCAACTCAGTCTATCCTTGTCTCAGGCAGGTTATGATTACCTGGCCACCGCCGCCCACTTCGCAGCTGAGTCTTCCACCGGCACCAACGTGAACGTGTGCACGACGGATGACTTCACCAAGTCGGTGGATGCCTTGGTCTACTACATCGATCCTGATAGCGAGGAGATGAAGTTGCTGGGTTCTGGAGCATCATACTTTAAAGCTGTTTTTTGGTGCCTGTTCCTTGAAGGAGCCAGTATGACATGAATGTTCATGCTTTTTCTCCTGGGTCACTTCAAAGCCCAGGATCGCCTACCCCACCCTGCTGTTCGACCGCAACATCATCGACGGCCGCGGCATGATGTGCTCCTTCCTGACCCTGGCTATCGGCAACAACCAGGGTCGTGGGCTCAGAATGCCCTGTTGATAAGATGAGCAAAAACGTACCGATGTAATGTTTGGTTGATGTTTCTGTGGTCAGCACTGTGTGTTACGAGTGCATGGTTCAGGTATGGGCGATGTCGAGTACGGCAAGATCTACGACTTCTACCTGCCCCCGTCCTTCCTGCGCCTGTATGATGGGCCCGCCGTGAACGTGGAGGACATGTGGCGCATCTTGGGCAAGGGCACCAGCAACGGTGGTCTCGTGGTTGGAACCATCATCAAGCCCAAGCTCGGCCTGCAGCCCAAGCCTTTCGGCGAGGCCTGCTATGCCTTCTGGCAGGGCGGAGATTTCATCAAAAATGCACCTAGACTGCACTGGAACAAAAGCCTTAGCTTCATTGTAGTGTTAGCATCGTATTTTCCACTAACTAACAGGGAGCAACGAAATGGGTTGTTGAAGAGCCTCCGTGCAGCCCAGGATGAGCCGCAGGGCAACCAGGTGTTCTGTCAGATGAACGAGTGCATCCCCGAGGTCGTGAAGGCCATGAGGGCCTGCATCAAGGAGACCGGTGTTGGCAAGCTGTTCTCGGCCAACATCACCGCGGATGATCCCAACGAGATGATTGCCCGCGGCAAGTACTGCCTGTCCCAATTTGGCCCACTCTCGGAGAACTGCGCCTTCTTGGTGGATGGATACGTCGCAGGAGGCACCGCCGTGACCTGCGCCCGCCGCAACTTCCCCAAGCAGTTCTTGCACTACCACCGAGCCGGACACGGATCCGTGACCAGCCCCCAGACCCAGCGCGGCTACACCGCCTTCGTGCACACGAAGATCTCGCGAGTCATCGGTGCGTCCGGCATTCACACCGGCACCATGAGCTTCGGCAAGATGGAGGGCGATGCCTCCGACAAGAACATCGCCTTCATGCTTCAGGACGATGAGGCCGATGGCCCGTACTACCACCAGGAGTGGGAGGGCATGAAGCAGACCACTCCCATCATCTCCGGCGGTATGAACGCCCTGCGTCTGCCGGCCTTCTTCGAGAACCTGGGCCACTCCAACGTGATCCTGACTGCCGGTGGTGGCTCCTTCGGCCACAAGGACGGACCCAAGCCGGGTGCCATCTCCTGCCGCCAGGGTGAGGAGGCCTGGAAGGCTTGGAAGGCCGGACAGTATGGCAACATCAGCCTGAGCGATGGCGTCATCGAGTTCGCCAAGACCCACGAGGAGATCAAGGGCGCTTTCCTTACCTTCCAGAAGGATGCCGACCAGATCTACCCGGGCTGGAAGGAGAAGCTGGGCTACACCGGCGAGTCCTCGGTGCAGGCTGCCAGCTTCGACTGGGCCAAGAAGGCCTCCGCCGCGGCCTTCGTCGGCGCCAGCGTGGCCCCTGCCAAGAAGGAGAGCAACGTCTCGCTCAAGGCCCTGGATCAGTCCAGCCGCTACGCAGACCTGTCCCTGGACGAGGCCACCCTGGTCAAGAGACTCGGCTGCAGGTTGGAGTGGCTGGTGCTGATCTCACATGAGAGGTGCCGGTGACTTATTGCAGGCCCACGAGCGCACTGGAGATTGATCCCGATTAGTTTTCTGAAGTGAATGTGGTCCTGGAGTGGTCGAATAGTCCGTAGATGCACGTTGAGAGAACTCTGCTTAGCTCTTGTGCAAGTCTCGTTAGACCGAGGAACGGCAAGCATGTGCTCGTTGCCTACATCATGAAGCCGAAGGCACATGTTGCGCCAGTCTCTTTCCCCCCGAATGCAACTCAGTCTATCCTTGTCTCAGGCAGGTTATGATTACCTGGCCACCGCCGCCCACTTCGCAGCTGAGTCTTCCACCGGCACCAACGTGAACGTGTGCACGACGGATGACTTCACCAAGTCGGTGGATGCCTTGGTCTACTACATCGATCCTGATAGCGAGGAGATGAAGTTGCTGGGTTCTGGAGCATCATACTTTAAAGCTGTTTTTTGGTGCCTGTTCCTTGAAGGAGCCAGTATGACATGAATGTTCATGCTTTTTCTCCTGGGTCACTTCAAAGCCCAGGATCGCGTACCCCACCCTGCTGTTCGACCGCAACATCATCGACGGCCGCGGCATGATGTGCTCCTTCCTGACCCTGGCTATCGGCAACAACCAGGGTCGTGGGCTCAGAATGCCCTGTTGATAAGATGAGCAAAAACGTACCGATGTAATGTTTGGTTGATGTTTCTGTGGTCAGCACTGTGTGTTACGAGTGCATGGTTCAGGTATGGGCGATGTCGAGTACGGCAAGATCTACGACTTCTACCTGCCCCCGTCCTTCCTGCGCCTGTATGATGGGCCCGCCGTGAACGTGGAGGACATGTGGCGCATCTTGGGCAAGGGCACCAGCAACGGTGGTCTCGTGGTTGGAACCATCATCAAGCCCAAGCTCGGCCTGCAGCCCAAGCCTTTCGGCGAGGCCTGCTATGCCTTCTGGCAGGGCGGAGATTTCATCAAAAATGATGAGCCGCAGGGCAACCAGGTGTTCTGTCAGATGAACGAGTGCATCCCCGAGGTCGTGAAGGCCATGAGGGCCTGCATCAAGGAGACCGGTGTTGGCAAGCTGTTCTCGGCCAACATCACCGCGGATGATCCCAACGAGATGATCGCCCGCGGCAAGTACTGCCTGTCCCAGTTTGGCCCACTCTCGGAGAACTGCGCCTTCTTGGTGGATGGATACGTCGCAGGAGGCACCGCCGTGACCTGCGCCCGCCGCAACTTCCCCAAGCAGTTCTTGCACTACCACCGAGCCGGACACGGATCCGTGACCAGCCCCCAGACCCAGCGCGGCTACACCGCCTTCGTGCACACGAAGATCTCGCGAGTCATCGGTGCGTCCGGCATCCACACCGGCACCATGAGCTTCGGCAAGATGGAGGGCGATGCCTCCGACAAGAACATCGCCTTCATGCTTCAGGACGATGAGGCCGATGGCCCCTACTACCACCAGGAGTGGGAGGGCATGAAGCAGACCACTCCCATCATCTCCGGTGGCATGAACGCCCTGCGTCTGCCGGCCTTCTTCGAGAACCTGGGCCACTCCAACGTGATCCTGACTGCCGGTGGTGGCCTCCTTCGGCCACAAGGACGGACCCAAGCCGGGTGCCATCTCCTGCCGCCAGGGTGAGGAGGCCTGGAAGGCTTGGAAGGCCGGACAGTATGGCAACATCAGCCTGAGCGATGGCGTCATCGAGTTCGCCAAGACCCACGAGGAGATCAAGGGCGCTTTCCTTACCTTCCAGAAGGATGCCGACCAGATCTACCCGGGCTGGAAGGAGAAGCTGGGCTACACCGGCGAGTCCTCCGTGCAGGCTGCCAGCTTCGACTGGGCCAAGAAGGCCTAAGCGGATGTAGGTCGCTTGGTTTTGCATTGCAGCCCTACAGACAGTCTTCTTTCGATGCCCTATTTTCGGAATTTCAAATCGCAAGCCCAGACTCGCCTCCCCCTTGCCTGCAAGCCCAAAGGTTGGACCACCAGCTGGATGGATCCAGCGCCCGATGGTGAGAATGCTTGGCTTCAGCGGCTTTTAATAATGAAAGGACGAGTGCAGGTTTTGGTTTCTTCTCACTGAATTTCCTGTCGGTCTCGCCTGTCCATCGTATTCAGAAAGCTTGGCTGGAATTCCAAGCCTAGTTGTTAGCATTGGTCAATTGGGGGGCTTGACCTGTTAATTAGGCGGGAAGCGCTCCCGTAAATTCTCCCTGGTGTCTGCGGTTCTGCGCGCGGCTGCGGCCGCAGACTCCAGACAGTTATCCCAGCTAACTCTTTGTAATAGCATTTTCAGATTGCCGGATTAGACGGAGCAGGACTCGAAGAGCACCTGGAAAATTCGGAACATTAGGCTACGCCACGAAGCTACAAGCGCGCGGAACGCAAAAGCGAGGAAGATCTTGCTGTCGAGTTCTGTCGTGTTGTGGTCTTCTGCACTGCAGCCGACCGCATGGAGGTGCTTGCATCCCGCAGCCGCTGCACTGGGTCGATACGTATTTCTCCCCTTTTCCGCGTCCCGCAGCGCGTTCTTGGGATGGCTCAGCGTCCATCCAACATTGCCCTTGCTGGGGCAGCCGCAGGCGAGCTGTGAAGCGGCCCCTCATAAGCCTCTTGCAGAGAGCCCCCAGGACCTTACGCTGCAATGCTGCAAGAAGCCTCAACTCAAGTCAGCTCAAGAGGCGGTCTTGCCCTTCTCGGCTCCACCACCGATGCCTTCGTGGCCTCCGCCCCGCAGGAAAATCGGGGGGGGGGGGGACTTCTGTGAGCGGTAGCAACGCACGGTGAGGGATCTTTGCTTGCACAGGCCAGTGGACCGAGCCTGCGCGGTGCTCCCGTTGCCCAGTCTCAGGCCGGATCAGGGCTGTCTCCGGAGAGGTTAGCTTCTTCTCCTTACAGCCGTGACTTGTATGGTTCTCTGCTTCTGATGCTCTTGCTACGGCGGTTTTGGCTACCACTGCTCTGACAAAGACATGCGAGGCCCAGGCTGCAGCGTCGGGAAGCTCCCTCTCCGCCTCTTGGACTTCAAGCCTTTGCGGCGCAAGTGCGCGCGTCTGCGTGCATTTGCCGATGCCGGTCTTGACTAAACATTCCTATCGTATCTTGGGAGGCTCTCGCCGCCGGCGGAGCTCTTGCCGCCGCGGCCGTGGCTGCCAGCCGCCCAGGCGCTCCGTACTTGCAGCATGCTAATGGCAGTCTTCGCACAGCTCCGATCCCAGAGCCCAGAGAAACATGATTAGTTCGAGACGGAAGCAGTACTGGATAATCGGGACTGGAGTTGAGGGCCTGAGAGCCCTTCAGCTAGGATGTTGGGCTCCAAACGTTCTGAGCCATACCGGAAAACTTGCGGCAACTATCGGGACCTGCCAGAATCAGGACGCCAGACACGCAGCACCATCCTGCCTACGACTGTGGTGCCCGTGAAGGCCATTGCCGGCTTGGGATTGGACTCTTCGAAGGGTTTTGGGTCAGCGCCCCCGGTTCAGATTTGGTGCGCCTTCGGAAGGCCTCCCCGTGAAGTCTTCAATCTGAGCCGAGAGATTCCTACTAGTTCCAGCTACGCTCGACCGCATTCGACCGCGAGCTCCGGACCACGAGGTTGACATTGAACCTTGAAGCCTTTGCACTCTTCAGTTGCTACTACCACGTCTGCGACGCTTAGCTCTGCTGTTTCAAGTTGCGGTCGTGGCCGTGCCACGGATACGATTATGTTTCGTTCTCATTGTGCAATATTGTGCAGGACAGCCGGGTGGCACGCAGGGCGCTGGACCAGTCCAGCCGATATGCAGACCTGTCTCTTGACGAGGCCACGCTGATCAAGTCACCCGGCATGAATGTTTGCAGTACTCTGAACAGTGCAGCCGCAACGGGGGTCTCCTCGATCTTGGAAGTCAGGGCTACCGATTGTCATCAACAGAGATTATGGGATTTGTTAACTTTGTGGCGTAAGCTGTCAACTGTTCTGAGGAACGGCAAGCACGTGCTGGTCGCGTACATCATGAAGCCGAAGGCACATGTTGCGCCAGTCTCTTTCCCCCCAAAATGCAACTCAGTCTATCCTTGTCTCAGGCAGGTTATGATTACCTGGCCACCGCCGCCCACTTCGCCGCCGAGTCCTCCACCGGCACCAACGTGAACGTGTGTACGACGGATGACTTCACCAAGTCGGTGGATGCCTTGGTCTACTACATCGATCCTGATAGCGAGGAGATGAAGTTGCTTGGTTCTGGAGGATCATACTTTAAAGCTGTTTCTGTTGGTACGTGTTCCTTGAAGGAGCCAGTATGACGTGAATGTTCATACTTTTTCTCCTGGGTTGCTTCAAAGCCCAGGATCGCGTACCCCACCCTGCTGTTCGATCGCAACATCATCGACGGCCGCGGCATGATGTGCTCCTTCCTGACCCTGGCTATCGGCAACAACCAGGGTCATGGGCTCAGAATGCCCTGTTGATCAAATGAGCAAAAACGTACCCATGTAACGTTTGGTTAATGTTTCTGTGGTCAGCACTGGCTGTTACGAGTGTTTGGTTCAGGTATGGGCGATGTCGAGTACGGCAAGATCTACGACTTCTACCTGCCCCCGTCCTTCCTGCGCCTGTATGATGGGCCCGCTGTGAACGTGGAGGACATGTGGCGCATCCTGGGCAAAGGCACCAGCAACGGTGGTCTCGTGGTTGGAACCATCATCAAGCCCAAGCTCGGCCTGCAGCCCAAGCCTTTCGGCGAGGCCTGCTATGCATTCTGGCAGGGCGGAGATTTCATCAAAAATGATGAGCCGCAGGGCAACCAGGTGTTCTGTCAGATGAACGAGTGCATCCCCGAGGTCGTGAAGGCCATGAGGGCCTGCATCAAGGAGACCGGTGTTGGCAAGCTGTTCTCGGCCAACATCACCGCGGATGATCCCAACGAGATGATCGCCCGCGGCAAGTACTGCCTGTCCCAGTTTGGCCCACTCTCGGAGAACTGCGCCTTCTTGGTGGATGGATACGTCGCAGGAGGCACCGCCGTGACCTGCGCCCGCCGCAACTTCCCCAAGCAGTTCTTGCACTACCACCGAGCCGGACACGGATCCGTGACCAGCCCCCAGACCCAGCGCGGCTACACCGCCTTCGTGCACACGAAGATCTCGCGAGTCATCGGTGCGTCCGGCATCCACACCGGCACCATGAGCTTCGGCAAGATGGAGGGCGATGCCTCCGACAAGAACATCGCCTTCATGCTTCAGGACGATGAGGCCGATGGCCCCTACTACCACCAGGAGTGGGAGGGCATGAAGCAGACCACTCCCATCATCTCCGGCGGTATGAACGCCCTGCGTCTGCCGGCCTTCTTCGAGAACCTGGGCCACTCCAACGTGATCCTGACTGCCGGTGGTGGCTCCTTCGGCCACAAGGACGGACCCAAGCCGGGTGCCATCTCCTGCCGCCAGGGTGAGGAGGCCTGGAAGGCTTGGAAGGCCGGACAGTATGGCAACATCAGCCTGAGCGATGGCGTCATCGAGTTCGCCAAGACCCACGAGGAGATCAAGGGCGCTTTCCTTACCTTCCAGAAGGACGCCGACCAGATCTACCCTGGCTGGAAGGAGAAGCTCGGCTACACGGGCGAGTCTTCCGTGCAGGCGGCCAGCTTCGACTGGGCCAAGAAGGCATCCGCCGCGGCCTTTGTCGGCGCCAGCGTGGCCCCTGCCAAGAAGGAGAGCAACGTATCGCTCAAGGCCCTGGACCAGTCCAGCCGCTACGCAGACCTGTCCCTGGACGAGGCCACCCTGGTCAAGAGACTCGGCTGCAGCTTGAAGTGGCTGGTGCTGATCTCACATGAGAGGTGCCGGTGACTTATTGCAGGCCCACGAGCGCACTAGAGATTGATCCCGAGTAGTTTGTTGAAGTGAATGTGGTATTGAGTGGTCGAATGGTCCGTAGATGCACGTTGAGAGAACTTTGCTTAGCTCTTGTGCAAGTCTCGTTAGACCGAGGAACGGCAAGCATGTGCTCGTTGCCTACATCATGAAGCCGAAGGCACATGTTGCGCCAGTCTCTTTCCCCCCCGAATGCAACTCAGTCTATCCTTGTCTCAGGCAGGTTATGATTACCTGGCCACCGCCGCCCACTTCGCAGCTGAGTCTTCCACCGGCACCAACGTGAACGTGTGCACGACGGATGACTTCACCAAGTCGGTGGATGCCTTGGTCTACTACATCGATCCTGATAGCGAGGAGATGAAGTTGCTTGGTTCTGGAGGATCATACTTAATGCTGTTTTGTTGGTACGTGTTCCTCGAAAGAGCCATTATGACATGAATGGTCATACTTTTTCTCCTGGGTCACTTCAAAGCCCAGGATCGCGTACCCCACCCTGCTGTTCGACCGCAACATCATCGACGGCCGCGGCATGATGTGCTCCTTCCTGACCCTGGCTATCGGCAACAACCAGGGTCGTGGGCTCAGAATGCCCTGTTGATAAGATGAGCAAAAACGTACCGATGTAATGTTTGGTTGATGTTTCTGTGGTCAGTACTGTGTGTCACGTGAGTGTTTGGTTCAGGTATGGGCGATGTCGAGTACGGCAAGATCTACGACTTCTACCTGCCCCCGTCCTTCCTGCGCCTGTATGATGGGCCCGCCGTGAACGTGGAGGACATGTGGCGCATCCTGGGCAAAGGCACCAGCAACGGTGGTCTCGTGGTTGGCACCATCATCAAGCCCAAGCTCGGCCTGCAGCCCAAGCCTTTCGGCGAGGCCTGCTATGCATTCTGGCAGGGCGGAGATTTCATCAAAAATGATGAGCCGCAGGGCAACCAGGTGTTCTGTCAGATGAACGAGTGCATCCCCGAGGTCGTGAAGGCCATGAGGGCCTGCATCAAGGAGACCGGTGTTGGCAAGCTGTTCTCGGCCAACATCACCGCGGATGATCCCAACGAGATGATCGCCCGCGGCAAGTACTGCCTGTCCCAGTTTGGCCCACTCTCGGAGAACTGCGCCTTCTTGGTGGATGGATACGTCGCAGGAGGCACCGCCGTGACCTGCGCCCGCCGCAACTTCCCCAAGCAGTTCTTGCACTACCACCGAGCCGGACACGGATCCGTGACCAGCCCCCAGACCCAGCGCGGCTACACCGCCTTCGTGCACACGAAGATCTCGCGAGTCATCGGTGCGTCCGGCATCCACACCGGCACCATGAGCTTCGGCAAGATGGAGGGCGATGCCTCCGACAAGAACATCGCCTTCATGCTTCAGGACGATGAGGCCGATGGCCCCTACTACCACCAGGAGTGGGAGGGCATGAAGCAGACCACTCCCATCATCTCCGGCGGTATGAACGCCCTGCGTCTGCCGGCCTTCTTCGAGAACCTGGGCCACTCCAACGTGATCCTGACTGCCGGTGGTGGCTCCTTCGGCCACAAGGACGGACCCAAGCCGGGTGCCATCTCCTGCCGCCAGGGTGAGGAGGCCTGGAAGGCTTGGAAGGCCGGACAGTATGGCAACATCAGCCTGAGCGATGGCGTCATCGAGTTCGCCAAGACCCACGAGGAGATCAAGGGCGCTTTCCTTACCTTCCAGAAGGATGCCGACCAGATCTACCCGGGCTGGAAGGAGAAGCTGGGCTACACCGGCGAGTCCTCGGTGCAGGCTGCCAGCTTCGACTGGGCCAAGAAGGCCTCCGCCGCGGCCTTCGTCGGCGCCAGCGTGGCCCCTGCCAAGAAGGAGAGCAAAGTATCGCTCAAGGCCCTGGATCAGTCCAGCCGCTACGCAGACCTGTCCCTGGACGAGGCCACCCTGGTCAAGAGACTCGGCTGCAGGTTGGAGTGGCTGGTGCTGATCTCACATGAGAGGTGCCGGTGACTTATTGCAGGCCCACGAGCGCACTGGAGATTGATCTCGATTAGTTTTCTGGAGTGAATGTGGTCCTGGAGTGGTCGAATAGTCCGTAGATGCAGGTTGAGAGAACTCTGCTTAGCTCTTGTGCAAGTTTTGTTAGACCGAGGAACGGCAAGCATGTGCTCGTTGCCTACATCATGAAGCCGAAGGCACATGTTGCGCCAGTCTCTTTCCCCCCGAATGCAACTCAGTCCATCCTTGTCTCAGGCAGGTTATGATTACCTGGCCACCGCCGCCCACTTCGCAGCTGAGTCTTCCACCGGCACCAACGTGAACGTGTGCACGACGGATGACTTCACCAAGTCGGTGGATGCCTTGGTCTACTACATCGATCCTGATAGCGAGGAGATGAAGTTGCTGGGTTCTGGAGCATCATACTTTAAAGCTGTTTTTTGGTGCCTGTTCCTTAAAGGAGCCAGTATGACATGAATGTTCATGCTTTTTCTCCTGGGTCACTTCAAAGCCCAGGATCGCGTACCCCACCCTGCTGTTCGACCGCAACATCATCGACGGCCGCGGCATGATGTGCTCCTTCCTGACCCTGGCTATCGGCAACAACCAGGGTCGTGGGCTCAGAATGCCCTGTTGATAAGATGAGCAAAAACGTACCGATGTAATGTTTGGTTGATGTTTCTGTGGTCAGCACTGTGTGTTACGAGTGCATGGTTCAGGTATGGGCGATGTCGAGTACGGCAAGATCTACGACTTCTACCTGCCCCCGTCCTTCCTGCGCCTGTATGATGGGCCCGCCGTGAACGTGGAGGACATGTGGCGCATCTTGGGCAAGGGCACCAGCAACGGTGGTCTCGTGGTTGGAACCATCATCAAGCCCAAGCTCGGCCTGCAGCCCAAGCCTTTCGGCGAGGCCTGCTATGCCTTCTGGCAGGGCGGAGATTTCATCAAAAATGCACCTAGACTGCACTGGAACAAAAGCCTTAGCTACATTGTAGTGTTAGCATCGTATTTTCCACTAACTAACAGGGAGCAACGAAATGGGTTGTTGAAGAGCCTCCGTGCAGCCCAGGATGAGCCGCAGGGCAACCAGGTGTTCTGTCAGATGAACGAGTGCATCCCCGAGGTCGTGAAGGCCATGAGGGCCTGCATCAAGGAGACCGGTGTTGGCAAGCTGTTCTCGGCCAACATCACCGCGGATGATCCGAACGAGATGATCGCCCGCGGCAAGTACTGCCTGTCCCAGTTTGGCCCACTCTCGGAGAACTGCGCCTTCTTGGTGGATGGATACGTCGCAGGAGGCACCGCCGTGACCTGCGCCCGCCGCAACTTCCCCAAGCAGTTCTTGCACTACCACCGAGCCGGACACGGATCCGTGACCAGCCCCCAGACCCAGCGCGGCTACACCGCCTTCGTGCACACGAAGATCTCGCGAGTCATCGGTGCGTCCGGCATCCACACCGGCACCATGAGCTTCGGCAAGATGGAGGGCGATGCCTCCGACAAGAACATCGCCTTCATGCTTCAGGACGATGAGGCCGATGGCCCCTACTACCACCAGGAGTGGGAGGGCATGAAGCAGACCACTCCCATCATTTCCGGTGGCATGAACGCCCTGCGTCTGCCGGCCTTCTTCGAGAACCTGGGCCACTCCAACGTGATCCTGACTGCCGGTGGTGGCTCCTTCGGCCACAAGGACGGACCCAAGCCGGGTGCCATCTCCTGCCGCCAGGGTGAGGAGGCCTGGAAGGCTTGGAAGGCCGGACAGTATGGCAACATCAGCCTGAGCGATGGCGTCATCGAGTTCGCCAAGACCCACGAGGAGATCAAGGGCGCTTTCCTTACCTTCCAGAAGGATGCCGACCAGATCTACCCGGGCTGGAAGGAGAAGCTGGGCTACACCGGCGAGTCCTCCGTGCAGGCTGCCAGCTTCGACTGGGCCAAGAAGGCCTAAGCGGATCCAGGGTCGCTTGGTTTTACATTGCAGCCCTACAGACAGTCTTCTTTCGATGATCTTTCGATGCCCTCAAGTTGGAATCCAAACAGCAAGCCCAGACTCGCCTCCCCCTTGCCTGCAAGCCAAAAGGTTGTACCACCAGCTGGATGGATCCAGCGCCCGATGGTGAGAATGCTTGGCTTCAGCGGCTTTTAATAATGAAAGGACGAGTGCAGGTTTTGGTTTCTTCTCACTGAATTTCCTGTCGGTCTCGCCTGTCCATCGTATTCAGAAAGCTTGGCTGGAACTCCAAGCCTAGTTGTTAGCATTGGTCAATTTTGGGGCTTGACCTGTTAGGCGGGAAGCGCTCCCGTAAATTCTCCCTGGTGTCTGCGGTTCTGCGCGCGGCTGCGGCCGCAGACTCCAGACAGTTATCCCAGCTAACTCTTTGTAATAGCATTTTCAGATTGCCGGATTAGACGGAGCAGGACTCGAAGAGCACCTGGAAAATTCGGAACATTAGGCTACGCCACGAAGCGACAAGCGCGCGGAACGCAAAAGCGAGGAAGATCTTGCTGTCGAGTTCTGTCGTGTTGTGGTCTTCTGCACTGCAGCCGACCGCATGGAGGTGCTTGCATCCCGCAGCCGCTGCACTGGGTCGATACGTATTTCTCCCCTTTTCCGCGTCCCGCAGCGCGTTCTTGGGATGGCTCAGCGTCCATCCAACATTGCCCTTGCTGGGGCAGCCGCAGGCGAGCTGTGAAGCGGCCCCTCATAAGCCTCTTGCAGAGAGCCCCCAGGACCTTACGCTGCAATGCTGCAAGAAGCCTCAACTCAAGTCAGCTCAAGAGGCGGTCTTGCCCTTCTCGGCTCCACCACCGATGCCTTCGTGGCCTCCGCCCCGCAGGAAAATCGGGGGGGACTTCTGTGAGCGGTAGCAACGCACGCTGAGGGATCTTTGCTTGCACAGGCCAGTGGACCGAGCCTGCGCGGTGCTCCCGTTGCCCAGTCTCAGGCCGGATCAGGGCTGTCTCCGGAGAGGTTAGCTTCTTCTCCTTACAGCCGTGACTTGTATGGTTCTCTGCTCCTGATGCTCTTGCTACGGCGGTTTTGGCTACCACTGCTCTGACAAAGACATGCGAGGCCCAGGCTGCAGCGTCGGGAAGCTCCCTCTCCGCCTCTTGGACTTCAAGCCTTTGCGGCGTAAGTGCGCATGTCTGCGTGCATTTGCCGATGCCGGTCTTGACTAAACATTCCTATCGTATCTTGGGAGGCTCTCGCCGCTGGCGGAGCTCTTGCCGCCGCGGCCGTGGCTGCCAGCCGCCCAGGCGCTCCGTACTTGCAGCATGCTAATGGCAGTCTTCGCACAGCTCCGATCCCAGAGCCCAGAGAAACATGATTAGTTCGAGACGGAAGCAGTACTGGATAATCGGGACTGGAGTTGAGGGCCTGAGAGCCCTTCAGCTAGGATGTTGGGCTCCAATCGTTCTGAGCCATACCGGAAAACTTGCGGCAACTATCGGGACCTGCCAGAATCAGGACGCCAGACACGCAGCACCATCCTGCCTACGACTGTGGTGCCCGTGAAGGCCATTGCCGGCTTGGGATTGGACTCTTCGAAGGGTTTTGGGTCAGCGCCCCCGGTTCAGATTTGGTGCGCCTTCGGAAGGCCTCCCCGTGAAGTCTTCAATCTGAGCAGAGAGATTCCTACTAGTTCCAGCTACGCTCGACCGCGAGCTCCGGACCACGAGGTTGACATTGAACCTTGAAACCTTTGCACTGTTCAGTTGCTGCTACCACGTCTGCGACGCATAGAGTTACGGTCGTTGCCGTTATGTTTCGTTCTCGTTGTGCAATATTGTGCAGGACAGCCGGGTGGCACGCAGGGCGCTGGACCAGTCCAGCCGATATGCAGACCTGTCTCTTGACGAGGCCACGCTGATCAAGTCACCCGGCATGAATGTTTGCAGTACTCTGAACAGTGCAGCCGCAACGGGGGTCTCTTCGATCTTGGAAGTCAGGGCTACCGAGTGTCATCAACAGCGATTATAGGATTTGTTAACTTTGTGGCGTAAGCTGTCAATTGTTCTGAGGAACGGCAAGCACGTGCTGGTCGCGTACATCATGAAGCCGAAGGCACATGTTGCGCCAGTCTCTTTCCCCCCCGAATGCAACTCAGTCTATCCTTGTCTCAGGCAGGTTATGATTACCTGGCCACCGCCGCCCACTTCGCAGCCGAATCTTCCACCGGCACCAACGTGAACGTGTGCACGACGGATGACTTCACCAAGTCGGTGGATGCCTTGGTCTACTACATCGATCCTGATAGCGAGGAGATGAAGTTGCTGGGTTCTGGAGCATCATACTTTAAAGCTGTTTCTTGGTACCTGTTCCTTGAAAGGAGCCAGTATGACATGAATGTTCATGCTTTTTCTCCTGGGTCACTTCAAAGCCCAGGATCGCGTACCCCACCCTGCTGTTCGACCGCAACATCATCGACGGCCGCGGCATGATGTGCTCCTTCCTGACCCTGGCTATCGGCAACAACCAGGGTCGTGGGCTCAGAATGCCCTGTTGATAAGATGAGCAAAAACGTACCGATGTAATGTTTGGTTGATGTTTCTGTGGTCAGCACTGTGTGTCACGTGAGTGTTTGGTTCAGGTATGGGCGATGTCGAGTACGGCAAGATCTACGACTTCTACCTGCCCCCGTCCTTCCTGCGCCTGTATGATGGGCCCGCTGTGAACGTGGAGGACATGTGGCGCATCTTGGGCAAGGGCACCAGCAACGGTGGTCTCGTGGTTGGAACCATCATCAAGCCCAAGCTCGGCCTGCAGCCCAAGCCTTTCGGCGAGGCCTGCTATGCCTTCTGGCAGGGCGGAGATTTCATCAAAAATGATGAGCCGCAGGGCAACCAGGTGTTCTGTCAGATGAACGAGTGCATCCCCGAGGTCGTGAAGGCCATGAGGGCCTGCATCAAGGAGACCGGTGTTGGCAAGCTGTTCTCGGCCAACATCACCGCGGATGATCCCAACGAGATGATCGCCCGCGGCAAGTACTGCCTGTCCCAGTTTGGCCCACTCTCGGAGAACTGCGCCTTCTTGGTGGATGGATACGTCGCAGGAGGCACCGCCGTGACCTGCGCCCGCCGCAACTTCCCCAAGCAGTTCTTGCACTACCACCGAGCCGGACACGGATCCGTGACCAGCCCCCAGACCCAGCGCGGCTACACCGCCTTCGTGCACACGAAGATCTCGCGAGTCATCGGTGCGTCCGGCATCCACACCGGCACCATGAGCTTCGGCAAGATGGAGGGCGATGCCTCCGACAAGAACATCGCCTTCATGCTTCAGGACGATGAGGCCGATGGCCCCTACTACCACCAGGAGTGGGAGGGCATGAAGCAGACCACTCCCATCATCTCCGGCGGTATGAACGCCCTGCGTCTGCCGGCCTTCTTCGAGAACCTGGGCCACTCCAACGTGATCCTGACTGCCGGTGGTGGCTCCTTCGGCCACAAGGACGGACCCAAGCCGGGTGCCATCTCCTGCCGCCAGGGTGAGGAGGCCTGGAAGGCTTGGAAGGCCGGACAGTATGGCAACATCAGCCTGAGCGATGGCGTCATCGAGTTCGCCAAGACCCACGAGGAGATCAAGGGCGCTTTCCTTACCTTCCAGAAGGATGCCGACCAGATCTACCCGGGCTGGAAGGAGAAGCTGGGCTACACCGGCGAGTCCTCGGTGCAGGCTGCCAGCTTCGACTGGGCCAAGAAGGCCTCCGCCGCGGCCTTCGTCGGCGCCAGCGTGGCCCCTGCCAAGAAGGAGAGCAACGTATCGCTCAAGGCCCTGGATCAGTCCAGCCGCTACGCAGACCTGTCCCTGGACGAGGCCACCCTGGTCAAGAGACTCGGCTGCAGGTTGGAGTGGCTGGTGCTGATCTCACATGAGAGGTGCCGGTGACTTATTGCAGGCCCACGAGCGCACTGGAGATTGATCCCGAATAGTTTTCTGGAGTGAATGTGGTCCTGGAGTGGTCGAATAGTCCGTAGATGCACGTTGAGAGAACTCTGCTTAGCTCTTGTGCAAGTTTTGTTAGACCGAGGAACGGCAAGCATGTGCTCGTTGCCTACATCATGAAGCCGAAGGCACATGTTGTGCCAGTCTCTTTCCCCCGAATGCAACTCAGTCTATCCTTGTCTCAGGCAGGTTATGATTACCTGGCCACCGCCGCCCACTTCGCAGCTGAGTCTTCCACCGGCACCAACGTGAACGTGTGCACGACGGATGACTTCACCAAGTCGGTGGATGCCTTGGTCTACTACATCGATCCTGATAGCGAGGAGATGAAGTTGCTGGGTTCTGGAGCATCATACTTTAAAGCTGTTTTTTGGTGCCTGTTCCTTGAAGGAGCCAGTATGACATGAATGTTCATGCTTTTTCTCCTGGGTCACTTCAAAGCCCAGGATCGCGTACCCCACCCTGCTGTTCGACCGCAACATCATCGACGGCCGCGGCATGATGTGCTCCTTCCTGACCCTGGCTATCGGCAACAACCAGGGTCGTGGGCTCAGAATGCCCTGTTGATAAGATGAGCAAAAACGTACCGATGTAATGTTTGGTTGATGTTTCTGTGGTCAGCACTGTGTGTTACGAGTGCATGGTTCAGGTATGGGCGATGTCGAGTACGGCAAGATCTACGACTTCTACCTGCCCCCGTCCTTCCTGCGCCTGTATGATGGGCCCGCCGTGAACGTGGAGGACATGTGGCGCATCTTGGGCAAGGGCACCAGCAACGGTGGTCTCGTGGTTGGAACCATCATCAAGCCCAAGCTCGGCCTGCAGCCCAAGCCTTTCGGCGAGGCCTGCTATGCCTTCTGGCAGGGCGGAGATTTCATCAAAAATGCACCTAGACTGCACTGGAACAAAAGCCTTAGCTACATTGTAGTGTTAGCATCGTATTTTCCACTAACTAACAGGGAGCAACGAAATGGGTTGTTGAAGAGCCTCCGTGCAGCCCAGGATGAGCCGCAGGGCAACCAGGTGTTCTGTCAGATGAACGAGTGCATCCCCGAGGTCGTGAAGGCCATGAGGGCCTGCATCAAGGAGACCGGTGTTGGCAAGCTGTTCTCGGCCAACATCACCGCGGATGATCCCAACGAGATGATTGCCCGCGGCAAGTACTGCCTGTCCCAATTTGGCCCACTCTCGGAGAACTGCGCCTTCTTGGTGGATGGATACGTCGCAGGAGGCACCGCCGTGACCTGCGCCCGCCGCAACTTCCCCAAGCAGTTCTTGCACTACCACCGAGCCGGACACGGATCCGTGACCAGCCCCCAGACCCAGCGCGGCTACACCGCCTTCGTGCACACGAAGATCTCGCGAGTCATCGGTGCGTCCGGCATTCACACCGGCACCATGAGCTTCGGCAAGATGGAGGGCGATGCCTCCGACAAGAACATCGCCTTCATGCTTCAGGACGATGAGGCCGATGGCCCGTACTACCACCAGGAGTGGGAGGGCATGAAGCAGACCACTCCCATCATTTCCGGCGGTATGAACGCCCTGCGTCTGCCGGCCTTCTTCGAGAACCTGGGCCACTCCAACGTGATCCTGACTGCCGGTGGTGGCTCCTTCGGCCACAAGGACGGACCCAAGCCGGGTGCCATCTCCTGCCGCCAGGGTGAGGAGGCCTGGAAGGCTTGGAAGGCCGGACAGTATGGCAACATCAGCCTGAGCGATGGCGTCATCGAGTTCGCCAAGACCCACGAGGAGATCAAGGGCGCTTTCCTTACCTTCCAGAAGGATGCCGACCAGATCTACCCGGGCTGGAAGGAGAAGCTGGGCTACACCGGCGAGTCCTCGGTGCAGGCTGCCAGCTTCGACTGGGCCAAGAAGGCCTCCGCCGCGGCCTTCGTCGGCGCCAGCGTGGCCCCTGCCAAGAAGGAGAGCAACGTATCGCTCAAGGCCCTGGATCAGTCCAGCCGCTACGCAGACCTGTCCCTGGACGAGGCCACCCTGGTCAAGAGACTCGGCTGCAGGTTGGAGTGGCTGGTGCTGATCTCACATGAGAGGTGCCGGTGACTTATTGCAGGCCCACGAGCGCACTGGAGATTGATCCCGAATAGTTTTCTGGAGTGAATGTGGTCCTGGAGTGGTCGAATAGTCCGTAGATGCACGTTGAGAGAACTCTGCTTAGCTCTTGTGCAAGTTTTGTTAGACCGAGGAACGGCAAGCATGTGCTCGTTGCCTACATCATGAAGCCGAAGGCACATGTTGCGCCAGTCTCTTTCCCCCCGAATGCAACTCAGTCTATCCTTGTCTCAGGCAGGTTATGATTACCTGGCCACCGCCGCCCACTTCGCAGCTGAGTCTTCCACCGGCACCAACGTGAACGTGTGCACGACGGATGACTTCACCAAGTCGGTGGATGCCTTGGTCTACTACATCGATCCTGATAGCGAGGAGATGAAGTTGCTGGGTTCTGGAGCATCATACTTTAAAGCTGTTTTTTGGTGCCTGTTCCTTGAAGGAGCCAGTATGACATGAATGTTCATGCTTTTTCTCCTGGGTCACTTCAAAGCCCAGGATCGCGTACCCCACCCTGCTGTTCGACCGCAACATCATCGACGGCCGCGGCATGATGTGCTCCTTCCTGACCCTGGCTATCGGCAACAACCAGGGTCGTGGGCTCAGAATGCCCTGTTGATAAGATGAGCAAAAACGTACCGATGTAATGTTTGGTTGATGTTTCTGTGGTCAGCACTGTGTGTTACGAGTGCATGGTTCAGGTATGGGCGATGTCGAGTACGGCAAGATCTACGACTTCTACCTGCCCCCGTCCTTCCTGCGCCTGTATGATGGGCCCGCCGTGAACGTGGAGGACATGTGGCGCATCTTGGGCAAGGGCACCAGCAACGGTGGTCTCGTGGTTGGAACCATCATCAAGCCCAAGCTCGGCCTGCAGCCCAAGCCTTTCGGCGAGGCCTGCTATGCCTTCTGGCAGGGCGGAGATTTCATCAAAAATGATGAGCCGCAGGGCAACCAGGTGTTCTGTCAGATGAACGAGTGCATCCCCGAGGTCGTGAAGGCCATGAGGGCCTGCATCAAGGAGACCGGTGTTGGCAAGCTGTTCTCGGCCAACATCACCGCGGATGATCCCAACGAGATGATTGCCCGCGGCAAGTACTGCCTGTCCCAATTTGGCCCACTCTCGGAGAACTGCGCCTTCTTGGTGGATGGATACGTCGCAGGAGGCACCGCCGTGACCTGCGCCCGCCGCAACTTCCCCAAGCAGTTCTTGCACTACCACCGAGCCGGACACGGATCCGTGACCAGCCCCCAGACCCAGCGCGGCTACACCGCCTTCGTGCACACGAAGATCTCGCGAGTCATCGGTGCGTCCGGCATCCACACCGGCACCATGAGCTTCGGCAAGATGGAGGGCGATGCCTCCGACAAGAACATCGCCTTCATGCTTCAGGACGATGAGGCCGATGGCCCCTACTACCACCAGGAGTGGGAGGGCATGAAGCAGACCACTCCCATCATTTCCGGTGGCATGAACGCCCTGCGTCTGCCGGCCTTCTTCGAGAACCTGGGCCACTCCAACGTGATCCTGACTGCCGGTGGTGGTTCCTTCGGCCACAAGGACGGACCCAAGCCGGGTGCCATCTCCTGCCGCCAGGGTGAGGAGGCCTGGAAGGCTTGGAAGGCCGGACAGTATGGCAACATCAGCCTGAGCGATGGCGTCATCGAGTTCGCCAAGACCCACGAGGAGATCAAGGGCGCTTTCCTTACCTTCCAGAAGGATGCCGACCAGATCTACCCGGGCTGGAAGGAGAAGCTGGGCTACACCGGCGAGTCCTCCGTGCAGGCTGCCAGCTTCGACTGGGCCAAGAAGGCCTAAGCGGATGTAGGTCGCTTGGTTTTGCATTGCAGCCCTACAGACAGTCTTCTTTCGATGCCCTATTTTCGGAAACTTTCAAATCGCAAGCCCAGACTCGCCTCCCCCTTGCCTGCAAGCCCAAAGGTTGGACCACCAGCTGGATGGATCCAGCGCCCGATGGTGAGAATGCTTGGCTTCAGCGGCTTTTAATAATGAAAGGACGAGTGCAGGTTTTGGTTTCTTCTCACTGAATTTCCTGTCGGTCTCGCCTGTCCATCGTATTCAGAAAGCTTGGCTGGAATTCCAAGCCTAGTTGTTAGCATGGGTCAATTGTGGGGCTTGACCTGTTAGGCGGGAAGCGCTCCCGTAAATTCTCCCTGGTGTCTGCGGTTCTGCGCGCGGCTGCGGCCGCAGACTCCAGACAGTTATCCCAGCTAACTCTTTGTAATAGCATTTTCAGATTGCCGGATTAGACGGAGCAGGACTCGAAGAGCACCTGGAAAATTCGGAACATTAGGCTACGCCACGAAGCGACAAGCGCGCGGAACGCAAAAGCGAGGAAGATCTTGCTGTCGAGTTCTGTCGTGTTGTGGTCTTCTGCACTGCAGCCGACCGCATGCATCCCGCAGCCGCTGCAGTGGGTCGATACGTATTTCTCCCCTTTTCCGCGTCCCGCAGCGCGTTCTTGGGATGGCTCAGCGTCCATCCAACATTGCCCTTGCTGGGGCAGCCGCAGGCGAGCTGTGAAGCGGCCCCACACCCGAAGCCTCATAAGCCTCTTGCAGAGAGCCCACAGGACCTTACGCTGCAATGCTGCAAGAAGCCTCAACTCAAGTCAGCTCAAGAGGCGGTCTTGCCCTTCTCGGCTCCACCACCGATGCCTTCGTGGCCTCCGCCCCGCAGGAAAATCGGGGGGGGGGGGACTTCTGTGAGCGGTAGCAACGCACGGTGAGGGATCTTTGCTTGCACAGGCCAGTGGACCGAGCCTGCGCGGTGCTCCCGTTGCCCAGTCTCAGGCCGGATCAGGGCTGTCTCCGGAGAGGTTAGCTTCTTCTCCTTACAGCCGTGACTTGTATGGTTCTCTGCTCCTGATGCTCTTGCTACGGCGGTTTTGGCTACCACTGCTCTGACAAAGACATGCGAGGCCCAGGCTGCAGCGTCGGGAAGCTCCCTCTCCGCCTCTTGGACTTCAAGCCTTTGCGGCGTAAGTGCGCATGTCTGCGTGCATTTGCCGATGCCGGTCTTGACTAAACATTCCTATCGTATCTTGGGAGGCTCTCGCCGCTGGCGGAGCTCTTGCCGCCGCGGCCGTGGCTGCCAGCCGCCCAGGCACTCCGTACTTGCAGCATGCTAATGGCAGTCTTCGCACAGCTCCGATCCCAGAGCCCAGAGAAACATGATTAGTTCGAGACGGAAGCAGTTCTGGATAATCGGAACTGGAGTTGAGGGCCTGAGAGCCCTCCAGCTAGGATGTTGGGCTCCAAACGTTCTGGGCCATACCGGAAAACTTGCGGCACCTATCGGGACCTGCCAGAATCAGGACGCCAGACACGCAGCACCATCCTGCCTACGACTGTGGTGCCCGTGAAGGCCATTGCCGGCTTGGGATTGGACTCTTCGAAGGGTTTTGGGTCAGCGCCCCCGGTTCAGGCCTCCCCGTGCAGTCCTCAATCTGAGCAGAGAGATTCCTACTAGTTCCAGCTACGCTCGCCCGCGAGCTCCGGACCACGAGGTTGACATTGAACCTTGAAACCTTTGCACTGTTCAGTTGCTGCTACCACGTCTGCGACGCTTAGCTCTGCTGTTTCAAGTTGCGGTCGTGGCCGTGCCACGGATACGACTATGTTTCGTTCTCGTTGTGCAATATTGTGCAGGACAGCCGGGTGGCACGCAGGGCGCTGGACCAGTCCAGCCGATATGCAGACCTGTCTCTTGACGAGGCCACGCTGATCAAGTCACCCGGCATGAATGTTTGCAGTACTCTGAACAGTGCAGCCGCAACGGGGGTCTCCTCGGTCTTGGAAGTCAGGGCTACCGATTGTCATCAACAGAGATTATGGGATTTGTTAACTTTGTGGCGTAAGCTGTCAACTGTTCTGAGGAACGGCAAGCACGTGCTGGTCGCGTACATCATGAAGCCGAAGGCACATGTTGCGCCAGTCTCTTTCCCCCCAAAATGCAACTCAGTCTATCCTTGTCTCAGGCAGGTTATGATTACCTGGCCACCGCCGCCCACTTCGCCGCCGAGTCCTCCACCGGCACCAACGTGAACGTGTGCACGACGGATGACTTCACCAAGTCCGTGGATGCCCTGGTCTACTACATCGACCCTGACAGCGAGGAGATGAAGTTGCTTGGTTCTGGGGGATCATACTTAATGCTGTTTTTGTTGGTACGTGTTCCTCGAAGGAGCCGTTATGACATGAATGGTCATACTTTTTCTCCTGGGTTACTTCAAAGCCGAGGATCGCGTACCCCACCCTGCTGTTCGACCGCAACATCATCGACGGCCGCGGCATGATGTGCTCCTTCCTGACCCTGGCTATCGGCAACAACCAGGGTCGTGGGCTCAGAATGCCCTGTTGATAAGATGAGCAAAAACGTTCCGATGTAACGATTGATTGATGTTTCTGTGGTCAGTACTGTGTGTCACGAGTGTATGGTTCAGGTATGGGCGATGTCGAGTACGGCAAGATCTACGACTTCTACCTGCCCCCGTCCTTCCTGCGCCTGTATGATGGGCCCGCTGTGAACGTGGAGGACATGTGGCGCATCCTGGGCAAGGGCACCAGCAACGGTGGTCTCGTGGTTGGAACCATCATCAAGCCCAAGCTCGGCCTGCAGCCCAAGCCTTTCGGCGAGGCGTGCTACGCCTTCTGGCAGGGCGGAGATTTCATCAAAAATGCATCTAGACTGCGCTGGAACAAAAGCCTTAGCTACATTGTAGTGTTAGCATCGTATGTTCCACTAACTAACAGGGAGCAACGAAATGGGTTGTTGAAGAGCCTCCCTGCAGCCCAGGATGAGCCGCAGGGCAATCAGGTGTTCTGTCAGATGAACGAGTGCATCCCCGAGGTCGTGAAGGCCATGAGGGCCTGCATCAAGGAGACCGGTGTTGGCAAGCTGTTCTCGGCCAACATCACCGCGGATGATCCCAACGAGATGATCGCCCGCGGCAAGTACTGCCTGTCCCAGTTTGGCCCACTCTCGGAGAACTGCGCCTTCTTGGTGGATGGATACGTCGCAGGAGGCACCGCCGTGACCTGCGCCCGCCGCAACTTCCCCAAGCAGTTCTTGCACTACCACCGAGCCGGACACGGATCCGTGACCAGCCCCCAGACCCAGCGCGGCTACACCGCCTTCGTGCACACGAAGATCTCGCGAGTCATCGGTGCGTCCGGCATCCACACCGGCACCATGAGCTTCGGCAAGATGGAGGGCGATGCCTCCGACAAGAACATCGCCTTCATGCTTCAGGACGATGAGGCCGATGGCCCCTACTACCACCAGGAGTGGGAGGGCATGAAGCAGACCACTCCCATCATCTCCGGCGGTATGAACGCCCTGCGTCTGCCAGCCTTCTTCGAGAACCTGGGCCACTCCAACGTGATCCTCACCGCCGGCGGTGGCTCCTTCGGCCACAAGGACGGGCCCAAGCCGGGTGCTATCTCCTGCCGCCAGGGTGAGGAGGCCTGGAAGGCCTGGAAAGCCGGACAGTATGGCAACATCAGCCTGAGCGATGGCGTCATCGAGTTCGCCAAGACCCACGAGGAGATCAAGGGCGCTTTCCTTACCTTCCAGAAGGATGCCGACCAGATCTACCCGGGCTGGAAGGAGAAGCTGGGCTACACCGGCGAGTCCTCCGTACAGGCTGCCAGCTTCGACTGGGCCAAGAAGGCCTCCGCCGCGGCCTTCGTCGGCGCCAGCGTGGCCCCTGCCAAGAAGGAGAGCAACGTATCGCTCAAGGCCCTGGACCAGTCCAGCCGCTACGCAGACCTGTCCCTGGACGAGGCCACCCTGGTCAAGAGACTCGGCTGCAGGTTGGAGTGGCTGGTGCTGATCTCACATGAGAGGTGCCGGTTACTTATTGCAGGCCCACGAGCGCACTGGAGATTGATCCCGATTAGTTTTCTGAAGTGAATGTGGTCCTGGAGTGGTCGAATAGTCCGTAGATGCACGTTGAGAGAACTCAGCTTAGCTCTTGTGCAAGTTTTGTTAGACCGAGGAACGGCAAGCATGTGCTCGTTGCCTACATCATGAAGCCGAAGGCACATGTTGTGCCAGTCTCTTTCCCCCGAATGCAACTCAGTCTATCCTTGTCTCAGGCAGGTTATGATTACCTGGCCACCGCCGCCCACTTCGCAGCTGAGTCTTCCACCGGCACCAACGTGAACGTGTGCACGACGGATGACTTCACCAAGTCGGTGGATGCCTTGGTCTACTACATCGATCCTGATAGCGAGGAGATGAAGTTGCTGGGTTCTGGAGCATCATACTTTAAAGCTGTTTTTTGGTGCCTGTTCCTTGAAGGAGCCAGTATGACATGAATGTTCATGCTTTTTCTCCTGGGTCACTTCAAAGCCCAGGATCGCGTACCCCACCCTGCTGTTCGACCGCAACATCATCGACGGCCGCGGCATGATGTGCTCCTTCCTGACCCTGGCTATCGGCAACAACCAGGGTCGTGGGCTCAGAATGCCCTGTTGATAAGATGAGCAAAAACGTACCGATGTAATGTTTGGTTGATGTTTCTGTGGTCAGCACTGTGTGTTACGAGTGCATGGTTCAGGTATGGGCGATGTCGAGTACGGCAAGATCTACGACTTCTACCTGCCCCCGTCCTTCCTGCGCCTGTATGATGGGCCCGCCGTGAACGTGGAGGACATGTGGCGCATCTTGGGCAAGGGCACCAGCAACGGTGGTCTCGTGGTTGGAACCATCATCAAGCCCAAGCTCGGCCTGCAGCCCAAGCCTTTCGGCGAGGCCTGCTATGCCTTCTGGCAGGGCGGAGATTTCATCAAAAATGATGAGCCGCAGGGCAACCAGGTGTTCTGTCAGATGAACGAGTGTATCCCCGAGGTCGTGAAGGCCATGAGGGCCTGCATCAAGGAGACCGGTGTTGGCAAGCTGTTCTCGGCCAACATCACCGCGGATGATCCGAACGAGATGATCGCCCGCGGCAAGTACTGCCTGTCCCAGTTTGGCCCACTCTCGGAGAACTGCGCCTTCTTGGTGGATGGATACGTCGCAGGAGGCACCGCCGTGACCTGCGCCCGCCGCAACTTCCCCAAGCAGTTCTTGCACTACCACCGAGCCGGACACGGATCCGTGACCAGCCCCCAGACCCAGCGCGGCTACACCGCCTTCGTGCACACGAAGATCTCGCGAGTCATCGGTGCGTCCGGCATCCACACCGGCACCATGAGCTTCGGCAAGATGGAGGGCGATGCTTCCGACAAGAACATCGCCTTCATGCTTCAGGACGATGAGGCCGATGGCCCCTACTACCACCAGGAGTGGGAGGGCATGAAGCAGACCACTCCCATCATTTCCGGTGGCATGAACGCCCTGCGTCTGCCGGCCTTCTTCGAGAACCTGGGCCACTCCAACGTGATCCTCACCGCCGGCGGTGGCTCCTTCGGCCACAAGGACGGGCCCAAGCCGGGTGCCATCTCCTGCCGCCAGGGTGAGGAGGCCTGGAAGGCCTGGAAGGCCGGACAGTATGGCAACATCAGTCTGAGCGATGGCGTCATCGAGTTCGCCAAGACCCACGAGGAGATCAAGGGCGCTTTCCTTACCTTCCAGAAGGATGCCGACCAGATTTATCCGGGTTGGAAGGAGAAGCTGGGCTACACCGGCGAGTCCTCCGTGCAGGCTGCCAGCTTCGACTGGGCCAAGAAGGCCTCTGCCGCGGCCTTTGTCGGCTCCAGCGTGACGGAGCGCGCTCCCCACGTTGCCCGTGCGGTGACTCCTTATGAGTTGAACGGGAACGTCCTGGCCGACTTGGAGTTCAGCAACGACATCGGCTACCTGCCGGACGGCACACCCCTGAACAGGGCTGGCAACGCCATCAACCACCCAGAGAACATTGGTCCTGACAGCCATGCCCCTGGCTCGCCTCTGCCCCGTGCCAACTTTGTGAACTCCGTGGGCTACCTTCCTGATGGCACCCCACTCAACAGGGCGGGCAACGCCATCAACCACCCGGAGAACATTGGCCCCGACATGCACACGCCGGGCTCGCCCCTGCCTGCCTCCAGCTACAAGGCCGACATCGGATACTTAGTGGATGGCACTGATTTGGCCACTGCCGGCAACCTCTCCGTCCAGGGTGGTGCTGCGCCTGCTGCACCAGCAGCGGCACCGGCCCCTGTGGTTGCAGCAGCTTTCGTCGGCTCCTCCGCAGCTACCCCTTCGAAGGTCAGGCATGCCGGGAACTTCGCATATGGGTTTCAGAAAGATTCCTGGGCGGACTTGGAATTCAGCAACGACATCGGCTACCTGCCGGACGGCACGCCCCTGAACAGGGCCGGCAACGCCATCAACCATCCGGAGAACATTCAGCCGGACAGCCATGCTCCGGGATCTCCCTTGCCTTCCGCCATCTTCGTGAACGATGTTGGCTACCTGCCGGATGGCACTCCGCTCAACAGGGCTGGCAACGCCATCAACCACCCGGAGAACATTGGCCCCGACATGCACGCGCCGGGCTCGCCCCTGCCTGCCTCCACCTACGCGCAGGACGTGGGCTACCTGGTGGACGGAACTCCTATGGAGAATGCCGGCAACCTCTCCGTCCAGTGAGTGTCAGTTTTCGCATGAGCACCTGCTCAAGTTTTCTTTTAAGCCCCCAGCCTCTGCACGCAGCTGGGCTCCGCAAAGCGGCAAGGCCTGACTCAATTTTGTTGCGTTGCCCGAAATTCTGAAATTCTTCAAGTTGGCTCTGGGCCCCAAGAGGGTCCATGAGTCCAGCTGCTGAAGATCTTGCCCCCCACGAGGGCTCTCAGCAGACGCCGAAGCGAGCCCAAAACAGTTTGCATGGTTGTGAAGAACAAAGCGGGCCTAACTCAGTCAGTCAACATTGACTTATACAGGCCTGTCATAGGATCATGAACGAAAAAGATGGGTGTCTTGACATACAGAGGAAATAGACCTGCCAGAAAGCCTCCAATACTTGGCAATAGTTTCCCTGCATAGTCCCTATGTGATCCTGTTGAAACTTACTCGGGCCCCTGGATTCTCTCAATTCCTGAGCTTCGGCCGAGCCAGGGTACAGTGCTCGGAACTAGTCGTACACAATCTCAGAGATTATGGATGTGAACTTTTTGCGGCCTCGACAAAAGCTCACCCTGACTTCAAAATGGAACCTTACATACCCTTGCAAGGCCCTTCATATTAGTTCTATCCGACTCTATCCTTTATGCAACCCTTCGCAAACTAAAGCCCCATAATAAGTACACCCTCAGTAGATAAGTCCCAGAACAGGTGTTGCGGAGTGACGCCTTCCACTTACTGCGGCGGCGCTTAGATCGTGGCCTCCGACAGCTCGTTGAGGCATTCCTGTTTTTTTGTTTATTTAGGGTTCCTTTAAGGGGTATCGCAAGGATGCCTTTACAAGTTCGGTTGTAATTGGGCTCTTTGTTGCAGTGCGCCGTATGTTCAACGCGGCGGCAGTTCAGGGGTGTTGGCAGGGGTTAGTTTCAATGCCCAACACAGCCTCCAGCCACCTGTAGCAGCAACGAGTTCGATCGATCACAGTGAGACCAATCGGTTCTTCTTGACCGATGTGCGCTGACAGCCGCATTGTCGAAGTCGATGTTCTGTTTTTGATAGCAGAAGGCCGTATTACCATGTCATTTTTTGCTCTAAACCCATTCCCTCAACCCAAAACCCTACACTCTATCCTAAACTACAGGATTGTCTGGGCTGCCTTAGTCTCGCAGTCAAGCAAGCCGTGGTCCCTAAACCTTCCTAAACAGGTCGTGGCTCTCCAGCGGACTCAACGTTGCCTGAACCCCACAGAACTCACCTTTCGTATATACTATAGTATGTAGGTCCTTAAACATTTTTATTGGTGTTGAACGTTGAACTATGGTGAGTATTAAGATAACGTCTCAATCTCGCAGTACCTTTGAGACCTCCAGCCGGAGTTCATACAAGTTTGCCTGCGGTCCGTAGTGCACTCCAAGCGTTCCCCCCTCCTCTTGTCACTCCGTCAAAAGCCTTTCGGGAGGCGGGGTATCTGCAGGTCAAACCATGTAGGACCATCATATACCCTTTTTTTGCCATTATAAACCCATTAGATAGCCCATTATAGGGTAGGGGCCCCCATTATATACCCATTATATAGGGATCCAGGGGACAAACCCAAGCCGTAACTTGCCAATGGAAGAAGAGGCCACCTATGCCCTGCTCCTGTCTGGGGCCTGTGGCGAGGAGCTGAAGGCACAGCACTTGCCTGGGGTCTTTTCTCTATGAAGGTGTCAGACAGGGCCCATCATGAGAATCTTACTGCGTGCTGGTGAGGTCTATTGTCTTTTTGGGGTTTATGTTTTGGACACTTCTGTGTGTTTTCGTAGGCCTAGGCTGGGCATGCAAGAATCCCTATACTCTGTACGAACCCTTCAAGTCTCGAAAGAGGCACGTGGTATTTACGTGGGACGAACAAATACTTGCAGCTTGGAGCTATGCTGCTGCTTCGAATGCGATATCGAAAGCTCAAACATTGAGATGTGTGGCCACTGTATAGTCTTGTGTCGCGTTCCAATTTGAGGGCCCCTCCTTCAACTCAAGCCCGTTCCACGAAACCGAATCCAACATCCCCCAAGACACTCTTCAAGCCTTAGGCCTAAGTTGAGCTTTGTGGTGTTGTCAAGCGCCAGCTGGCAATGGCACGGGCACCTCCTGAAGAGGATGCGAGTTGTTTGTGCTTTTCATCCCGTAGCTTTGCTACTGTAGGCCTCGCCCGACCTCATCGACTGTGAGAGCCCCCCCCAAGAAAGCCCTCAAAGATGTAATTCCTCTACGATACTATACTATACCAAACTGTACGATACCATACTCTACCCAGAGGCTCCATGGTAGTTCCTTTTTGGGTTTACTTCATAGGATTTTAGATATGAGCCCGGAAGAGCCCCGAGGCCTTCAACTCGAAAGAAGAAATCTTTTTTGCACAGGCTTGGGTGAATCCCGCCTGGATCTAAACCCTAAACCCTAGTTATTTCCTTCAACTCCTGGACCCTAAATCCCTCTGAAGCCATGCCTGCCTTGTGCGAGTGTGTGAGTCGAAACCCCTAAAATTAAACCCTAAATCGGAGGATGCATGCTTGGAGCTCTTGGTCGCGGAGCTTTGCTACGAGGCGGGGTCGCAGGCTTCAGGAGAGCAGGGGCTTCGAAGCTCTCTGGTGTTTCTGGTTTAGGCTTCTGCTGCTTTTTTCAATTTTTGGAGACCTCAGTCCGTGTTTATGAGCTTGAGCAAGGATCCTGGACTCCGGTGGTGAGTGGTTGAAGGTGCTTGGTGTCAAGATTCTACATGCGCAGCCTTTGAACTCTTCCAGGCTTGGGGACTTCCGTGGAAGGGCTTGCACTTGCACCTGCTTGCTGAAGCCACCCACCTCACGCCACAATTTGAGAAACCCCATCAGAGATTCCAGCTTGGTGAACTCTAAATCCCTTTCAACATTCAATTCCTCCCCAAACCCTCAACGGTCAAACTAGGCCGTTTGCCTCACGGGCGCTCTCAGCCTCAACCCAGAATTGTCGAAAAAGCGGCTTGCCCTAGCCTGTGAGTTCGGTACAGAAAACGGTTGGGGCATATTTATCACACTAAACCTGAAACCCCCAAAGTGTGAGTGCCAAAACCCAAACCCCCCAAAGCCGAAAGCACCACGATTGATGCACAGGCGAGCCGACTGAAGTCTGTTATCGGGAGTGACAAGTACGACTTAGTCGTTAAGCGGCCGTACTCGCCTCGAGCTAATGCATTTCGCAGTTGCCCTTTGCCAGTTGTGGATCCACAAGTTGCGTTCAGTTTGTACTGCCAACGCCACAGACAGCGAAGTCCATGATGGAGTTTGCTGGAATCAATTAGGTAACTTAGCTGCTTCCTTGAGGATCTCCTGCGTCCTTCTCGCATGGGACGTCCGATGACATCTTGCATAAACCCCCGGAAACCCGAAGCCCAGGGCCCCTCTTCCCAAAACCCGGAGCCCCGGGGCCCCTCAACCGCAAGGTGGGACCGGCCCTCTTGGAGCGAAGTCGAGGCTTCCGACGTCCGGGATGTGAGGGGATTCCGGTTTTGTGTGTAGCTTGGGGGTTTCCAGAAGGGGTGCTCAGGCTTTGGGGTTGAGAGTTTGTTTCCGCAGGGTTCATATGGGGCTTCTAGAGGCTGTCTCAGAGGGCTTCAAAGAGCTTCTGCAGGGCTTCTGGTTCAGTTGCGATAGGGTTTCCTGGACGTTTTCGTAGATTCTGCATGGCGTCTGTAGGTTTTCTAAAGGGAGGGCTTGGGGTTCAGGCCTCAGTTGATATAACGGTTTCCTTCTCTCGGCGAGGTCGTGTACAAGTGCAGATGCTTCATAGTTTGTTCTCGAGTTTCCGGTTCAGGGCATCTGGGTTTAATGTTGAGGGTTTAGGGTTCAATGTTTTCTTTAGAAGACTTGCCGAAAGGGAAGGCTTTCGGTGGCTCATTGGATTTGGAGATGAAATTCGTGCTGAGGCTTTAGGTTCGTTTTCGAGTGTTTGGCTTGAATCCCTACGCTCTTTGTCTTTCTCGGGGCAAGTGGGCACAGTTCCGAGCGGAGTTCAAGTTTTCGCATTTTGGGCTCATGGAGGTGGGATTCTGGGCAGTGTTCTATCCTTAATGTAAAACGGATCGAGCTCCGGATTCTAAATCAAGAAATAACGGTTGGCTCCAAATTTCGCTGTGTTGAGCATCTGAAGCTGGGGTTGCCAGGACCGCGCACTCCACCCTCTAGGGAAGCCAGACCGCCCTCTCAACTACCACAACAGCACTTTAAGAAACATATTAGTTTTATACTTATGACATATGACTAAGATTGTTGTTATTACTGTTGTCATGACTATGCTTGTTATGTTCAGCAGCAGAATCCCGCCACTGCCACCACCTTCACCACTGCGGTGATAATCTAACTCGTGGTTCAATGCGGCCGCATTGCCTGGCTGTAGGCAGCAACTTTAGGAAGATAGAGATTGGAGCCTCAATAATTTGCTATGGTATTTCTTAGGTTTCTCGGCTTCCCGAAAAACTAGCTCTGAGCATAGTACAAGGCAACACAAACTTTTGTCCATTGATCAAGGGCCATAACTTATGCACTAACATGGAAGGACGGATCAGCCCTAGAGTGGAACGAATCACCTCGCGCAAGCAGGAGAGACTGTAGCCAAGAAGCGCTGCAGCGAGGAGGTTTACCTCGCTCTCTGTGCTTCGGCTTATATGCATTTGCACATGTACACACACACACACATATATATATATATATAATACGTATATATGTCCTTACATATACATATGTACATAACAAACACATGTGTACATATTTATAGGTGTATGTATGTATGTATATATATATATATATATACATATGTATATATATATATATGTATAATATATATATATATATATATATATATGTATATGTATATGTATATGTATATGTATATAAGTTTCAATTTTGTGTAGGATTTGGATGAAGGGTTTAAAGCTTCGGGTTTGGGTCTTTGGGTTTGGGGAGGAATGTATTCTACAATGCGCACTTGCTAGTTGGGGTAGTGACGTTTTTAGAGTTGGTGGTGTTGAGATCATTATCAGTCGGATCTGTTTTAGTGTGGGGTATAAGGGCCAGCACTATCGCCCTAAGCTTCAGATCGGCTGGTGGAATGTATGCTTGCGTGTAACAACCGGATGGTGTAAATTCGGGTGTATGTGGAGGTCGCTGACCCAGCCTGCCATAGACACCTGTGTGCTCGACACTGATGATTGAAAGTCGTCGCAGCTGAACGAACCCTCACGAGAAGCAAGCACGACAACAGTTCGAGGGCAGCTCAGGAAAAGCAGCATTCTGATTTGTCGTGGCGACTCATGCAGTGGTTGCCTTAACTGAGCTCGATATGTGAACAGTAAGGATCATAGTACGCAGGTGATAGGTAGGGAGTTGTAAGTAGGCTGATTCCAATTTTCCGGCATGTTCAGCTCTCACAGCTAGCCTACTTTTCGTAGTTAGTGTGCTCTGAGCCACCTGAGGAACTTAGTGCCGAGTGGGCGGGGGTTACGGCTACGGTTCTAGCCACACGAAGGCTCTCATGGGGGCACTTACCATCCCAGCAGCAGGATCCCCAAGCTGAAATTGCTGTTACGGGTCTCAAAGGTGACGTCTCCTTGATTCAGAGCCACATCGGCGAGCTGGCGCCGGAGAGACAGGTGACGGTTACAGGGTTTCCCCGTCAACGTACGAAGAGAAGCATTCAAGTCGTAACTCAGTCGTTGCTACACGCAGCAGAGAAGCTCTACTCTGCAGCTCACGACAACAAACTTTACATCTCCAGCCAAAAGCGACCACACGAAACCTACCAACAGCCTCGAAGCGAACCATGACACCTGCAACATAGTACACCCGAGGCCTGGACCCCCTAGACCCTGAGAAAAAAACGGCCCTAAACCCGGAAATACTTCTCAGCACCGAAACCCTTCGCCCCAAGCCTCGAACCCCGAGATGGGCAAAGCTCCCCAAGGAAGTGAAGGATTAGATTCGTGACCCGAGGGATTGGGCGCGGGCCCGAAAAGGTTGTGGCGCTTTCCACTGTCTCCCTTTAGCTTGGTATCCCAACACCCTATGCAACGTATTCAGGCCACTATGGTACTTAACGGATCAGGGAACGTAGCAAGCAGGTTCTGGACGGAGTTGTAGGTACGCCAATTGGATTCTCTACTTACGACATATTCTGGCGAAGCCCTTCATAAATCACAAGTAGGTCCAGGTGCTAAGACTCCTCCGTCTAAAGTTTACATATACCTAAAGTTCTAAGAAATCCCTAGCTCCTTAAAATCCTAGGACCCTTAACCCTAAACCCCTTGTTGGGGATGGTGACTCTGTCTTTCCATTGAGGCTGCTAGGTCGCTCAGGTCCGGCAGGTTCGTGAACTCTGACAGTCTATGGTTGACAGTTGCTGCTTGGCGTGTCGGTTCCGAGTTCACGGGCTTTCTGGGATCTATCTGTCTTCTGTAGAGTTCAATCGAGTTCCCTGCATTGCGACTTAGTTCAGCTGGGCGGGTGGCAAAAGAACCCCTCAAAACTCGAACGTAAGCCTCCGAATGCAGGAGCGGTTCGACGAAATGCTGGGTCCGATCTGCAGCCCGGCTGTTTTCCAGCCAAGCAGTCTACCGTAGGGTTCAGGGTTTGGGGAGGGTTTAGTGGCAAGAAGGGAGGCTTTAGTTTCACGCGGATACGGGAGCTGCGTGGTCTTCGGTCGTGTAGTTATAGTTCCCACCGATGGCGGCGACTGCCTAGGAGGCTTTCGTGGCTTTCGGCTGGTTGCGGAATTCTATGATGGGCTTTGAGGTTTCGGAGGCTTTCTGTAAGTAGAAGTGTTGTTGCAGGGGGGTTCGCATTTAATTTGCAGCTCTGTTTGGCTGAGGTTGGAGGGTTCAGGGTGACTTCGAGCCGCAACCCGGCTAGGATGGCTGCAAGCTACTTAGTTTGGGGGTTTGGGAAGGTCAGTTGAAGGCTTGGTGAGAGCTCTTGCAGGTCTCTCGCTCGAATCCCAATCTTTGAGGACTTTCAAGGTGCGGACTTCATGAACCGGGGTTCTACATATCTCAATATCTGATGCGACCTTCAGGTGATGCTGCCCTATCCTTGGAGACTCCCCGACGATGTCCGGGCGGTGTGCGGGAGGGGCGTCTGTCCCTGGTGGTGCCCTGGCCGAGAACCTGCGTTAGTGTCCCATGCATAAACCGGCACCCTCCCTAAACCCTAAACCCTAAACCCTGATTTCCCTTGGGGTACCCGTAGAGGAGTGGGGATCCTGTAAGACCAGGGAGGTGGCAGCCGAGAGAAGTCTGCCGAGCCGCAAGGGATGATGCAAGGGCCCCAAATCCGGGTATAACGTTGTTAAATAGGGGACCCTAGTACAGTGCCCTAAAATAGTAGGATCCTTATTATAAGGACCCCAAAATAATGTTGATGAGATAGTGACAGTTCCTCCTGGCGAAGTCTCACTCAGCAAACTCCGAACCATATGCCTCGCCTGGATTGTCCGAGTGTGAGCGCCGAAATCCGGGCGAAGGCTGTTCCAAGTCTTGACAACCCCTGAAGCCGTAAATAGTAGGATCCCTATTATAAGGACCCCATAATAAGGTACCCCAAATAGTAGGATCCCTATTAACAGTGGTTTAGGGTTTGGAGTTCTGGGGACTTGGACTTTCAGCTCCCTCCAATTCCATCAAACTCCATTCGGCCACGGCTCTTGCACGAGGACTTCGTCGCAGCGTCCCCAGCGTGTGCCAGAAGATGATTGCCTTTTTGCAAAACCCATCTGAACCCTTCTTTAACCCCAAAGCCCTCAACCCACAGCCCTGAACCCTTGTCCGAGCGTGAGATTGCAAACCCTAATGCGTGAGCCTAAGCCAGTTAAGACAAGCCCACGGACCCTAAACCCTAAACCCTAGACCCTAAACCTCAAAGCCTAAACCCGCAGGTGCGCTTGTTGCAAAGCCTCAGCGAGATTGGCGACCGCCGGGCCTTCCTTGGCGGATTTCTGGATTCTTGTGCCGGGCGTTGAGGGCTTACTTACCTTTGGTTTAGTAGGGAATGGAGGAATGGGGTAGAATTTTAACTACTATTACTACCATTCTTCCATTCCCGACCAACCAAAGGTAAGTTGAGGGCTCAGGGTTCGGGGGTTGAAGGTTCCCGGCAACACCCTGAGGAGGCCTGGATGCAAAACGGTTCAGGTTCCAGGGTTCAGGGTGTCCTCGTTCAAAAGGGGGTTTGTTGATAGGGGCTTGATGATAATGAGAGGGGTTTGCTGGGTCTTCTTGAGGTTGTAGGTTTTGCAAGGGCTTTCGTGGTGAAGGGCTCTCAGGGCTTTCTTGGGGCTCTGTTAGACTGTTAGACAGGTGATTAGGAACCTTACTTGGGGGCTACATGTAGATACAGGTTCAGTGAACGGGCCTGGCATCCAAATTTAGTGTCGAAGGCTTTCGTGGTCCTTCCGGTCTTCCTGTCCTGCCGTTCCAATAGCCTCTACGGCTTTAAAGCCTAAAGCCCCAAAGCCCTAAAGCCTCGCCTTGGAAAAGCTCTCAACCTCCAAGCCGTTGGGAAGATAGAAGAAGTTGCCTTCAAGGGACAAGGGAAGGGGGTGGGCGAGTAGAAGAGAAACCGACAGCACCTACGACTCCCACAAAGCCCCGTTCTGAAAGGATAAACCCGAAGCCAAGAACTGTGAAGCACCTGACCTGTCATGCTCTCAAAAGCTCGACCCTACAGAAAAGCATATGGAGCGCCCCAACATCCAACCACTACCCTCCAGGCCCACCCCAAAACACCAAAACCACCCCACAGAGCCCCAAGCCGATCCTCGCGCTTGCCAGCCAGGCGGCGCTGGAGTGGGCCACGCAGCAGCTGAGGGCGACAATGCCGCCTTCCTCCCAGGAGGGCCAGGCGAGCAAGCTCGGGCTTTGTTTGTTTTCAAGCAAACCTTTGTCTTTAATCTGCAAACACAATCATAGAGCTCAGGGTATATTGGGATTAGTGCATCTGGGTGCGAGCTCTTCACTAGGACCCGAAATCCTAAATTTCACAAGTCGTCCAAGCCTGCGGATCTAATTGAACTGCTTGCAAGATGCATGAAGATGCATCCTGAACTTGAGCTGGGGGTCTGGGAGTCCAGAGACTTTGGGGCCAACAAGACTTTGGTGGATACTTCGCAGTTTGCATCAGCTAGAACATCGACGAAAGGAGCATGAGTGTGGAGCAGATGTCAGGTCATCGTGCGCTCGCTTTCGCAGACGCCCGAAGCTTTCTGGCAATGCTCCCCGGCGGGCTTGATGCGACAGCTTTGAAGCAGGCAGTCAGGCAAGCAGGCGAGCAGGTGGGCAGGCGGGCACTCGAGCACGACGGCAGTATGAGTTTTGCGATTGTGAGGACCTTGGGCACTAAACTCCACTGGCTGAAGCCGTGCAGGCCCTTATGACCCTGAGCCCGCGAGCTGCACAGCCCTGAGCCCAAGTATATACCCCAAACCTTAACACTTCAAACCCCAAAACAAAACGTGCTCCAAAACCTAACGCAGTAAGCTTGAAAGCAGACATCCATGTGAACCGCGACGAAGTCTATATCATATCCCTGAATCTACCTGCATAGTACGAGTAGAGTCGCTTCGCTTGTTTCACGCCGGCTACGCCCGATAGACCTCGTCTGGGTTGTCCGAGTTGTGAGAATGTAAATCCCTGAATCCCAACCATTCATCATAATACTAGTAATGTTGATAATAGTATATAGTGTTACTAATTGTAATAATAATCATAATGCTACTAGTCCCAGAGATCCAGAAGAAGCTCCCAAACAGGCAAAAAGCACAAGCCATCAAACCATGAGCCTGCGACCGAAACAGTTAGAGTATACCTTGCCTATTTGGGCTAATAATGCCACCGCCAACCCATTAGATGATCATTCCTATACTCCCCCCTGCACTTCACCGATATATCACTACTACTACCCCATTATCTGATACAATTCTAGGAATAACCATTACCCCATCTATTATCTCTAAGGTGGCATCATTAGCCTAAATAGGCAAGGGGGTTCTCGTAGGATTTGGTTCAGGGTTTAGGGTTAAGGGTAAAGCATTCGCTTTATCTTCTCGGATTATCCGATCATGTTGTAACTACATTGTAATTATAATATATAACTACTTATGTATTATAATTACACTATACCTATGTTGGTGATGAGACTATCTACTTTGAATTTTGAACTATCATCTCATCTAAGAACTCTGTGGTTGCTTCTAAATAATCATAATGTAATTGTTTGTCTATGTTTATGCGATATTGTAAATAATGTGTTACACTAATGAAAACATGATATACTCTTTGATAATAACTAGCATAACCACATAAAATATCTTTGTGATAGTTCATTTTCTCCTGATGCCATTCATAGAAGTCAAATGTATCTAGGTTCTCATACATTGTTTTCATTTCAATATGTAACTCAAGTGTACAATCCTTCTTTTGAACATCATCTCGCATTATTTCATGAACTTCATGATATTCTGGGTATTTGTTTAACTTAGTAAAGGGGAAGATGAGTGTGGAAAGTAGCCCCCTACCATAGGCGTCCACAGACCCCTATACAGACCCCTATGCTGCGCCCGACCCCTCCCGCGGCCACAAACCCCTACAGATAGACCCTATGCATTTTCCGATAGGCCCCCACTGGTAGGCCCCTACGGGAATTCGCTAGAATTGTATTAATAATGGGGTAGTAGTAGTGATATATCGGTGAAATGTAGGGGGGAGCATAGGAATGATCATCTAATGGGTTGGCGGTGGCATTATTAGCCTAAATAGGCAAGGTATACTCTAACTGACACTGCCCAAACTCCAAGATCTGCGAGCTATTCCCAAACCAATGTGCAACCCTGCAATGCAGGCCAGAGTCCAGGCTAGACGCTAGACGGGAGGCAAAGAACGCAAACACCCTGAAACCCTTGTAGTACCCTTCTGGCACCCCTCTAAACCCTGAAACCTTCACCTTTCAAACAGCAGCCACAAGAAGCAGGCCCCCCGAAAAGCACATAAGCAAAAATTAGGGTAGGGATATCCCATATAAATCCCCTTATAATGAAGCCCAATAAGGTAGGGATTTGGGCCCCTAAGAAGCTCCCTGGGATCTGGAGCCCGAAGGCTTTGCCAAGGAGGACCTGCCGGTGCTCTGGAGGCCTCCTACCGAAGATTTGAGAGCTTACAGCTCAAGGGGCTATATGGGAATTTCCGATAATTAGGGGTACCTTCTTTGGGGGTCCTTTTTGTAAGGATCCTACTATTTAGGGTATTATGTTGGGTCCCCTATTTTCGGAAACTCCCATATAGTAAGGGCTGAGGAAGTTTCTAAACGCGAAGCCCTACGTAAGCGAAGTAAGATTTCGTGGCTTCAAGTCTGCTCGGGCTTCAGGGTTTTTGGGCCTTGAACACGAAACCTCCAGAGCGCCTGCACGCCAGGATCATGGCTCAAGATCCGCCGCGGCTGGCAGATGCCGTTCCCAGCCTCGTTGGTGTTGAGTTCTGGTACATAGGCTTTTGGGAGTCCGGGGCGCGCTGGGCCCCAAGCCCCTGGGTTGCCGAAGGCAAGGCTTGTCCTCAGAAGTCGCGACCCACGGCATGCACCGAGCCTCAAACCCTAAGCCACTGAAGCTGCAATGCGAACACGGAGACCCTCGACTCTAGACGCGATGGAGATCCAGAACCTCAAAGTCTGGAGACCAAACCTACATCGAGTGATGGAACAAGAGCCGATCCTTTCGAGGTCTTGGCACTGTGGCCTCCCGCGGGCACATCTCTTGGTCCAGGTGGGCTACGAAGCACGGAACTTCTTTGGGTTTACTGGCGTTTTATGGCTTTTCCGTAAACAAAAAGAGCTTGGGAGGAGCCTTTTTTGAGTATGCTGAGTGTGCAGTAGTTTTGGTTGAGGGCTGGTAGGTTTGGGTTTCGGTTTGGCTTGGGTAGGGTTGAAGCGAGTCGATCTTCACCTGAGGGTTTTCAGGTTGCTTGCAGGGGTTTGACTGTGAGGTTGTCGACGCAGCCTTGGAGGTTCACGTTAAGGGATTAGGGTATGCATTAGAAGCTGCCCCCACCCTGTAATAGTGACTGTAAGGATTATATTAGGGCCCTATAATATTCCTATTATACCACTGTTACAGGGTGGGGGCCCCTTCTAAGGTATGCATATTGGGAGTTTCGGGCGGGGATTTTGGCCGTGTTTTCCCGAGACAAAAAAGCCAAGCCCGATCGTCCGCGAGTGCTCCCAAAACACATGGGCCCGGCGGCAACTGCGACTGAAATAAGTGGCCTAAACCCTAAACCCTAAACCCCTAAACCCTAAACCAGGTAGGAGGGAAAAAACCCTAAACCCCAAAGACCTAAAATTCGCTCGAAACCGTACTACCCCCAAAAGCCCTCAGGCCCAAAACCTTTAGGATTTCCGGTCTCCAGGCCCGGACTGCATGGACTTCGCCGAGTCCGTGCTGCCGCACTTAGACTCTCGGACGAGGGTTTAGGGTTTAGGGTTTAGGGCAGCCCTTTTCGGAGAAGAGGTTTGAAAAAGTAGAAACAAAGTGTTCCCTCAGAGCCCCTGCACGTTAGTATCAGGTAGTTGCCAACATTATTCCCTGGCCTTCCTTGTTAATCAAACGCGTAGTATAGCACACCCCGAAATTGGTGATACTCCGCCCTCGAGTTGCCGACTATTTTTATAGCATGCCATGTCTCGAACACGGTACAATGGACGGAAACGGTTCTGCGGTCTTGCGCTTTCACGTTTAAGGCTTAAGGTGGCGTGTGTTTATTTTTTTTTTGGATTTTTGGGGTGTAGGTCCGTATTGGCGTTGAGAGAGTACAGTCTTTGGCTGTGGAGTTTAGCGGTTGGGGGTGAGGGTTTAGGCCCGCAATCTGTTTCAGCATGCTTTCGCCAGTCCGTTGATTCTTCTTATCTCGAGCACCACCAGCTCTTGGGAGTTTGAGATATGTACTCATGGGGTTTAGTGTTTGGCTTATTGGAGTGGGTCTCGCGGGGTGTTATATTGTGAGGTTTCACGGGAGCATTCTAGGTGGGTCCTGCTGTCGTTCACATCGTGGAGAACAGCGTCGAAAGCAGACGGAAACGGTACTCATCAGTCAAACCGTGCCGAAAAGGATGGAACTGATCGTGCATCTTAGGCAGGTTGTCCCAGTGCATAGCAGTCCTTGGTTATGTAGGTGACACTGAGTGTGCATCCCCTCCGAAGATGTGAAGTTGCGATCTGAGGCGGATCTCATGGATATCACCTCAGCGCCGCCTCATCCGCATGAGGCGGGGCGGAAACCTCCCAGTGAAAAGGCTCTTCCGTTGGTGATGATGCTATAGGGGCTTTCATAATTACCTATGCTATACTATTTTTTGGGATGTTTATAGTATAATTGCCTATACAATACGGATTTGGGGGGATAACTGTAGTATACTTGGCCCCCAAAGCCCTCCTAATTCAGGCCCCCATGTTAGGTGATGCTAGGCATGATGGCGACCCTCGGCTCTGAGTCCCTCATCCCCAAACCTTGGGTACGGCCCCCACCCAGTATTAGTTGAGAAATCGAGCCCCGCCCAAAAAGGGCTTAATAAGGCTTGAATGCAGCTTTATAAGGGCTTAACAAGGTCTCACTGACAGCTTTGGAGGGCTTTGGAGGCTTTGAATAATATTCATAATATAGATATATTGGGAGCTTAAAAGTAGCCCTATTCTAGACTCTTACTGTATGGGTGCCGTACCTAACCCAAACCCGAAACCCTAGCGACCGTCGCAGCGGGGAAGATGATCCTAAGATTCTGAAGCCTTCCAGTGCTCAAGTCTTTCGGCTTCATTCTTGCGGCGACATTGACGACCCTACCAAACCCTATCCAAACCCTCTCAAACGGTAAAGCCCCCAACCCAGAGTCCGGAAGCCGCCCCGACCGCCAAAGAAAAGGGCAGTAAGAAGCACAAAGAACCGAACAAAAAGAGCTCTGAAGCGCTAGAGCATGATGTCCCGAACAGCCATATCAAAACCACATGCCTCCTGCCCCCCCCCCTTCCAAGCAAAGAAAACATGGAAGACAACAGATAAGCGATTTCATAAAGCCCAACGAAGCCCCTAAACCCGAAACGCTAAGCCCCAGCCCCCTAAACCCGAAACCTGAAACCCTACACCCTAGCCCCTAACCCCAAAACCCTAAACCCTTGATCAGGTGGTTTCGGCCTCCAGGGGGCTGCTGCGGGCCAAGGCGGGGGCTTGGGATTCCAGACTTTGTAGGTGTTTATTGAGGGAAAGAGTGCTATAAAAGGCTCCGTTAGAGGAGCCCTTAAAGGAACCCCCCGTTCAAGATCCTTTAAAGCAGGGGCTATTAATTAAGGATTTGCTAGGAGCGCTGTGACGAGCACAGTCCTAACTGGCGGAAGAGCGGGAAACTACCAGGCGTCCTTGCATGCAAGCCTGCAGCAAAAAAAGCTTCCAGTGAATCTGATTTCGCGGCAGATGACGAGGCATTTGGCTACCTTAAGAGAGTCATAGTTACTCCCGCCGTTTACCCTCAGCCTCGATCCTTCCAAGCAGGTGTCGCTGTTCGTTCACAGTGCGAAGCCTGAGGCGCCGGGCCAGAGTCCCATCCTGGACAGGGTCAATAATTAGAAAGGGTTCCTGTAAAGGGGTCTATAAGGAATACAAGAAAGGATACTATAAGGGTACGATAAGATGGGTGAAGGTTTACGGTTCCTTGCAGTGGGCTATACAAGAGCTTCTTAGAGGGCTGCAGAAGTGTACCAAAAAGCAATAAGGGTGTTATGTCATGGAGGGTTTAGGGCGAGCGAGCGTTAGGGTTTCAGGGCTTAGGGTATTTGGGGGCTCGCGGCTTCGACGCTAGTATGGAGACTCAAACCTAGTTCAGTTCTGCTATGTTCATTACTCGGACGGTAGTTTTAATACTGGCAAACTCCGTGTTAAGGTCGAGGGCTGGGTCCCAAGTGCTTAGAGTTTGTGGCCCTACATGGTCAGCTGCGTGATGAGAGGGCTCTGCAATCGGGCACAGCCGCATAGCCTGAAGGAGCATGCACATAAATGGGCCTGGAGACTAGAATGCTTGGATGCTGCTCCGAATTGGGCATGCTAAGATGGAGACTGCTCGTGATGACCGTGTTGACCTCGAAGCCGTAAGTCCTACGCAGATGATGCTTGAAATCCCTAAGCCGGAAAGTCCGTAAGGAGCGCACCCAAGCCTCCCCCCCCAGACTATACTTTGAAGGCCTGTCACTTTTCAGCCCGAAAAGTCGCGGCGGGGCATCCTTGCGTCATGTAACTCCCCGGCCTCCCCTGGCAAGCCCCCAAACCCGAAAGCCTCAATTGCCCAGCGTCAGGTGAATGCCGGCCCCCCGCTGTCCGTGGCCGCGGCCTACCTCCGAAGGCGGCTCTCCAAAGGGCTTCAAGTTTAGAGTTGGGCACACACCCAAAGCCCCTGCTGAAAAGGGTGTGAATTTGGGGCTTGCAAGGTCTGGGATGCAGACATGCAGGGCACCGGAGGCCGCAGTGAGTGGTACTGTGTTATCGCAAGCCCGTCCCCCACTAAAGCCCTAAAGTGCCCCAAAGCCGCAAGCCGTAAGACCCTCTTGCGAGAGTCTAAAGCCATAAGTTCTAAACCCGAGCATCCTGAGCCACTTAACTTAACCCTTACGCCGTAAACCCTCCCAAGCCGAAGGCGGCTGACGTTGAGCCCTGAAATGACCGGCGAGACCCTCACGGGATTGCTGATGGCGCTGAGGAAGCTCAGTCTTCAAACATCAAGCTTTTAGGGTTTTTTTGGCTTCTTGCACGCCAAGTATCCATTGTTCTGAAAGTTTGGACTTTGACTTTGGTTCCTTTGGGGTATGAAGGTTCGAGGTAGTATGAGGGATACCCCTTAAAGGGGACACTTCTCAACCACACTTCTGGCTCTCTTAAAAGGGACCTTGTTGAGAGGGTCTATATCCCCAAGGTTCCCTAATTCTGGCTCCCGTAAGGAAGACAAGGAAGGGAGCGGTTTTGTCAGAGATCGGGGCCGCATGGAGCACCAGAATTTTCAAAACGCTCCATATTTGTTCTTTGTAGCGGCCTGAGAAAGGGCCACTCTCTTTCATTATAGGGCGCCTCGATATGTACTTGTATACTTTAATTTGCCACCAAATCCTATGTTTGTTCCGAGAGCTTCTGGATTGGACCCGATGCCCCCCATCCCTGGCTTGATGCCTCAGGCCCATCGGGGCCTGACCAATGCTTAGTATATGGTCATCACACGGATGACTCTTCGGACTCTTCGGGCTTGTAGAAGGGTTCCTGCAAAGCTGGCCTTATTCAAGAGGGACATGCAGATCTATGCAGGGGTTCATATACTGGCCCTTATTGAGGTCACGTTTAAGGAGCCATGCAGGTAGCTTGACAGGGTCTTGCATGGGTAGTTGTTCGTTTTCTGCTTGAGGGTCACAGTTAAACTAAGGCCCTATAGGAGCCAGCCGACCCTTTATAGGAACCCTAGTCACAACCCTGAAGCGAAGCCTTGTAGGAGCCCTTATAGCACCGCACCCTTCTAGCAGCCCTGAGAGCAACCCTTATCGGAAGCCTTAACATGACCCCCCCCCCCCCATCATCCCAAAGCCTAAACCCTCAGATCCTAGCCCAGGCTTGTCCGAGGGTTAGTGCTGAAACCCTCTGTGGCTCAGGGCCCGACACGTCTGACGAGGTTCCAGTTGACTGTCAACTGTGAAGCTAACCATACTTATCCCTCGCACTTCAGACCGCGATCGAAGGTTTTGTTTTCGAGGCGTGTGCAGCTAGCATCCTGCAAGAGTTTCCGACGAGAGTTTCAGCTTTTACTGTCGACAGAGCAAATCCTTCAATTTGAACATGGCGCGGCTACATGCAGGACCGATGGAACATGTCGTGTCCTCACTCGTCGCAACCACGCCAGGTTACTATGGCGGCCACGGGTCTGGCTACGACGCGTATGGAGGCGGGGGCCACGGCTATGATTATGGACCTGGTCCCAGCCACGGTTATGGTAGTGGCTACGGCTACGGCTACGGCTACGATCAAGGTTATGGTTCTGCCCCTAGCTACGATCCGTATGGCCAGGGCGGGTACGGGGGATATCCGCCACAGGAAAGCTATGCTGGAGGTGAGTACCGCGACGAGCCATCTTGGCAAGAGCGTGGCTACGGTGGTGGCGAGGGCAGTGCCGTTGAGGGAGAAGAGGCGGAACAGGAAGCGGACTATGGGGAGATCGATCCTCGGCTGGGGCAAGGCAAAGATCCGGCCCTGGGTCCCGACATCGTGGATGGACTGAGAGACGTTCACGACAAGATCAAAGATGTGCGCGAGGCACTGAACATGTACCGGATCGTGAAGGCGGACGGCGCCAGAGCCATGCAGCAGCTGGAAAAGATACCGCGCCAGATGCCGGGAGGCGTGCCCTGGGCATCGGCTTTGGATCTGGAGCATGTGGTCGAGAAGACAAAGTACATTCCGGCAGCCGATTTCGACAACCTCATCAATGGAATGCATGTTATGCAGTTGAGCCTGGCGGACACGCTGCGGAACTACCTGATGAAGAAAGCTGCGGCACACGAGGCGGCTCGCGAGTCCATGTCCGAGGCAGCAGAGGCTGCACGTGAAGCTGCGGATCTCATCCGTGGTGCCAATCCGGATGCAACTCCCCCACCCGTTGAAGACCTTGCCGTCGACGAGCCGATGTATCCAGAGGACTACGGCTACGACTATGACTACGCTGCTGGCGCAGCCCCGGCTGAGGGAGTGGACGAAATCCCTCCTGGGTCGAAGTTGGAGGATCTTCCAGCCTTGAACGACGTGGCCGAGCTCAACAACGAAGGAGTCGACCTCGAGAAAGAGAGGGAACTGATGTACGACGACAACATGGAGAATCAAATGTCGAAAATCTCTTCAGCACCATGGCTCTTGTCGACTTTTTCGTGGCAGATGCCGAATGCGCTGCGGTCCCAGCAGCGGCGGCGGAGCCACGACAGGTTTCTGGCTGCAGTGATGTGCTCGGCTGATGCTTTGGTGAAGTCAAAGCACCGGTCCGCTTCTGATCCGATGACGTGTAGTCATGGCCCATGATTGGGCAATGACCCTGGAGCTGCGAGGTTAAAGAGTGCTGAGTACTGGATTCGGAGCTCTCCCTTGATCTTTGTTACTGGTTGGTAAGCTTAGTATCATATGCTCGGGCTGATTTGAGGGAAAGTGCTTTTGAAACAGGCAGCCCTGACTTTGAGCAATCTTCGGGAACACATGTACTTGCTGACAAATCGCGCTTCGTGCCACTGTGACTGAACATTGTGACTCGAGTAGTGGAGATCCTGCGGACTGCGTGGAGCCTTGCCCGCCTTGTACGAGTGTGTGTGTGCATCGAAACCCTAAACCCTTTATAGCAACCGATAGGAACCCTTAACGCGAAAACCCTAAACCTTTATGGCAGTTACCCTGCAATGCGGGCTTTGTCCTTGTTAGGTCGGAGGGAAAAAAAGCTTTCATAGCAACCGACAGGAACCCTTAACGCGAAAACCCTAAACACTTATGGCTCAGTCAACCCAGTGCCTGAAGCCATGCCTGCCTTGCGCGAGTGTGTGAGTCGAAACACTTATGGCAACCGATGGGAACCCTTAAACTACCAAACCCTACTTTTTTGTAGGTTCTTATGATAAACCCTAATATGGAATTTATAGGGACCCTACAAAAAAGTAGGTTTTGGTAGGTTAAGGTAACATCACCCCCATACAAACCAAGACCGTCCTGAGCCCCGAGGATGCTGGGCTCCGGTCTCCCCGGCTCGGGGCTTCTTGCGCAGCTTCGGGGGCTACTCGGCATCCCAGGCCATGCTTCCTTTTGCCAGCAGCTTTTCGCCATGTTTTCTTGCATTAAGTGGTTTACGGCCTGGTTTCAGGGCTTTAGGGTTTTAGGCTAGCGGGTTTCAGTGCTTTGTTTTTTTTGGGTTCCAGGGTGTCAGGATTCAGGGTATAGCCATGTTTAGCCTACTGCATGATCGTGGCTATCCTTGTTGCTATCAGTGGTGGTCCTCCTGAAATAGTAGGCGTGCGCAGTGTTAGAGCTTCTGCCCCGTGCAGTACCTCTTCTCATTCTGTCCCTCTTACATATTTGGGCCCCAACAAGTTTTAAGTGGGTACTTATTATGAATTATGAACGCCACTTGTTATAAAAACTTTTTGGTGTTTTAGGTGGCTCCGCTTTTTCTGAGTTTCGGGCGGTAGGGTGGTCCGGAGTTGCTTGGCCCCAAGCAGATGCAACAGGGAAGCTGGAGTCCGAAAGCCTCTACCCTACTCTGGTCTGGGGGTCGGAAAACTTAGGCTTCAGGGTTTAAGGTTTAGGGTTTAGGGATGTTTAGGGTTTGATATTAACGATGCGCTACGGTAAGTAAGTCCACTATAGTATACCAGAATTTCCAAAGCCTCTCCCGAGCATCTCCCACCTCTCCCGAGCTTTCTTGATTCTCTCCCGGAGTCTCTCCCGAGCCTTTCTCGGCTCCCATATGAATATAATCTCCTCGCGGCTCCGGTAACAACCAACCCAAGTGGCTTCCGGACAGGGGCGCGCGACCCACTTCCGAAGAATCTGGGGGTGATGTGGCTCCTTCTTCAGGCTCCGCCCAAGGGTTGGATGCTGGGATCCTAGTTGGTTTGGCATCGGGTTCAGCCACTCTGGGCAGCTTTGAGCTTTGGTGGAGTTCTTCGGGTTGCGAGGCTGCCCTGCCAACTGTTGCGTGACTTAGAGTCATAGAGTCCGTACGCCTTAAACTTGGGGGCTTCTGCTTTGAAGTTGCGATTGCAATTTGGTGTGACGTTGCAGTCTCCACGTGTGGAGCGAATTAGCCCGGCAGATGTATGCATAGATCTATAATCTAGGGGCCTAAAACTACCTATACTTTTTGGGGTATCCTTTTGATATTTATAGTACAGTGCGCACAAAAACCTAGTCATTAAGGCCCGTATAGTAGATCTATAAATCACTGTAGGCCTGGGTGATGGGTCACGGCATCCTCGGCTGCACCCCGAGGCTGCCGCCTACTTCGTGTCCCACCGGCTGAAGTCGCCCTTCGGCTCGGCGACCTCAAGCACCTCGGTGGGCACGGAACTGTTATGATTGCAAGTAACTAGGTTCCTGAGTAGTGCCCTTTTGCCCTTTTTAGTTTAGGGTCCCCTTATTAAAACCGAATAGTAGGAAAAAGGGTAGCCTTATTATAAAGGGGTTACTCAGAAACCTAGGTAATCTTCTATGATTATCAGTCTTGCCATGAGTTTGTTCTTATTATCTTGGTGTCAGCTTCTGTTGATTCCCAGTGTTCAGATGAGGATCGTTTTCAAGGGGATTTCTTTACAGGGTTCGGTCTTCAGGGGCTCCTTTCCAGGGGCTCCTTTGAAGGGTTCGTTTGAGGGTTCCTTCAAAAAAGTGGTTCCTTCGAGGGTGCCCTTAGGCCTCAAGCCCTAAACCCGAAACCCATACTGTTCCGTCCCCTGGTGTACAAGTAGCAAGCTCAGTGGACTTAGTGCCTGAAGCCACGCCTGCCTTGTGCGAGTGTGTGAGTCGAAACCCGAAACCCTTTTAAACCCCTGCTAACGAAGCATCCGAACCTACTTCTGCAGATCTCGCCAGGCTTGCCCGAGAGTGCGTGTCAAAAAACCCTAAACCCTAAACCCCTAAACCCTAAACCCTGAACCCCTAAACCCTAAAACCCTAAACCACCCTAAACCCTAAAGCCTAAGCCCTAAACCCTTCAATAAGGGGCTCCTTCGCACAGGGGCGGCCTTGGGCCTCTTCATAGGGGTCTGGACAGGTACTAGTAGCAAGTGCGGCCGGACCCAATTTCGAGAAACCTCCGGCCGCTTCTTCTGCTACGGTTTCTGTTGGGGGGTTAAGAAAGCAGCAAATTCCGAATCAGTTTCCGACGTTGCCACTCGAATGGCAGAGGGTTGCTTCTTTTCTTGGTTTGGGGTTCAGGGCCGGAGGTTTAACCCTAAACCCTAAGCCCGACGCCCTGGATTGTCCGAGTGGCAGCGCGGAAACCCGAAACCCTTGTCCGTTTTGGGGCTTGACTTTTGGTCTGGGATTCTGAGAGTCGCCGGCAGTTTTTCTGGAAACTGAGGCTTGCAGCTCCTCGAGACCATCATCAACGAGTCCTCTGCCAAGGCCGTAGCAGTTAGGGGATTTAGATCCACACAGTCACATAGACACAGAGTCATCTAGGGATATGTAAATGCAGATGTATATTTGCACGTACCAGTACAACCCTTTGCATATGCGTATGTACATGTACGCGTTGTTATGCATGACCACCGGGCTTTCGGATCTGAGCAGGGAGCGTGGAGTCGGGGGTTTTGCGAGTTCAGGGTTTTGGGTGTAGAGTTAGACGGCTGTCCATGTTGGAGGTAAAGAAACCCTGACAAGAGGTGGCGCAGAAGATCTCGGAGAATTTGGCCCGGTCCACTCCCACGACAGGTGTGCTGCCAGGCACGGGAATGCGTGGATCATCACGATTCGGCAGGCCCTTTGCACACAATACTTTCTATGGCACAAATCGACACTGCCTATCCTCCACCCCGAATCCTAAGCTCCGAATCTTAGGTAGCGGGCCCGCTAATACAAAGCACTCAACCCTACAGCCCTGAACCTCAACTCCTCTTCTAAACTAAACCTTATACCCTATATCCTACATCCCTCAATACCTCGCAAGCCCTGGGACCTCGATTCTTCGACACAGTCGGAAGCCCATCTTTTCGCGCTCGGGGGCCTCCAAAGCCCTTTATAAACCCTCAAGTTTAAAGGCTCTCGGGGGCTTCAGCTCAAAAGCCCTAAAGCCCCTGGACTCCTAAAGTCGTTTTCAGTGTTAGACCCCCCCCGGGGGCGCCTGAAAGCGCCGAAGCCCTGTGGCCTCAGACCTCGACCCTGGCTTGGCCGAGTGCAGCTTCTGCCCACTGGCCTGCGTGCAGATCGTGTGCCTTGGTCGGACTAACATGGACTCACTACTAACCGTCTATTGTACTGTAATCTGTCTACAAATTAGTCAGTTCAACATGTACTCTTCTTACAAAAGGACATAACATATTCCAACACAGCCCTGTTCCAATTATATAGCAAGGCCCCTCTATCAAAACCCAGAGTCCCCAAGCCCTAGCTCTGGCTTCGGGGTCCCGACTGCAGGGCTCGAGTTGTGTAGGCTTTGGGACTTCATGTTAGGCATGCAGCGAGCTTTCAGTTCCGGGGGTTGGGGCCGGAAGGTTTCCGTAAGCAGAAGGCGAGAGAATCCCTTATGAGAGCCGGCAGACTTCAACGCCTCGAGTCCGAGCCTGAGCAGTACAAGCTGCTCGATCCTCCTACCCTGCTCATGTTCATTGACGCCTAACTCCCTAAAACCCAAATCCTGACTTTGAGGCTTCGGGTTTAGGGGAGTCTGGGGCTCAGGGGTTTGGCGTTGGCTTTTCTTTCTCGCCCCGCCAACCCAGACAGGGGTGTGGAGAAGCAATGGCACGCACCGTGTCCTTCCGCAGATTTCCATAAACTAAACCCCGACCCTCAACGGATAAGCAGTTCAAGATCGCATTTCAAAACGCACGAGGGTTTGCAAGACGGCAGAGTTGCGTCGTTTCACCTCCCTCATGTCTTCGCCAGAGGGGCCTCGCTGCGAAGAGTTGGCTTATCGTTTTGCCTTGAATTTGACTTAGGATGCAGTCCTTGCTAAGTATGATTTTGGGGCCTTCAGCCACGAAGCGTGAATGTGAGGCGGCCAGGCGGGCATATGCAGTGCCAAGCATGACAAGTCTACCCGCACCTTTGAGCACCAATACCTTGAACCCTAAGACACCTTATCTTCGGAAAGGGGGTGCAGATCAACTTAAAAGAAAACCAAACCTTCAATCCTAAGACCTAAAATGCAGGCCTCGTCCTTGGCAAGTAGGAGGGAAAAAGACCGCAAACCCCCGACGGACGTTGACCTTTGTACCGGGAGCTCACAGGTTCATGCTCGAGCAGCTGATCCTTCTGGCACAGGCCATCTCGGGTTCAGGGCCTTGGGGTTCGGGCTCAGAATCGGATTCAGGGCTTCTGGAATTCTTTTGGGGGATATAGGGCTTTTTTCTCGTGGGGCTCTGGGTGGGGACCCGCTTCTAGTATATGAGAGTAAATAGTAAAATCGTAGTATAGCACAGTACATTATGGTATATCATAGTATATATAAGTAAAGGTACAGCATCGTATATCATGGTACACACATGTACAGCAGAGTGTATCATATTATATTCTTGTAATGAAGGCCTCCCACTTCTTTAAGGCGAGGCCCCAGCAAGAGCTCCCTCAACCCAGGAGCCAGTCCACTTGCAGGAGCCGCCCAAGGAGCCGAGGGGAGCTCCAAACTATTCTTTGTTTGGAAGATTCTTTTGGGTTTAGGACTTAGTCTTAGGGTTTTCAGAGAGGCCTCGTTGAAAAGGATTTTGGGTCTAGGGTTTTAGGAAACGGGTGTGTGCGTGCGGCTTCAGGGCAGGATTTGACGAGTGCGACTTGGGACATGTCGAGCATCTCGCCCCATGTCAATGTGCTCGGTCGATTGAGGCTGGCCTGTAGAATCAGCGAACACGTTCCTACCTCCGAACACCCGCCCACAACATCTTGAGCCAAACTAGTCGAGCAGGGGTGATCCCTGCACTGCCAACGTATGCCCTGCTTGTTGTTGTTGTTGTTGCTGTTGTGATGATTGCTACTGCCTTTCTTGGCCTGTGGTATCCACGGTACTGTTACTTTTGGTGTGCAGTTCCTCCGCCCAAACCCTGAGTGTGAGCATCGAAACCCTAAGCCGTAAACCCCAAAACAGGGATTCATGAGGGGCCCGGGCAACCGAGGAGCCGGCACAGTCGGCGAACCAGTTCTTCGATAGCAAGCGGAAGGCATCCTGCAGTTCTCATAGAGCCCGGCATCCTTTGGGGTCTGAAAGGATTCCTGTCAGGGTTCCTTTTCGGGGTTCCTTTCAGAGTTGCTAGAAGGGTGCAGGAGTCCGAGATGTCCGAACAGGCTCCAAAAGATGTAGTCTCATTGTTCGGGCTCCTGTATAATTATCTGCCCGTGTTGTGTAGCTTTGGATATGTTGTGTTTGTCGCGCTGTTCATGTTGTATTAATTACATCAGCATTGCAAGGCTGCCGGACGGGTCGAGTTTAATAGGGCGTGCGGATGAGGAATGGGCACGGGGTTGCGGGATGATGTGGGCATTTTCTGCTTGACCATGCAAGGCAGAATTGGGGGTACCGACATGTTCATGACACCTCAGGGGAGAACCCACGCCCTGCTTTCCTGTAGCCAATCGCTTCTTTGCAAATGCCTGGCTAAACCCTGAACCCCGGAGGCAAAAAGAACCTGAACCCAAAAGCCGTTAGATGGGAAGAGCCCCTTCAACTCCCAGGCCGCGAAGCGCTGGAAAGCAACCTTTCCACCTAGGGTTTACGGCGTGGGGTTAATGGTTCGGTGGTCGCCAGAATCGGATCTTAGCTTTGCTGAGTAATCCGTAAGCAGCCGCCCGAGTACATCCCCAATATCCGACCAACACCGGTCACCCCCCTCGAAACCCTACAGTGAACGTCAGAACGTTGGAACATGGATTTAGGGCGATTAGTGCTGGGATGGATAATGATGTTCCAACTTTCTGGCTTCTATTGTATGCCCTTTGGAGAAAAGGGAAAACTTGATCCCCGGAACTTGCACCACGCCACCCGAGTATGCAGCTTCCCTGCAGTGCGACCTAGTTGGCGAAGCGGGTAAAAAACAAAAACTACTGTTCAGGTTTGCGGTGACTGGTTTCAGCACGTCCGTGGGGCTTTGCAGCATACGCTGAGCCTGGGCAGAATTGGTGCTGAAGGGCTAGGGCAAGCCCGATGCAAAAAGGGTTTTCTGGTGTTTGTCGGGGTGCGAGCTTCAGCTTCTCTCTTATTTTGGAAGTTTGGATCTCCTTAATTTTGGAAGTTTGGATTTCCTCCTTATTTTGGAAGTTTGGATCTCCTTATGTTCTTAATCAAGGCTCGTACAACCATGCGTGCAATCCTCACAAGGACCCATGAACTTTCAAAGCCTGGAGAGATATGACACATGATTCTTGAGTTCACAAGGCAACTCCAGGGACCACGGTCCAGGGTTTGGAGTCTTTAGGGTTTAGGGTTTAGGGTTTAGGGTTTAGGGTTTAGGGTTTAGGGTTTAGGGTTTAGGGTTTAGGGTTTAGGGTTTAGGGTCCAGGGTTGGGAGTCAAGGGCTTGGGGGATGGATCCCGAAGCCCTACACTTCAAGACCCTAAGCCCTTCGCAGAAATCGAGAAGGGTACCACATGACGGTGGGTTTCGGCTTGGACCAATGAAACTCGCTGCGCCCCAAGCCCCAAGCCCAAAGCCTTAAATTCGATTATCGCGGCCTTACTGTTTATAACGCGTGTTGGGCCAACATTTGGCTTAAGACTGCCTTAATGAATCCCTGCGACTACTGTGCTGTAAGACTATAAGTATATCAGGACGTTAATTATGAGAACAGGGTTTGGGGATCTACTATGCTAGATGCATAAGTATACCGAACCCTATGGCAAAATATTAAAGGCGTTTGTATTTGGAGTTTGGGGTTTAGTGTAGGCTTTCATCATGAGCCCTGGTGTCCTCAGCCGGTCACGAAGGCACCGAGCCATGTGTAAATTATACAAACTGCAGCTCACGAGGCTTCAGTTGGGATTCCACGGTGACCCGCGGTGCCCTACCTCAGCTCGAAGCCGCCCAAAAAATCCATGAGGAGCCGCTTCGGCACGCAGCCAGCGATCTTCGCCCCTCGCCCGGTGGGATGTTGGGACTTGGGCGCTGAACTCTCTTCAGTTGGGCTGGGGCGCGGCTTCGGAGTTGGGACATTTGTGAGAAGCGCTATCGCTGGTTTGGTTTTGGGCTCCCAAATGCGCTTCTCAATCTCAATTTCAGGCGAAGCAGATCCCAAGCCCTAAACGGCTAAACTCTAGACCCTTAGCCCCAAAGTGCTAGCCCCGAGCCTTCAAATCCCAACAAGTTGTGAGAGTCGTGCCAGCAGCCACGTCCGGTAAGGGAGGCTTAGAGGCTTGTGGAGGCGTGCCGGAGCATTGAGGCTTATAGATGCGTGAGGCAAGGGGTGCAGGGCTTGGGCGCCGGACTTTATTACTGGCACAGCAGCGAGCGGCCAACCTCGACAGACAGGGAATTGAACACTCGTGTGTTGTTGCATGCACGACCCCATGGATTGTCGAATGACGTGAATCGAACACTCGAGCACTGACGCCTCCCCATGCTTCTGTATATAGGTCTGTTTGTGTTGGCTCAAACCCTCCCTCCCAACCCGCCCCCCGCCCCCCCGGTTTCTAGGGTTGCGGTTTGCGTGTGGGGGTGGTTTCTTTTCAGGGTTTTTTCAGGGTGGTATAGGACACATGCATGTGCCGAGGTCCCCAAATTTTAGGGGAAACCCGGCTTAGGGTTTAGCGTGCCTTGCTCCCCAAGACAGGGGTGGGCGGGCACGTAGGGTTTAGGGCCCAGTGCTTAGTTTTCTTTCGCATTTTTTGGATCCCCCAATCAGGGGAAGCTGGGCTTAGGGTTTAGGGTAGTTTAGGTTAGGTTGTTTCCCGCCCACCGGGGGCCCCCACCCCCAACTATAATGACGTCCATGTTCCGAGAAAAGCTCATCCGCCCAACCTTGATGAAATCCACACTGGGCTTCTGGCCCCCATGCTCGCAAGCAGAGGCAAGGGGTGCAGGGCTTGGGCGCCGGACTTTAGTACTTTCACAGAAGCTAGCGGCCAAATGCGGCGGACAGGTGTATCTCAACTGTGTCTCCGATGTGTCTCCGTGTGTTTCCTGACCCGGGGCAGGAGACACATGTGTCTCCGATGTGTCTCCGTGTGTCTCCTGACCTGGCCCTTCGTTTCCGCCACTCCAAACCGGGAAACGCCCAAGGAGCGCATCAGGGGAAGAAGTGCTCCAGTCCAACGAAATTTAATTTCCTTGGACTTGCAAAACTTAGTCAACAACACCACCCAAGGCGCGCATCATGAGCATCAGCTGTCTTTGAGGCAATCTTTTCCCTTCCTCCGGCAGCCTCCCCCCCCTTTCCCCCTTCCTCCCTTCTCACCCCTTCCCCCCGTTCTTCTTCTCCCCCCTATACCCCTCCAAGTCCTTTACGTAACAGAAGCGGTAGCCGCCGGTGGCACAAACAGAAGCGGCAGCAGCTGCCGGTACGAACAGAAGCGGCAGCAGCCGCCGGCAACAACGGACTTGCCCTTTGCTTCTCTCAGTCCTGGTCGAACGGATGCTCCTGGCTCGAGCGCTGGGTCCAGCCTTCACGACGCCGCCGCTAAGACGTCGCAAGAGGTGCGTCCCGTGCCACAGAACCCGTCTGAGCCGTAGCAGCAACGGGAAGACCTTTGCAGGCAGGGCACCAGCTTGTCCAGGTACAGGGGCTTCAATGTCAACAGCAGGGTCTTTTCGAGCAGACGAGGCGTCCCCGTGCACGGAACAAAACACGAGCGTTCGATTCAGGTTGTTCGATTCAGGTCATTCGACGACCCATGCATGAGGTCACACCACTGACTGGCGTCACGGACGTGGGGTGGTCCGTACACGTACCAAAACACTTGTTGACTGGCATTTGGGTCCTGCAGTCCCTGAGTTGGGCATTCTAGCGAGTCTCAGGGTAGTCTTTGGGTTGGGCACTCCAGGGAGTCTGACGGTAGTTTCTGGGGTTGGGGTCTCAAGGTAGTTTCTGGGGTTGGGCGCTGCAGGCAGTCTCACGGTAGTTGGGCATGGAGTCTCACAGTAGTGTTTGGGGTTAGGCACTTTAGTCTCAAAGTAGTTTCTGGGGTTGGGCATTGCAGGGAGTCTCACGTGGAGTCTCACGGTGGTGTTTGGGGTTGGGCAACTTAGGGAGTCCGTGTGAGAGATAGAGAGGGAGTCTCACGGCAGTCTAAGGTCGGGCAGGACACTCCAGGGATGTGGGGTGGAGCATTCCGGAGGGTCTCACGGTAGTTTTTTGGGTTGGGCACTCCAAGCAGTCTCACGGTAGTTTCTGGGGGTGCACTCACAGGCAGTCACTGGAGGTAGTCTCAGCGGGCGAGGAGTAATAGCTGACTGTAAAAACTAACAACCTCAGAGCGAGGGTAGGGAAAAATGTCGCTGCCGGAACGACAAAAGGCTTCAACATAAGCGTCTTAACAAAAAAGCCCGAGGGTCATAAGTTTTGCAAAGTTTGCTGGTTTGAAGTGTTTTTTAACTACTTACAAGTGCTATATCTTCTGCAGGCCACGTATAAGCAGTATGACAATGCCGGAGTTTACAAGGCACATATACTCACCTTATACGATGCTTATAGTATAGTTAGGTATAGTTACACTGGGTATACATCTTCACTATCTACCTGCGTCACTCCTCCGCAATGACACAAGGCGCTTTGACCTTCTCTGCCCTTCTGATAGTTTCATGCGGGCTTAGGCTTAAGGGCTTGCGGTGGGGGCACCGGGGGGGAACCTTCTACCAGGCTGTGTCACAAGCACGGCTCGGGGATATCCTCCACCGCGCCCTGCCGGCTGTCGAAGGGATGCCACTGTCGCAGGCACGAGGGGGCTCCAGAACTGGGATGCCATGCGGTAAGGGTTCCAATAAGGGTTCTTAGTAATGGATTTAGAGTTTGTTGCAGCTGTCCAGAAGGGATTAACGGTATTGAAAGCAGCAGTCGTAGACATGATAAATAGAGAAGGTGGAAGAGTAGAAAAACAGTTGTTAGTTTGAGAATAGTGTTCCTCGTAACAATTGTGACTACGGTAAGGTAGTAGTAACCGTAGTTATGACAACGATAGCACCAACAGGCAATACACCAACAACGATAGCATAGGTTGTGATGGCTAAGTACAGCTGAGCCGCGTGGCTAAGCATTTCTGCCATGCAGAATTTTGATCTGTTCTAGAAATATATACATATACACGAATATGTATACCCATACCTATATATGTACATTTACATGCCTATGTATATGTATACAACCGTATGTACCTATATGCTCATGTATGTGTATACGTATCTGCATACATATCGTGTCATATATGTATAGACTTATGTGTATATATATATGTATATGTATATACATATATGTATATACATACATATATACATATATATATATATATATGTATACATGTATTCATGTAAACCGGAAGCCTTGAATCCCAAACCCCAAGCAGAACCAAGCAGGTACGGCTCAAGTAGCTCGTATAGTGTGCTTGCCTGGTTGCCGGCTGCTTGCACCCGGCCATGACAGACGCTGCCACCGACCGCGTTGAGGAGGTGTGTGTCACGACCGTGACGCCAGGTACGTCTTCAGCATCTCCTTCTCGAAGTTAGCCTAGCCAAATGAGGGTTTATAGGATTGTACAGGATTTATGCAAGTCTTGTCGGGCTTGGAAGAACGTAACTTATTTTACCATAGTGAGAAGGTCATCTAAGTTACCATAGATACAGTTTTTTTGAGACTAAAGCCCAGGAAGAGTCAGAACTCGCCCAGCATCGACGTGGACTTTATGGAGAAGGGGGCATCGGAGGTCGAGAACAACTTTGAGTTTGACTTCTGTGATCCTGGCAATTGGGGCATCGTCGTTCATTGCTGGTGTTTGGGCTTCGTTTCCGGAGGCTTCAACGCCTTTCTCATGGGCGTGGTTGCAGGCTATCTGCACGTCCCCAGCGACATCATCCGAGGTCTTCAGAACATGTCCTCGCTTCCGAATGTCTTGTCAGTCTTCATGGGCGTCGTGTCGGACTCTCGCCCGATCTTCGGGTATCGCCGCAGGCCCTACATGGTGTTGGGATGGCTTCTAACCACAACTGCCTACTCCACTATGGCTATCATGGGGCTTCCTGAACCGTACTTCTGTGCGGGACCGGATGGGGGGTATCTTTACGATCGATTGCCGTGCAACCCAGATTCTGATTATTTCTACGTGCCCTTGGCGATTTGTCTGTTCTCCGCGAACATCGGCCTATTGGTGAGTGGAGCTGCGGGTCGTGGGCTTATAGTCGAGTATCCTGCTGGCACTTAAGGTTTACGCTTTACGGTGTAGGGTTTTTCGGGTTGCAGTTTACAGGTTTTAGCGTTTCCGCTCCCGCATCCCCACTGCAGTAAGGTATGCAAAGGCTGAAGAGGAGGAGTGCCGCGGCCGAACGCAGACAATGCTCGCAACTCAGCTTTCCAACTCTTCAACGTTTGAGTGTTTTTGTCTGGTACAGTTTCGAGAGTTTAGCCCTTAAATTCGAGGCCCTGATGCCCACAACCCAGAAGCCCTAACTAGGAAGAATCAGAAGTGTTGTTTTCTGTGCTTCTTGGGAAATGAGGAGATGGTCGGTTTGGTCGGGTCGTTTTCGGCGCTGATGGTGGCCGGTTTCGGCTTCAACGGCAAGCTGTTCAACGGCTCCTGGGATCAGCGCTACCAGCTCGGTTACAAACAGTATGTCACCATTTTCGCCGTGGTCTCCATGATTGCGGGCTTGTCCTGCATTCGCCATGTTCGCGAGGTACGCGGGGAACGTGTCTCGATGCGGCAGTATTTCCATGCAGCATGGAGCCTCTTTCAGAGCAGGGCCGTGGCCGGCGTTGGTCTCTTCTACTTCGTAAGGGGAGTGATCGCGAAACTCTTCACCACAGCGGGCATGTGGGTCATGATGGAGTGGGCCGGTGTGAAGAGCTTGCAAATGCAGTTGTGCTCCATGCTTGGGGTTTTTGCATCCTTGTTTGGCAGCTGGCTCTTGCAGAAGTACATGCTGAATGTCAGCTGGCGAAAGATCATGGTGGTCGCCACGGTCGTTGGCGTTGCTTTGGATGCCATTCCGACGTTTTTGACCATCTTTGGTGTGGTGCGAAACGAATACTTCTTCCTCGGTGAGTCTGTCGTCAGCGCCGTGCCCGAGTCCATGGCAGTTCTTGTCAGCAGCTTCATTGTGAACGAGTTGGCCGACACTTCCAATTGTGGCTTGATGGCGGGGCTCTTCACGACCATCAACAACGTGGCAAATCCGTTGGGCTTGCTGCTGGGGAACCAGATCTTCGGGTTGTTCCAGCCAGCGCTTTACGATCAAGCCAACTTCGTGGAGGATACTCCGGCCTTCCGCCGGACGGTGAGCTTCTCTTACGGCCTGACCTATGCCCTCATCCTTGTGCCGCTCTTGATCCTGCGTTTGCTTCCGAGCCAGAAGATCCACGCTCAAAGGCGCAAGCGGGAATGGAGGCACAGGTGCTACTACGCCGTGGTGGCAGCGATTGTGTTGAGTGTGTCGCTCCTGTACACCTTGGTGGGTGACGTCTTCGATATGGACCCAGTCTTGGCTTGCCACAGGTTCGTGGGCGGCGGGGGCTGCAACCAGGCAGCTAAGCTGTCTGACCCTTCTCAGGATTGAGATTGTTTGATTCTTGATTCGTGTTCCTAGCTCTCCATAGTTCTGACACTTTAAGGTTTTATCTTGGGTAGCGTGGGGACTCAGCCCACGGGGTCAGAGCAGTCGTGTAGAGTTTGCTTTTTTAGTAGCAATGCGGCTTGAGATCGGCAGAGGATCTGGAGGCATGCTGTCCATGGCCCGAGATCAGTTTTCACCCGGGTCTGATACGTCGCATGCTTCCTGTCCGCCGCCCTCTTCTCTCGTTGCACACATTGCAAGGTCGTCGAGGTTGAGGTCGTCATTTCCCTGGCATGTGAAAGGTAAAGGAGGTTTTCCGCATTTTCGTAACAGACCTTGCCCTCTTCGTGACCTTGCGATTTGGTTTTGAATTCCGCAAAGTATCCGAGAGGCCTGGACACCTCAGAGCCCTCGTGGCCCTTTCTGTAAAGAGAGTCCAGGATCGCGGATTCTCGCCTCCGTACAGGTCGACCTGACCCAATTGGGTCCAGAGTACACGCAACACAGGTTCGGTCCAGGTTCATTGATCGCGTTTGGCTTTGGACCCTTGGGGCCTTAGGGCGTAGGACCCCTAAGGCGTAAGGTCAGGCAGCAAGTTCGATGGCTGAACATCGAGCTGATTAATTCACGCAACATGCGTGCACCTACATGCTCGTTTCTATGCTACGATTCTGGCAGACGTCCGGAAAAGGAGACTTTATCTTCCTCTGGGAAGGTGCGTCCATGTGGCAGTAGGTGTACATGTCAAAGATCCTCTGTATTGAATGTTTTTGTGGCCTTGAATCACATGTCTGCCACAGGTCGTGGATTGGCGCATCTTTAGTTGGTGTTTGCTTGGTCAGACTTTCTGCTTGCTTCTAGCTTGACGAAAAGAGTGTAAAGCACTATGCACTAAGCCATGAAAGGCTTAAAGCCTCAAGACCCTCAAGGCCTATAGCCCAAATCTCCAGACCTCTTAAGCCCTGAGCCCCTGGATTCTTAAAGCCTTAAACCCCGACAGCCCTAAACGCTATAGCCAACAATGCGGGCTTGTCTTTTCGAAGTAGGAGGCAAAGACTAGTCTTCTATTATACAGGCCCTAAACTGTCTAACAACTTAAACCTCAGCCCTAAACCCTGATCCCTCAGCCGCAAAGTTTAAAGCAAATGGCTTTGGCTCAAAGCTCCGTATAGTAACTCCAGTGTGATTGCCTGGTTACCGGCTGCCTGCACCCAGCCGCGATGACAGACGGCGTCACCGACCGCGTTGAGGAGGAGAGTGGCACGACTGTGAAGCTGGGCTGTTCTGAAGAGTCCTTTTCTGTAAGTCAGGCCAGCGCGGGTTCGATGGGGTTCTACACAGACTTTTGCAGGGCGTATCGGGTTTTGTCGGGCTTCAAAGAGCTTATGTTACCGTAGTGCTATGTAACTTGCTATGGATCCGGTTTATGGCAACTTATCGTCGATATTCTAAACTAGAGCCGAGGAAGAGTCAGAACTCGCCCAGCATCGATGTGGACTTTATGGAAAAGGGGGCATCGGAGGTCGAGTGTCACTTTGCGTTTGACTTCTATGATCCTCGCAATTGGGGCATCGTCGTTCATTGCTGGTGTTTGGGCTTCGTTTCCGGAGGCTTCAACGCCTTTCTCATGGGCGTGGTTGCAGGCTATCTGCACGTCCCCAGCGACATCATCCGAGGTCTGCAGAACATGTCCTCGCTTCCGAATGTCTTGTCAGTCTTCATGGGCGTCGTGTCGGACTCCCGCCCGATCTTCGGATATCGCCGCAGGCCCTACATGGTGTTGGGATGGCTTATAACCACAACTGCCTACTCCACGATGGCTTTGATGGGGCTTCCCGAACCGTACTTCTGTGCGGGACCGGATGGGGGGTATCTTTACGATCGATTGCCGTGCAACCCAGATTCTGATTATTTCTACGTGCCCTTGGCGATTTGTCTTTTCTCCGCGAACATCGGCCTATTGGTGAGTGGAGCTGCGGGTCGTGGGCTTATAGTCGAGTATCCTGCTTGCACTTAAGGTTTGCAAAAAGGGTTTTCGGGTTCCAGTTTGCAGGTTTTTGCGTTTCCACTCCTGCACCCCCGCTGAAACACCGGTAAGGTATGCCAAGGCTGAAGACGAGGAGTGCCGTGGCCGAACGCAGACGTTCCTCGAAACTCAGCTTGCGAACGTTTCAA